GTCGTGATCTTGGAAATTTTCTGGAAAGCGGCACATGGCCTGGAGAGATACCTAATTCAGCATTGCTTATTTTATTTGTAGTTAGTGAACTTTTTAAAGCATATGTTGATTTTTGTCCCAATACAACTCAAGCATTTATTTATGATATATTACTTGCATTCATATGCCACCTTTTTCTCCAAGGAGCTCAAAGTGGTGTACATGGCTACCCCCACCCTCATCATTTAATCCCCACAACAACCCTGTGAGGTAGGTTAGGCTGAGAGGCAGCGACTGGCCCTCCAAGGTCACACCAAGTGAGCTTCAAGGCTGAGTGGGGGAGGATTCGAACCCAGGCCTCTCCCAGGTCTTATTCCAGCCCTCCAACCCCTACGGGCTCTGAAACCCTACATCTATAAACATTTGACCAGAAATATGACAACTTTCGAGACGGAAAAGTTCTCCGGGAGGGAGCAGGGTAGGAAAGCGGAGGGGCGGGAGGCGTCGAGCACCCTCGATGAGGCGAAGCGCACTCTGAACATGCCCAGAGGCACTCTCGATTTTACCTCAGAAACCAAGCCTGGGGGCGCCGCTGAAGCTTCTGGACAGCAACTCATTCCCGTGGGAAGTCGAGGATCGAGAAAACTCCCGCTCTCGATGAGAAGCGCACTCTGAACATGCCCAGGAGAACTCTCTCTCTCTCTCATTCCAGGTTGCCCTCGGGAGCGCCGTGCGAGTTACAGACAGGCACGAACCCGCCCCCCTCCCCGGGATGAACCTCTCCTCGTGGGAAGAAGGCGCGTCTCTTCCCTCACACCAGGGCGGACGGAGAGGGAACCGGCAGCGCTCCGTCGCCAACGGCGAGTTTTACCTCAGGGGGACCCTCCGCGCCCGCGGCCAGCTGACTAGGCCCGGGGCCCTCGGCTCTCGGCCTCGCCTACTCACCCTTCTCCCCAGCCGGCCATGTCCCCCTCGCGCTCGCCGACGCCGACCGGCCGCCGCTCTCGACTCTCTTCCCCGCTTGGATCTCCCTCCTCAGCCCGGGCGCCGAGATATTGCGAGACTTCCCCGCCAAGCTCCCGCGAGATTAGCGCGGGCGCGCGCCCAGCGCTCCCTTGCTCGCGCTCTCTCTCTCCTCCGGTCCTTCGCTTTCGCCCCACCTCCTACCGTAATGCGGCGAGTATTAACCCCCATGCTTCTCTTCCCGCCGTCGTGTCGGGAATGTGCGCGCATCCCCGCTGCCCGCTCGCCCGCCTGCTTTGATGTAAGCGCGCAGCGGCCGCAGTGCCGGATTTGCGTAGAACCTAATCAAGCTATAGCTTAGGGCCCCACTCTCTTGCCCCCCCCCAAATATACTTCTTAATTTTATTTCAGTATTAATATACTGCTTCTTAATTGTATTTCAGTTCAACAATTACTTTGATAAAATACATATTTTGTTATGTGCAAATGGCTTTAGATACCTATTAGGTCCATAAATTACCATATAGCATCTACTGAACACAAAAAACAGCGACAATTTGTTGTTGACTAAGGACAGCTGGACATATTATTATTATTATTATTATTATTATTATTATTAATTTATTATTTGTACCCTGCCCATCTGGCTTGGTTTCCCCAGCCACTCTGGGCGGCTTCCAGCAAAGATGAAAAATACATTAAAATGTCACACATTAAAAACTTCCCTGAACAGGGCTGCCTTCAGATGTCTTCTGAATGTTAGGTACCGGTAGTTGTTTATCTCTTTGACATCTAATGGGAGGGCGTTCCACAGGGTGGGCGCCACTACCGAGAAGGCCCTCTGCCTGGTTCCCTGTAGCTTTCTTTCTCGTAATGAGGGAACTGCCAGAAGGCCCTTGGAGCTGGACCTCAGCGTCTGGGCTGAACGATGGGGGTGGAGACACTCCTTCAGGTATACTGGAGTCCGTTTATATATAAAGGGCCCCATTACCTTCAGTAGCTTAGGGCCTCATCAAACCTAAATCCGGCCCTGGGCCTCAGCCCTTAGGTGCTTCACCTCCCCTTGAGTAAACACCGTCAAGCCATGATGAGAATGTGAGAATAATATAGCTCATTCTGCTGGATCAGGTCCACCAAGAGGGCTCCTCTGGTTCAGCATCCTCTCTTCACGGTGGCCAACCAGATGTCTCTTCTAGCGAGCAGGACCAGAGCACCGCTCCCCTCCTGTGGTCTCCAGCAACGGGTACCCGGAAGCATTTACTGCCTCCCAACTATGGAGGTGGAATCCTAGAATTATGGAGTTGGAAGGGACCCCGAGGGTCATCTAGTCCACACACCCCGCAACGCAGGGACCTTTTTGCCCCACATACCCTGAGATGAAGAGTCTCATGCCCTGAGCTATCTGCAAACACACAACACAGCATTTGAACACAGCCACCATGGCAACTAATGGCTTATCAGAGGTCCAGAGGGGAGGAACAGGCCATTTCTGCGGTGGCTCCCTGTTTGTGGAATGCTCTTCCCAGGGAGGTATATCTGGCACCTTCATTACATATATTTATGCACCAGGCAAAAGTGTTCCTCTTCAACCAGGCCTTGGGCTGATTAAACACTCTATGGCCTTTTAAATGTGTGTGTGAGAGGGGAGTTCCTGGTTTGTTTTTGTTCTTGCTCTTATTATGTATCATGTGTTCTCATTCTGTATTTTTGTGTTGTGAAATGCCCTGTGGTTTTCAAATGAAGGGTGGTATATAATTTCAATAAATTATTATGATTATCAATTTTCTTCATGAATTTGCCCACTAGTCTTAAAAGTGTCCAAGTTGGTGGCAATCACTGCTTCCTGTGGGAGGAGGGTTCATAGATTATGTGCTGCATTGGGAAGGGCTTTCTTTCTTTTCTTTGGAATATTTTTTATTAGGAATTTCAACATAACAATTCATCAAAAACATATCATCCTCATTTCCCCCCCCCCCCATTTCTTCCCTCCCTCCAAAAAGAAAAAAAAACCCACCCACCCCAGACTTCCCTCAGCTCCTTTCTCTGGTTTATCAGCACATGTTATTCTTTGCATATTATAAAATTGTAACGATCCTTAATTTATCTATCTATATATTATCAAGAAGAAATTTGTGTTTATTCAAAACCTGCCAAGGAATCCAGTTCATTTTGTTGTTTCTTTAAGTACTTTGTAAAAGGTTCCCATTCTTCTTTAAAGTCACAGTTGCCATTATCATGTAATTTGTGTGTCAATCTCACTTTCTTTTTAAAATTACGGTATGTGTGGCATGTAGAAAGTGGACAGAAGAAAAGGTCCCTCCCCCCCCCCCCTTGTAACACTAGAATTTGCAGATATTCAATGAAGCCAAATGCTGGAAGAATCAGAGCAAATAACAGGACTTGTTCACAATGCCAAAGAATAAACTATGGGACTCGCTCCCACAGTAAGCAAGCAATGCCTACCAACCTGGACGGCTTTAAGAGGATTAGACAGATTCATGGAGAAGGCTGTCAATGGCTCCAAGCCATGATGGCTATGCTCTGCCTCCACTGCCAGAGGCAGTTGCTGGAAACCCCAGAAGGGGAGAGAGCTCTTGAACGTGGGTCCTGCTTGCAGATAGCCCAATAGATGCATCTGGTTGGCCACTGTGAGAACAGGATGCCGGACTAAATGGGCCACTGGCCTGATCCAGCAGGCTCCTCTTCTGTTGTTAATTAAATTAATTAAATTAATTGAAAATAGAAGGAATGGTAAGAAGCAAGGAAGTGAGATGGGTGGGTAGAGGGGCATGAAGTACTGTAAGATGGCTTTGGAGGCCATAGAAGAATACAGAGAACTCTGCACACTGAAGAAATCCATAAATTTTAATAAAGGTTATCACAAGCAAGACATTCTGATCGTTCAACAGAGGGAGAGATGTTGCTGGTCTATCCTCTCACTTTCTACCTGGTCCTTTTAACTGGAGCTTCATGACAGCAAGAAGTCCCTCCATGACTTAGTACCAGAGGAGCGAAATTGTTGTTTTCCTGCGCTCATGTCAGGACAGAAACACATGGGGTTTTGGCGGATCACTTTCTTCTCACTCCCCATATCCAAGCAACCAAAATTGATGAGTGGCAACCCCATGCAATGCCAGCAGAGTATTGCTGCTTCCCTGTCATCTGAAGCAACTAGCAACCATTGGATCCACTCCAACCTTGATGGCAGCCTTCTCCCCCCTCCTCCAAACCAGAAGATGAAAGATAATTGTGTGGAAAGAGGGAGTGTTGGTCACAGGCCTGAAAAAGTTTCCCATTCTTGGGGTAGAGGCTGCAAATTAGGGCCCTCTCTGCCCCAGCCTGTTTGCAGGGCAGCCTCACAGTCAGGATTACAATTCCTTTTCCTCTTAAAAGATCTGTGAACCACCCCATTTCAACATGGGTTTGCTAAACCTCTAGTGCTCCTCCCCAAATAAGTCCCTCAGTGTGTCCTCTGAACATCCCCATCTGAAGGAAAGGGAAGCAGGATGAGAACAAGTATTGTTACAAGTTGCATAACTGTACAGTGCAGCATCATTGCACTGATAAGCGTTACACTTTGTACAAATGGCACTTAAGAAAAAGTGATTTCAGAGGAAACATCTGTCAACTGTTATGTCTCCATGTTCTAGTTTTAAATGAGTAAGCGGGGAAGGGGCACATTCCAGAGGCAGAACAGTTGCTTTGAATGCAGAAGGTCTCAGGTGTCTCCAGGTAGGGCTGGAAAGAACTCTTGCTTGAAACCCTGGGGTTCCTAGCTGACTAATATCTATCCAACACTTGGTGCTGTTTTGTGTGTTAAAGTTGAACTGGGCTCTTAATGACCTCTAGATTTTATTTAGTTGTTATAAACATTTTTATACCACCCTTCAGTCATATTTCCTGGTTATTTCAAAGGGAAGAAGATCTGTTACAATAGCTGGCAAATGAGGTCCACATCCCTCCAAAGATACAAAAACTCTAGACCTTCAGCCCTCTGCCAGCTAAAATCAACTCTGCAGCTTTCATCAAATGTACCACACAAAGCACGCACACAGTGCTCATGTTTCTGATGCCCTGCGAGCTGCTCGTTTGTATGATTTCGCCAGGTAATATCTCTCGGCAGATTCCTTCCTACTGGCTTGGAGTTTTAAGGTCTTCACCTCCTGGAAGTCTTGCATCAGTCTCTTTTGCAGGAGATGGCTCTCCCCTCCATCCCAGTACTTGCAGAGCATGGTTCCTCCAGGTTCCAAAATGTGCTGAGCCAGATCCAAAAGAGACAGGCAGAGATGGATCAACTTATGATGATCTAGTTGCCGGATACCAGTAGCATTGGGTGCCATGTCGCTCAGGATAACATCCACCATCCCTTTAGGGAGCACTTCCTGGATTTTCTTTTGGGTCATTGGATCTGTGATGTCAGCGCGAGGTAAGAGGACTGCTCCTTCCAGAGGAAAAACATGAAGGAGGTCAACTCCAAGAACAAAGCCGATTGGGGCATCTGGATCTAGAAAACAGAAGTGTGAAACTAAGAAGGCAGCCTTTAAATGTGCAATCTATCCAGTGGGGTGTAATGGCTAAAGCGTCAGACTAGGACTTGAGAGACCAGGGAACGAATACCTCCTTCTCCACTTGCCTTAGGAAGTTTCATCGCATTCACTATCCACAACCTTCCTACACAGATGCTGACTAAGTACTGTCAGCCTCACCCACGCCCGGCACAAGAATCCATTCCAGCCCATAAACGATATTTTTAGCAAGCCTCCCCATAACAAGCTATTTGACAAGCAACCCTTTCTGTAAAGATCAATATTTCAGAAATCATCCTCATCTATCACTGTCTCGTATTGTCGTCAAGCCACTCAAGAGTCAGCCAGCAACAACATTTTCCGCTTTCAGAGCACTTTTACTGACATTAATGAATTAAACCAAGTTCCTCCGAGACAACCCTCGCCTTCGTTTTCCAGAGGGAGAACCCATGATAGTAAATGAATTCTCTGGCAAGGATGGAAACAGCATTTATAAAAGACAAGGGGGAGAAGGGGGAGCGTTCCCAGCCAAGTATCATGTGTCACATTGTTTATTTATTTAAGCTAAAGATAGATGGCTATAAATAGACAAGCAGCTATAGGACAATCATGACATCTTATGGGGAGCTTTCAAAAGCACAAAACCAGACAAACAGAAAGACAGGTCCCTACTCCTACAGAGATTACAGGCTAAAATAAACTATGGGAAAGGACAACTAGAAACAAGGGTGGTGGAGGAAACAAGTAATGAATATATATTCATTTAATTTATAGCCTGCCTCTCTTCCAACATGGGACTTTAGGGGATATCCATGCATTGACCAGATCAGCCACATAAGGAGGGCCATAGGTCCTGAAGGAGACAAAATAAGTCCTGCAGCCTCATTTCTTGGGGAAACATTTTCCAGTCTCCAAGGATTCAAAAGACACTGCTTGGACATTTTAAAAAACCGCAAAACTATGAGGGTTAAATACTTGTGGCTTTATTTGAAAATGAAAGTGATAAAGCCAGGTGTCTACACTGCTGTGACACATCTGCCCCACAGCAATTATAACTAAATGTAGAAATGAGTCACAGATTACAAGGCAGGTCAGCAGTGGCTCTAACCACCCATAGTTTTAATTCAGGAATGGGAAACGTCCAGTCTTTCAGGTGCTGCTCGACTCCAATACCCATCAACCCCAGACAGCATCACAATGATCAGAAGTCATGGGCATTGTAGTTCAGCAACCTCTGTAGAGCCGCATGTGCTCTGCTCCTGTTCTAAATGCACTCACCAGAACCCGTAGCATTGACTCTCTGGACTGCAACCTGAGCCCAAGCACCAGGGGCCGTGCCACAGTCTATCACACGCAGCCCAGGGCAAAGGATGTGGTATTTGTCATCTACTTCAAGCAGTTTGTAGACACTCCGGCAACGATAGTGCTCCTTCTTGGCCTTCTTCACATAAGGGTCACTGAAATGCCGCTCCAGCCAACGATGCTCTGCTCCCGTTTTGCTTTTCAGAAACTGTACAGCAGTGTGGATCCTCTGGTGCTGTAGCAAAAGATTTGGCATTTTCCAGTATCTATCGGGGAGGGAAGGGCAAATTATTCTACTGCTCAATGGGCACAACCCATCTGATGACTATGGACCTGAATCTAGAATTTGGCATCTGATTGTCTGGATTATCAACACCCTTCCCAATTTATGTTTCTAAAATAAATGCACTTCTGTAATCCAAACCCCCAATCCACCATGCTGGAAGGGTTTTGCATGAGGATGAGGTGCCCTTCTGCTCATCCCTGCCTGGATCCACTGGCCTCTGGCAGCAAGGAGCATCTTAGTGGCATAGGTGCCATCTATGCAGGGCTGGCGGGGCCCAGGACTCCCCCACTTTTCAATGAAGGAGTCTTTCCCCCCCCCCCATTTGACGTGGTGGCACATGCATGCCATGGAGAATCCACACGACACGTCAGTATGCCCCTGTGACATGCGTAGAGTGATGCAGGAGGGAAGGCAGTTGCAGGAGGGAAGGCAGTGCCCCTGCCAGTGAGCCCATCCAAAAAGGTGGGCAGAAGCTACTAGAGGAAGACTAGAAAATGGGAAACTTTTGTGGCAGGGAGAGAGTGGAGCTGGGCTGGCACAGGACCCACTGAATTTTAACCCACTTCCCATCAGCCCCAGCGATGCACCTTTAGTAGGTGGTCCCTGACCACTGGTCCTGTTAGCTAGGGATGATGGGAGTTGTCCCAAAACATCTGGAGGGCTGCGTTTGGGGATGCCTGCCGAAGAGCAAAGCTCAGTTCCTAGAGCATGAGACTCCTAATCTCAGGGTCGTGGGTTCGAACAAAAGATTCCTGCACCGCAGGGGGTTGGACTAGATGACCCTGGGGGTCCCTTCCTACGATTCACAGGGCGAATGTTTTCCACTCCACCACGTGCAAACCCAAGCAACAACTCCACACGAGCGGCCGACTAAGGCATCTTTAGCCGCGTGAAGCTCCGGTGCAGAGAAAGGGAAGGCGGCGGGAGGAAGCGGGCTGCCCTCCCGGAGGCGTCAAGGGGAGGCGGGGCGCCGCCTGGCAACCCTTCGCCCGGTCGGCCGGCCGCCCTGAGGGGGTTGTCAGGAGGCCGCTCCCCGGTCCCGACCGGAAGAGAGCCGCTGGCTGCTCTCGGGAGTCCGGCCTCGCTTCCCGCTGCTTACCGGCTCATGACTTCGCCCTCCGCGAGGGCCGCTTCTTAGAGAGGGGGACGCATTTGGGTGTTGCACCAACCTGGGACGCTCCCTCAAGCGTCCCTCCGGGGAACGGCGCCTCGTGCGCTGGGTTCCGCCGCACATTGGCACCTGGGCTGAAAGAGAGAGAGAGCGCGCGAAATATACCATTTTTTCTTCTTCTTCTGAGCAGGCTCTTTCTCTTCCTCCTTAGCGAGCACCGCCTCGAGAAGGTCCCCGCCTGCTCGCCGGGTTGCATTTTCCCGCCTTGCTGTAGAAGCGGCCACAGGGATCTTTGGTCTGGTAGGAAAGGCGATGTTTTAAAGCTTTTAATGTTTAACAGACCACTGTATTTTAATATTTTGTTGGAAGCCGACCAGAGTGGCTGGGGAAACCCAGCCAGATGGGCGGGGTATAAATAAATTATTATTATTATTATTATTATTATTATTATTATTTAAAGGCTGCGATATTCCACAATCCCCTCTTAGGGCAACAGCTTCTTTAGGGCAGCCAATACGTCCTCGAAGTAGCTTCATATTACTTGGTAGTTGGGGGGGGACACATTATTTTGCTTATTGTTTCCTTTATTGTTTGTGCACCGCTAATGTTTTTTATTACTATTGGGGGAGACTGGGGGGGTGGGCCTTGTTTCTCCAATATGTTGCATGGCATCAGGGGTGCCAACTTGAATAAAATATTGGCGGGAGGTAAGCCCCACCCCCACATAATTGAGCATGTGACATGGCACATGCACACCATTTGAATGCAATGGCCATCAACTTTGGGGGGGCCCAGCCCCCTCAAATATTTTATTGGGAGGGGCAAAGGGGCCTCGACCCCTAGGTTTTGGCGCCTATGCATGGAAAATTAATGTGCTATTTATTTATCTGTTTGTTTATTTCATAAAATGTAATACACCGCTTGCTTTAAGAAAAAGAAAAAGCCTCAACGTGCTTCACAAAAGGTAAAACTATCAAATCAATAAAAAATCACAACCCTACTTTAAAACATACAAAGGTTAAATACTTAAACCGATTGAAATTACCTCAACTTTCTAAAACGTCTGGATCAGCTTGTTGAAACAAGAATGTTTTTAACAGGCGCTGAAAATAGTAGGGTGAAGGCTTCTACTTGATCTAATAGGCCGTTTTGAAGTGCAGGTGCTGCCATACTAAGCAATTGAGTTCTTGCAAATTGCAGAATGGGTATTATATGGCACCTGTAGTGGTGCCAATTCCGTCTATCGAAGCAGTTAAGTGGGCACATGTAGGGTATAGTGATCTCACATGTAAACTGGTCCCAAGTTGTTATGGGCTTTATATGCTAATAGTAACATGATTCCCCTCCCTTTCTATGGTATAATGTAGTTGTGTTATATTTCAATGTACATGTTTTGGATACTTTTTGGCTGGCAAGCAACTAATAAAGCTTAACAAATAATAATGATGATTTTGTGATATATGGATTGGTGTGGTGAATAAATTGGCTCCAAGAAAGATTTTGTGGTCTTTCTAATGGGCCAATAAGCCTGCATTTATTTTCCACAACCACCTTGTGGGGTAGGTTAGGCTGAGAAACTGACAATGGTCAGAGCTGGGTGGGGATTTGAACCCTAATCCCCCAGTCCAGCACTTTGACAAGCATACCACATTGGCTTTATGTGGGCTTCTGAAGAGCGGTGGCTCCCATAAGTCCCACTGCGCCTTCCACACCTGTTGTTAAATCTGCTAGCTGTTGTAGTCTGCTAAGCTTCATTGATTCTGAGCACACATTATCTGCTGCTGGTCTCCTTGCCTTTGTAGAGCTTAAAGCATGCTGACAACAAAAGTATTCACTCTGGTCCTGGTGGTGCAACCACGGCGAGTCTTGCTGGGCATGAAAAAACGTGGATTTGGGGCTGGGCTCTGGAATGGATTTGGAGGGAAGTTGCAGCCTGGCGAGACAGTTGAGCAGGCAGCAAAAAGGTAAGACATGACACCAGGCCAACACAGGTCTTCCTAGTGCCTGTAATAGATGGTTTATTCATTATAGGCATGTTTTAAATATTATTTACAGAAAATACAGACATTCAGTCATATAAACAATAACATTTAAAAATATACATTTTAATGTATAAAACAAACATTTATATCCTTATGTATTAAAATTCCTTCCTTCAGGGATAGCCTGAGGAACTGAGGCAGATAGTAGTGATGATGAGAGATGAATTTCTAGGCCTTATAGACAAAATAAAAACTGACAAATTGCTGGGTCCAGCTGACATCAACCCAAAAATTTTCAAAGAATTCAAATGTGGAATTGCTGAGCTTCTAACAAAAATATGCTACTTGTCAATAAAATCAGCCTCCATACCTGGGGACTAGTCACACTTCTCTGAAGTCTCTCAGCCTCACTCACCTCTCAGAATGTTTGCTGTGGGGGAGGAGGGGAAAGGAAATGGTTAGCTGCTTTGAGACTCCTTAAGGGGAGTGAAGGGCAGGATATCAAGTCCAAACTCCTCCTCCTCCTCCTCCTCCTCCTCTTCTTCTTCTTCTTCTTCTTCTTCTTCTTCTTCTTCTTCTTCTTCTTCTGCCTAATTGCTGCAGTGTACATGGCAAAGCTTTCACTCTGTTGTGAGGGAAATGCCTTCTTTTAGAGGCTGCCACCACGTTCCAGGAAGGTTTTCTAAAACTAGCCAAAACATTAAATCAAAGGGGTAATTCTGAAAAATGGAAGCTATCAGAGAGGTGCCAGAGTGATGCTGAAAACCCTTCCCAGGGTTCCCATTATCCGTGATGGGGAGTGAAAGCCAGAAATATCCAACAGCACACATTACTCATAGCTAAAGACAGGTCTAATTAACAGCATCAGCTAAACATTCACAGGCTTTCAGAGTATTAGCAATTCTCTCTCAGTTGGAAGAATAATAGGGGAGCCGAGAAACAACCATCTGCCAGCATCAGGTACAAAGTGAACAGTTTAAACTGCAATTAATGCCTGCTTCCAAAGTATGGGCAGCACAGTGATAGATACCCACTGGCATGGGCAGAAGGCAAGAGCACATGATTCTAAAGCTCACACCAGGCTTTCCCATATAATGCCAAATAGCATCTGAACCAGCTCTTAAGTATGCTTACAGTAGCTGGATTTGTTGTACCGTATTAGCCCAAATATAAGCCACACTTTTCCCCCAAATTCCGACAGGGAAAAGTTAATGTGCAGCTTATATCCGCCACCATACACCACCAAAGCGGCACAGCTTTCTGCCCCCACCCCCGGAAGCAGCCTGGGAGTGTGGGGCAATGGCGCACCGCTCCCAAGCCTCCCCTGAGCTGTCGGGGGGGGAGGCCGCCAGCAAAGCTGCATAGCTGCCTCCTGGCACTACCTCCCCAAGCCTGCACTGGCTGCCCCCTGTTCAGGGCAGTAGTGGCGGGAGGAGGGCGTACAGCATGCTCGAAACTGGGTGTCAGCACCAGCTTGGGCAGCGGGGCACCAAGCGTGGCCACCGCCCATCCCTCAGCAGTACCACCCTGGACGGGGGCAGCCAGCACTGGCTTGGGGAGGTAATGCCGGGAAGCAGTAGTACCAGGAGGCAGGCGCACAGCACGATCGGAACTGGGCGCCCCCCCATCCCCCATTCAGGGTGGGAGTGCCAGGAGGCGGGCCGCACCCACAAATAAGCCTTTAAAATTCAAGGTGCGGGTTATTTGCAGGTGCGTCTTATATTCGGGCCAATACGGTATATTGGAGTTGGTATAATCAGGTGAAGTCAAGTGCAAGAATCCAGGCCAAATGTCCCACTGTTTTTCAATGAGATCTGTGTCATTATTGTTGGGGAAGTCTCTTTCTTTTCTGGAAAACAGAAGCATCAATTAGCTCATGCACTCTTACTACAAAATTAACCTTGCTCATTATATTCAGGGAGCTACAGGAAGAAAGTGGACTGATGGTGGACACCTTGCAGAAGATGGGACAAATAACTTTTGAGTTTGTGGGCAACACTGAGCTGATGGAAGTCCATATTTTCCGCACCGACAGTTTTCAAGGAGACCCCACAGAAAGCGATGGTAGGAATGTGGTTGGGAGTGGAAGAATCATAGGAATACTTGCCCTTTTAATTCCTTTCTACTTTCCCCAATCTTACAAGTATGAAGTGCTGGATCTTTCAGATAAAGAATTCCACCCACCCACCTCCAGGGTTACTGGGGACACGGGATGGTTTCATCTTTCCATCACCCAACCAGCTCCCATAATTATTTGGCTAGAACTTGTGAGGAGTAAGGCTGCATCGTGCATTAAATGAGCACACCTTTAACGGCTCAGAAAAGTTGTCCAGTTATTGCAGACTGTGTAGGGTGGGAGGAGTGGCTACAAACCATCATAGCTGTGTTCTGTCTCCGAGGTCGGAGGCAGTAAGTGGTTCTGAATGCCAGTTGGTGGAAACCACAGGAGGGAAGGGGGGGCCCTTTCTAGAGGCCAACCAATTTGAACACCAGGATCCGCTGTTTTGTAGAAAGTGGTTTGAGAGAGATGTAGCATGTCCCCTGGTATGTGCATACAATTTTCCTTTGTTTGGCTTTGTTTCTGGTGAAACAATTTTTTTTAAATCAATCCACAAACTTAGCAGACGTGGGGCGAGTGCAGAGACCATAAATAATTTAAAGAAGATCTGTTTTGGTCCTTAATCCTTCTTCCCTTGTGTGCATGTTCCCGCTTCCCTGCAGAAATGCGTCCACAATGGTTTGACCTGGACCAGGTGCCTTTCAAGAACATGTGGCCAGATGATATCTACTGGTTTCCTCTTCTGCTCCAGAAGAAGAAGTTCCTTGGCTACTTTAAGTTCCAGGGGCAGGACACTATCTTAGAATACACCCTGAAAGAAGTGGAGAAGATATAAGAGCAGACCAAGGACGTTAAGCACTTCACGGTTGAGATGTGAACCATTGGCCATATTGGCCGAGAAGCAAGCAGTTAAGAACTTGACACAAATGACCCTTTCCATCAGCTCCACGGCGAAGGAAACAACTCTCTCCCGCAAGTGCGAGGCTAGCGACAAAGCAGGGCAGCTGTTCTCTTGCAGGAGACAAAGGGCAACACTTCTTAGGCATGCACAACTGCCTAACTGCTGACTGTTCCTATTTCAACATATAGGCCAACAATTTCACTTTGCAGCAAAAGCCGGGTTAGTGCCTTCTTTAAATAGTGTTGTCTTTCTGTATCGTGTTTAGGGTCCAGCTCCTCCGTTCTTGAGTAGATGTTAAACTGGTTGCACGTTAGTGGCTTAGCTTTTTTTCTCCTTCCCGGTAGTGGTTATGGACAGAAGCTACACATCCCAAAGGCGACCACTTCTATGCAGAAGTTTTATTGACTGTAATGGCAAGCAGGAGAGAGACTAGTGAGTCGCTTCAGGGCATGAGGCATCATTTCCAGGTGTAGTTCGTGTTAAAAATAAAAGTCCCAATATACTGTTTTTCTCAGTGCGGCCAACTGGAGGATTTCAAAACACCTAAGTTGTTCTTGTTGCTGAGTCGTTTAGTCATGTCCGACTCTTCGTGACCCCATGGACCAGAGCACGCCAGGCACTCCTGTCTTCCACTGCCTCCCGCAGTTTGGTCAACCTCATGCTGGTAGCTTCGAGAACACTGCCCAACCATCCCGTCCTCTGTCATCCCCTTCTCCTTGTGCCCTCCATCTTTCCCAACATCAGGGTCTTTTCCAGGGAGTCTTCTCTTCTCATGAGGTGGCCAAAGTATTGAAGCCTCAGCTTCAGGATCTGTCCTTCCAGTGAGCACTAGCAGTGCTCCTACTAGCAGTGCATAAAAGACACCCAGCCCTCTCCCGCTCTTAGTGACTAGTATTCACTAGCATCTTGCTTCTGAACATGTGGGGATGTATATATTCTAATAGCAATCCCAGTTCTATATGGTAATCTGCATAGAACCAAAATGTGCCATCCACATGCAAAGAGGAAGCTATCTTTAGGCTTGGGGGGTCTCCCAGCATTTGTAGAAGAATAGGCTTAAGGAAAGAAAATCTAAGAGGGCAAACAGCCCAAGGGAGATCCCTCTTATCATAACTAAAAGCCAGTGAGAATACGTCAGTCTTAATGTGCCCTTTTATTTCTTCTGTTTTAAATGTCTGTCATTCAATCGCCTCAGTGTGAGTGTTCATTGCTCCACACGCAGCCAAGAAATAACCAGTCACACATCAAGAGGCTTGAGTAACCAAGCACCCTGACACATCTCAAAGACGAGTAATAAATTTGCAACTGAAATAAACTTTTAATTTTTTTATGCAAGTTTCATACATCATTCACAAACACACATTTTTGTAACATTTGATAGATTCTTATTTTTTTTGGATAGTCATAAAATCTGTAAACATTTTTTTTAGTTTATCAGCTGTAGTAAGACGTACTCCAATTCCTGCAGTTTGATAAAGTGCTTTATTTATTTTTTAAAAAAACAAAACAAAAAACACTATGCAAAGTGAGAAGGAGACATGAAGTTTGCAAATTTCAAAAATACTGGGAAGAAAAGCACCCCTTATCAACTGGCGGTTTCTAAAGGGGAGGGGAGAGGTTAAAGAGTTGAGAGTTTGCCAGTTGTTCCACCTGGCATTCAGAGTTTGGCCGTTGAAATATAACTTCCCTTTAAGGCTTAAGACATTTACACACTGCAGAGCTATTCTCACTTCTTACATGGATGTGGCTTCCCCAAAAGAGTGAACACATAAAAAACTGCTCTCCAAGTAGAGACTAGATTTTCTGTCCAACAAGAGCAGCCTCTTTGACTAGCAGTTTTATGCAGCTGTCCTTTGACTAGGCAAAGCTGGAGGAAAACTAAAACCACATTAAAGGCGTTTGTCTCAGTCACCCATTAATGCCATAAAGTTATGTGCACATGAATGAGTAAACCGCACAGATTTTGGTGGGGTTTACTTCAGAGTAAACATGTATGTTCAGAGCCACGCACTCCTGTGCTCACTGGGAAGTAAGTCCCACCATGTTCAAAAGGGACTTGTGTATAAAATGGAATACAAGAAGATGATGGCTTTTCGGATGCTGCAAAAACATCCATTTCATGTGGCGCATGCGCAATTAAGCCAGTTTGGTCCTCCTGAAGAAGGCGAAGCCCCCCAGTGGAAGGCACCATAGGCAGCTTATGCCTGCCCTCTTTTGTTATCAACAAACAAAACGAAACCTTGCTGGCTGCTCAAGCTTGAAGAAATAAGATTAATACTTTTAATTAGCATTATAAACTCTTTCAAAAATATACTATTTTAACATATAAAAGAAAAGGCAGGTCAGTTTTTCTGCAAAAAAAAGTAGAAATGTGCACTTTGCAGGCCTTCAGGCTGGTTTGCAGCCCGAGTCCCCCTAGGCAGTGTGCTTAAACCAGGCATGACCAACCTGGGGCCCTTTGGGTGTTTTGGAGAACAGCTCCTGCCAGCACAAGTAGCCCTTAACTAATAGGCAAGGAGAAAGCCCCAAGGCCTACCTGAGCCATCGGTTTGGTCCTAAGCAGGTGAAATATCCCGACACCAGAGTTGGACACTGATGAGGTCCTTGTGTTGGTCAGAGCTATTCCCTGCATAGGGGAGAGGCCTGCAGCTTCTGATAGCTATTTAAAGGAGGAGAAACCAGGAGGTTGGCCCTTGGGGGGGAAAAACAAGGCAAGGAAAGGAGGGAAGTCTGGAGAAAAGGCTCCTAATCCCTCCAGTCATAAAGGGCAAAACATGTGCTTCAAAAACTAACAGACTTATATTTACATTGAGGCAAGTGTACTGTTAAGGCACATGTAGATTTGTTTTGAAATATGGTCCCAAGAACGCAGAGAAGCCTGTGGAGAGGGAGCCAGGACCTCCCTCCTTTCATATATTTTATCTATGAAACACACACATCCCTCAGCGAAGGCAGATCTAACACAAAACGTCACAACAGAATGTCCACCTGCAGTAGGAATCTGGTTCTGCAATTTGCAAGATTACAGACCAGTCGATCCAACCATGTTTAATCCCACCCACCCCCCATGCTACAGAGGGGCTGCCTGCTTTTTAGTCTCGTAATTTAAAAAAACCCAGCACAATACCATTAACCTGGCTACACGTTTATCCTTTGCCTTCCCTCACCTGCTATGCACTATGTGGATTAAGGGGAAGTTACCCTGGTGACAACATAGGCAACATTCCTGCTGCAAACTTGTGAGGGGCGGTGGTTGTTTTCCAGAGCCTGACCCTGGAGAGGAGGAGGCCCCTTTGAATCTCAAAATTAAGATCCATCTTTCCCAGTGATTGAAACAAGACGCCATTACATCCAGTGGAAGGAGAGCTGGGTCAGAAATTCGAATAGAGGGGCTTTCATTGCATTCTTTACTGGGGTCTATTGATAAGGATACAGCCTCCTGCCAATGTATCTGACAGCAAGGGACAACCATTACACTCTCCTCCTCAACCACACGTATCTTGCAATTCTAAAGGGAAGAATGAAGCAAATGCTTCACACACCTTTTGAAGCTGGAAATAATGGGGCTGCTTCCAATGTGACCCCCATGTCATGCTTCTGAAAAACGGCTGATGGCTGCATACTTCCATACTGCAGTGAGCATATGCAGATAATTTTTTTTAAAGCACCGAAAATGTGGGAGACAAAACACAACCAAACAGATAAAATATATGAAATGCATACCAGCGAAAAATATAAACCGCAAGATATCTGAATTAACAGACCATATCAGAAAGCAGTTCAGAATATATTAAAATGTATTTATCTATATCTCTAAATCAGACTAATAAATCTCCCAGCCAGTAAAATAGCAAACACTAAAGTGTGTGAAGTTAATATATTTGCTTGCTCAATTCATTGTTGATTTTCTCTTTAATTCATCCTTAAGGTATTATACTTGGGTGAGTAGTATTTGATACTATCTCAGTTTAGCAACTTTGAAATCTGTGCCTCATTCCTTTGTGGAATGCTAAATTCTTTTTTGACTTCATTAGTCCCATTTGGAAATAAGTGTGTATTTGATATACAAATTATTCTTATATTCCGCATGGCTTTCTAAAGACGGCCTTTAATGTAGATATTCCACATTACATCTTCCTGTCATGGTTTTCACCATTTGCATTTGATATATTTTGGAGAGGATACAGCTTCCTTGCGTGTGTACATCACTGCAAGCACACCACGCTGGAACAGAAGCATATGCAAAAGAAGTTTTCTGCTAGAAAAGGTCTAATTTCAAGTGTCCCTTTGGTCCCTGGCCAGCAGTTGGTTTTGCTGGAGAACCACTTTTAAGAAGTGGGAGGTGGCAAAGGTATCAACTGCCACACGCAATGTGAACTGCTGGTATGCCCTAATGCCACAGACGCAGCTCCCTTTCTGCACATTGTGACTGTTTATATGATACCACCTGAAAACACAACTCAATTGTCCTTTTCTCAATTCAAATTGAAGCCAGTTTGGAGGGAAATGCATCAAACTGCAGTACTCTATAAGGAATGAACGGATCATAGAATTGTAGAGTTGGAAGGGAACCCCAAAGGTCCTTTAGTCCAACCCCCTGCAATGCAGGAATCTCAACTAAAGCATCCATGGCAGATGGCCGTAGATATGGCTTGTGGTTCATGTCACATGCTCACCACTTCCCAAACACGCTGTAGGAGCACACTTGATGCAGAGTAAATGGGAGTGTGTACACAGCGCTTATGTCTTTGGGCAGGCGATTGGGCAGCGACAGATTTGGCCCATGGCACTCTGCTCACCCTCACCTTTGCCACCTGCACTCTCAGGAACATATAAAGCAAGGCACATAGGAAGCTGCCTTATACCAGATCAGACTATTGCCCATCTAGCCCAGTCCTGTCATGTCTGGCAGACAGTGGCCCTCTAGAGACTCAGGCAGAGAAGGACCCTCCCCAACCTTCACCTGCTGCGTGAGCCTTCTAATGGGAGATGGCAAGCACTGAATCTGGGAGCTGTGACCACTGAGTGCTGATCCCTCCCTTAATAAAATAAAATTAAAACTCACAAGAATCCTTTGAGGATAGTTACTTTGCAAAAGAGTTGCTTTCCTAGGGCCAATCAATAAACTCCAAAAATATTCAAATTGAGGAGTGTATCAGCAACAGAAGGCTCCTAGCAGAGAATAAAACCAAAGCTTTTGGAGCAGAGAAATTAATCTTCACCCCAGAGTCCTTCAAAAACAATATAAAAGGCGAGAGACTGATGCTCAACTCTCAGCTTAATACCAAGATCTGAATAAGCCTTCTGGCTGAACAAGCAGCCTCGTCGTGCCTCCTTCTACTTGAGCGAGTCAGGAAGTCTTCCACTAATGTGATTTTCCCATTTCACCCAAACTGGCAAACTACGGTATGGTCAACAGCTTCAGAGCAGGCCAGTACATTAAGCCAACATCACACCATGGTTTACTATTGTGGCTTATTCCAAAGCTGCTAACCACAGCTTCCTGGTTTGGATGAATGGGAAACAAGTGAAAGATTCACTGCTGTGTTTGATCAGTCGCATGAAGGGACTGTGCGCACAAGCAAAACTGATGAAGCGGAGATAACAACCGTTTGAACTTGCTCATTCTCGCTCTACGCACTGTCACATTTCCCGGCAGCCCATATATCATGGAGCAGCTCAAAGCAGCAAAACGAAACAACAAGGACTAATATAGCCAATGGGAGGAGACTTCTCGACATTCGTATGCGCAGGAGAACAAGCTCCTCCCTTTCGCTCCCTATCACGCCCCACAGTCCAAAAGCATTAACTAGGAAAGAAGTTGACTTCCTGGGAGGACAAGGGTAGAGCCGACAAGTTGCTTGATCCAGAGAAAAGGCAGCTCAGCTTCGGCTTCAGTTCATTCCAGACTTTGCTCATCTAAAGGGAGGAGAATAATAATAATAATAATAATAATAATAATAATAATAATAATAATAATAATAAATTTTATTTATACCCCGCCCTCCCCAGCCAAGGCCGGGCTCAGGGCGGCTAACAACCAATAATAAAAACAAGTTGAATGAATACAAACTTAAAAACAAGATTAAAATGCAACATTAAAATGCAGCCTCATCACAGGAGCAGAAAGGAAAAGAGAGGGGGAGGGAATCAGATTGACTCCAAGCCAAAGGCCAGGCGGAACAACTCTGTCTTACAGGCCCTGCAGAAAGAAATCAGATCCTGCAGGGCCCTGGTCTCATGAGACAGAGCGTTCCACCAGGCCGGGGCCAGTGTTGAAAAAGCTCTGGCTCTGGTTGACGCTAATCTGACTTCCTTAGGGCCAGGGACCTCTAGGGTGTTGCTATTTATGGACCTTAAGGTCCTCCATGGGGCATACCACAGAGAAGAGGAGAGAAGGGCACAATTTGGCATTCAGGCAAGTCAGCGAGGTCCTTGAGGGGCTGCACCCAAGGCAGCGTTGTGGGGTGGGGGAAGCATGCCTCAAGAGTAAGCCAAACTTTTACAGAAGACTGAACCCCCGACTTTTTCAAGCCTTGTACTGCTTCAAAGCAGCCCACTTGTTGCCATTAGTAAATTGCTCTTTTGGAAACAGCAATATGGAGAGAGAGATGGAAAATGTTGTGGAGGGGGTGGGAGTGGAGTATCCTGGCTGACTAGCACAAACCCAGAACAAGGAACTCTCTACTCCGCAACACTGGGTTGCAGGTCCCATGCATTCATTAATAAATAAATACACACTGGCTTAGAGGGAATTCTGCCTTCACCAAACCCAAAAAGAACTGGGAATTCTCACGGGGGACACTTAAAAAAACCAAACTGGCAGAAGCTGAAAGGAACGATCGCCCATCAAGTATCTATTTATATAGACACAGAAAGATATACAGATAGGCTGCAAATATTTTAAAAAATTTGTGCTGTTTTGTTTTCCATTCTGGGCTCCTGTGAGAAACAACTGAATAAGTACAGTGGTACCTCGCAAGACGAATGCCTCGCAAGACGAAAAACGCGCAAGACGAAAGAGTTTTCCGTTTTTTGAGTCATTCCACAAGACGAATTTCCCTATGGGCTTGCTTCGCAAGACGAAACGTCTTGCGAGTTCTTGCGAGTTTGTTTCCTTTTTCTTAAAGCCGCTAAGCCGTTAATAGCCGCTAAGCCGCTAAGCCGCTAATAGCCGCTAAGCCACTAAGCCGCTAATAGCCGTGCTTCGCAAGACGAAAAAACCGCAAGACGAAGAGACTCGCGGAACGGATTAATTTCGTCTTGCGAGGCACCACTGTAAAACAGTGGTACCTCGGGTTAAATACTTAAGTCGTTCCTGAGGTCGGTTCTTAACCTGAAACTGTTCTTAACCTGAAGCACCACTTTAGCTGATGGGGCTTCACGCTGCTGCTGCGCTGCCGGAGCACGATTTCTGTTCTCATCCTGAAGCAAAGTTCTTAACCCGAGGCACTATTTCTGGGTTAGCGGAGTCTGTAACCTGAAGTGTATGTAACCTGAAGCATATGTAACCCAAGGTACAATCGTATCTTGGAAGTCAAATGAAATCCGTTCTGGAAGTCCGTTCAGAAACCAAAGTGCAGCTTCTGATTGGCTGCAGGAAGCTCTTGCCGCCAATCGGAAGCTGCGCCAGCCACATCAGATGTTGGGGTTCCAAAGAACATTCGCAAACCGGAACACTCTCTTCCGGGTTTGCAGCATTCGGGAGCCAAAACGTCCATGTACAAAGGCGTTCAGGATCCAAGGTACGACTGTAACAGCAATTATTTTAAAAGGTGCTCACCTCCTTGTGACCTTGGATCTGTGAATTGACAAAAGCCCCCAAGATGTGAGATGTTAGAGGAAGGTAAATGTGGATCAGTTGGGTCTCTTGGTGCAGACAGTACAGTGAGAAGTAATTCCGCAGCTCCATAGTCAGAATAGCATTCTCTTGCTGTTAAAAGAAGAAGAGAGATTGGTGGGATGCTCCTGAAGCAAACACAGAGGGCAGGATGGATGCAATATATGTAACTCAGGAGTTGTCTCTCATGCTAGAATGGGGCGATTTAAGCTCCCCTGTTTCTGGAGCTTGAGCACCCACAACAGCAAGAGCCCCAGAGGTTTGTACGCAACCACAAAGGTGAGGCAGCAAGTCATTATCAACAAGGGGAGGCTGTTATTGGACATGCTGCCTTAACAACCATGGGGTTTGCCCAACCTGTCAGTGACTCACATATACAGCAGGATACAAACACAACTGAGAGTGCAGGGGGCAGCAAGAAAAAAGCAGATGGCTTTATTTCTTGACCAGGTCAGGCCATACAAAGCCTATTATCCCCTTCCTTGCTCCGCTGAAGCAGCTTCCTGTACTTCCCAGGCTCCCCAGATCTGGCCTGTAGGAGCACCTAATCCCCTATGAGACTCTCTATGTCTTTTAGGGACAAAGCTCCACATCTCATCTTTTACAAAGTGCTTTCTCTTTGGTGGTGCTCTGTCAACAGGAGCCTGCTTAGCCCCATCTTTTCGGGCTTTCCACCAAGCTACAACCTGGCCTTGTGAGCAAATACATGCTGTCGATTGTCAGATCCAGTTTACTTTTTGGTTTTACCTGTTTGTTTTTTGTTAACCTGGTAATGCTTGATTCCTGGATGTTCTTAGAGACTTTAGCAGGAGTTTTAGATGGTTTTAGCATTTTCCTTTTTTAACGTGCCACATGTATACCACTCTGGGTATTGTTATGGTCAGAACACATGATCCACAACTAAATCAAAGAGGTAACTCTACACTACTCGGAGTGTGTCTTTGTTTTCACCCAGCCCAGCAGTATTTTCCTATTTTGCACAGACACTGAAGGTGACTAAAACCCAAAACCACTCTGAACCATTGGAAATCTAGACTAGCAAGAGTTTCACAAGCCACTGCCCACAGCCAGGTGGGCTAGACACTTGTCTGGACAGAATGCACAAAGCCCTGAATGCTTAGAAAGTACAAACAATGGGAGAAGAAGCAGGAAATTGTACCTCCACTATTCGGGATTCCAGCTGCTCCACAGACTCTGGCTCTTTGTTCTGCACTGTGGCGCTCATCATCTGCCTCTTCATCATGCTGTATTTATGCAAGGCTCTCTGATGCTTGTGCAGAACTCCCTTCTCGTGCCGCTCGCAAAGATCCTACATCGCAGAGAGAAAAGTCAGGTCATCCTATAAAAGAGGATGCTTTCTATACAGCTCAGATCCACATAACAGTGGTATAAAGAGGTGTGGGATATAGCTATTAATGATGAATTAACATGTGCCATTAAGGTAAGATGGGGAATACACAGGAGAAATCATTTTGAGGAGATATAGAAGGTGTTTTTAGAATTTGTACTGTTAAAGCGGAAAGGGATCAAACTATCACAAGAGGTGTTGAAATTTTGGGAGGTTGGATAGTTACAATGGAATGGTCTCTTACTTATTTATGATTATTACTTTGTCAAAATAAAAAATGATAAAAAAACGATTTAGAAATAAAAGGTTCTGCAATGCTAATATAAGCCTGCCCATATATTAAAGGATTCAGAAGACCTCATCCATCCCAAACCCTTGTTTGGTTGGAAGAATGGAGAGGGCTTTTTCTGTGGATGCACCCAGAGATGCCATCTTTCAGGGTGGCCTCCTTCCACTGGAGCATAAAGACCTCCCTGTTTCAAAAAGGCTTTTGGACTGTAGATATTGAGTTTTACCACCTCTTGGCTTTTACTGTTTGACTCTCCAGTTTGCATTTTAAATGCACTGTAGGAAACTGCTCACTGCCAGAAACGTGTGTGTGTGTGTGTGTTTTGTATTTTATGCTCTGTGTTTCGTGCCATATATCTAAAATGCTTAATAAAAAGATTTGCAAAAAGACCATCTTGGCCCATCTTGCTCCAAGAAATAATTATTATTTTTATGCTGCAGTCAATTTCAAAGAAGTTAACAAGAATTACCATCTTTTTTTTTAAAAAAAAAGGTTTGTTAAATAGCAGGTAGCATTTGGAGACACAGGAGGTTGTCAAGGGCAAAAATAATGAGCACACTGGGGGGGGAAATAATGAGCACAGCAGAGTTTCTTCTCTGCCAGCACAGTCTAAATGCTTACCTGCATCACTTCGCAATATCAGAATGAAACAGATCTCTTGAGCTGGGAAGCTTTTCATTCAGATCTCATATTTGCCACAATTTCACTATGTGGGCCTTAAGCAACACACCTTTTCTCAGCCTCTACCCCCCCCATCTGTAATAGGGGGGACGTACCACATTCATACCCCACCAATCAGACATAATTGGCTCCCATAGTGAATTAAAACACCACAGGAAGTTAAAATACATCATACAAATGCAATACAAAATCTTAGGGATACATGGATGTGAGTAGGATAAGGGGCTGGTTCACATGTTACACTAAACCATGGCTTTGCAATACTTAGACAAGCCTCTGACCCAGAGCAAAACAGAGATTACTTTCAGCTTCAAAGAGCCGCAGTTTAATGTTGCATGCAGACCAGGAACCCTTGTTTAAAACAGATAACTGTTAGTTAAAACAAGACATTGTCTTAATTTATGGTTTGAAGTTGGCTTGTTTAGCAACTAACCATAGTTTGTGTAAACCAGGATTCCTGGTTTTGAACGTAACACTAAACTGAGATGATCTGAAACTGAAATAACCTTGGCTGTATTTCCTACCTTGCTCCACCTCCCAGGGCCAGCACACAGCCCTGAAAAAGGCCCAACTTGCCACCAGAACCTCCCAAATGTCTAGTTTGGCCTCCCAACTCATTCCTTGGATAGTTTTCCATTAAGCCTCGTGTAACGCCCTCAAGCAAGCACACACAGCTGTTTCTGAGCCATTCACTCACACACTGGCAGGGAGAAAGCAGGGCTTACTTTATAGGACTGGAGCAAGTCCAGGAAAAGGTTCAGCTTCTCCACCACATCATTCTCTTCCTGTTTACCCTAGAAAGCAGAAGGGCAAATGAGTGAAAGAAACAGGGTGGACTTGGGCTGCAGTCCATCCAGGCACAGAATGGGGATAGACATTTCCAAGTCTCTTGTCCCAACATCTCCAGTCTCAAGGAGCTACAGTGGGAGTGCCCTGGACTAACAGGCTTAGATGCCAAGGCTGTCCATCTAAGCAGGGCCTGAGAAAGGGAAGTGATGAGCCAGGAGGCTCCGACTGGGAATCTGGAAACAGGGTTCGATGCCTTGCTCTTTAAGCCACCGGGGCTGCAAAGAGGATGACCTGGCTGACCACTGCCGCTCTGCAGCGCCACACCAATAATGACTGAAAGCTGTTGTGCAGTTAGCTCATCAGCCAGGCAGAATCGGATGGTTTGAGGAGCCATCAGGGGCACACCCGGCCTTATATAATAACCACACCCTCCGACTGCAATCCCCACTCTAAGGCATTTGACAGCCAGGCTGGCTGCTCTACAGGAGCTTCATATGGCTGTCAAAACAAACAGATGACTATTCACAGCAGAAAGAGAGAGAAGCAAAGTGTCCCCAACTTCAGAGAGAGAAAGGAGTGATTGAGGAGAGAGAGCGTGTGTGCCAAGACCACTCTTCAATTAATCAGCATCTTCCCCCTTAAACATATTCATGCACATGCACCAAGCCACCACAGTGCTGAAAACTCAGCAAGGCGTGGAGAATTTAGGTCGGGTTCCTTCCAGTGATGTATAGGTCACAGAAGGGCACAGATCCTCCTCCTTTTCTCAAGGAGATGGAGAAGTGTCAGGTACGCAAATCTGGGTGGGTGTGGAGCTCAAGTTATGACTCCCATGCCTCATCTTCCTTTCTCTGGGCCACTGGCCTTTTAGAACCTGTCTGCCCTGGGCTGTGCTACTTGCTTCTGACCCCTCCAGATGATAACCAGTATCCCTATGAACCAGAAACATGGCTGTTTGCAGGTCTGATCCTGCAGGGCCCTGAATTTTGATATTGGGGGGAGGAGTGCTATGGGGAAAGAGGGGCACAACTACAAAGCCCGTTTCCTTCAAGGAAGAAGCAGCAGGAGCTCACCTGTTGAACAGCTTTGTCAGCCAGAAGTGCAAATTCGACAGAAAGGCCTTTCAGGGCCTGTTTGAGGTTTCCCCAAGCACTATTGTTCAAAGAAGCCCAGGAAGGGAGTGGGGTTGTGTCGGAGCCCAGAGCACTACAGGAAGAAAAGAAGCATGCAAGAGAGTCTAGGAGGAGACTTCCACAAAGCCCACAGGCTGCCCAAGGGTCCCCTGTCCCAAATTACAGCTCTGTTTTCTTCTTTAACTAGACCCTCATTATGCTTTGCAACTCAAGCCCCTTCCCCCAACCCCAACCCCAGTGCACACCCCGTTCTTCTGCAGCTGACAGCTACAGAGGATAAAGTGATCAGTGATCATTGTCAGAGTTGCCTGTGATCTGGATCAAAAATGAAAAACACAATTTTGCAATAATGTAAATAGGATCCTGCCACTTGCACACATTTTGCAAACTGAGCAAAATGTGTATATATTAATTTGTTTACACACTTCCAAGCACATCATTGCAAACCGCCCCCCCCCCCAGGTGCTAGAAACTTGCTTTAAACAAAATGAAAGCAGATTCCAAATTCTGCACCCACCATCAAATCCTGTGCTTGGTCAGTGCTATCACAGAATCACAATGTTTACACAGCCTTGGTCATTGTACCCAGAGGCGGAGCTAGATGCTCCAGCACCTGGAGCGGCGCTCATGCTGTGCACCTGGGGGTAGGTGCCACGAGCGGCAAGCCTCCCAGGGGATTGCCACCTATGGCGAGTGTGCCAGGGGGTTGCCGCCTGCAGCGAGCGGTAAGTGTCCCGGGGGGTGCTGCGAGTGGTCCAGGGGGGCAGAGCGGCAATGTCACACCCCCATCAGGGATGACACCTGCGGCGGGCCGCACCCACCACACCCCTTTCCTCCGCCAGTGATTGTACCCATCTGCAAAATTAAGGCTTGTTCAGATCTAACATAGGGCAACACATAGCAGCCAGCAGAAAGAAAGACTTAAATCAGTTGGTGCAGGCAGTGCCCCGTGTGGCCACACTGAGGGCAGCCACTTATTGCAATTCCACTCTCCAGTCTTCCCTGGTAGCTCTGTGTATATTAAACTCAAGCTGTCCTAGCCTTTTTAGGGAGCATGCAATGATCAGGAAACACACCTTTCTTCAGATTATTCATGTTCCATCAGAAAAGGTGGAGACTAGCTCCAAAGTTCCGCATGGAACAGGACTGTGAGCTCATACAGACACACAGTTCTTGCAAAAAGGTATCGCGCCTCTGCCACTAAGAATCAAACCAGATGAGATAAAGGTCACCTGTTGTGGAATTTCTTCAAATGCTGGCAAATAGAAGCAGTGGGACACTTGATGTGGATCAGGGCAGCAGCACAGAGGAAGGAAAGCAACACCTTCTCTCTCTGCAGCACTTCCCCAAGTTTCTAAGACTCCAGTCCCATCCTCTAAAGAAGTTGCTATCTGCCCCATTTGGGGAAAAATTCATGTACACAGGGAACACCTTTGTGTACAGAGCTTAAGGGGACGAACAGGTTTTGGGTGAGGGTGATGGGAAGATGTGATTTGTTTCAGAAAAACAGTGCAAAGGGAAATAGTTACTCTCCCATCCCACAGCACCACAGTCCCAAAACAGATCAGCGCCCCTCGACAGCTGCAATTTGTCATGTAAAAAGTGACCGGACAGATCTCCATCATCTCATCTAGTTTATCCTGCTTTTGAGGTTGCAAAAGAGATAGTTCAGCCGAATCCAGTTCACCTTAGTTCCTTCCCGAACAAAAGGAGGTCTGAGGCATTGTCAACTGCTCGGGAGGCTATCCTCTCTGTTCGATCCCGCAGTTTGTAAAAGCTGTTGTAGATGTTTCGGATCAGCTCCCTGCTGGCAGCAAACTGGACCTGGATGTCAGCTGGCAGGAAATCCTAGAGTGGAACACAAATTAGTTCACAACCGGTCCTACGAAAGAGCTTCACACACAGAGAGAAAAGTTGCCTACAAGCTCAGACAGCATGTATGTCAATTAGGAATCTCTTTGCAACTCCACATGACCCACTTTTCCGATAAGCAGGGAATTACAAGCAGACGCTCACACACCCAGCTACCAGTGTTGCAAACATAGGGAGGTATGGAAAGTTAAGCTGGGGCTCTGCCAATACATGGATCACAAAAGGGTGAAAAGCATCCACCGTTTTTTCCAAGAAGGTGGAGTAATAGGTGGAGCAGGAATCAAAAAAATGGGCGGGTGTGTTGCCCAAGTGATGATTTCTTGCAAAATCTTCCAGGGTTGCAATAGAGCTGGGGATCGTGAAGCCAGACAACCAAACAAGGCAAGGTGGGAGATCTGCAACTGGGTTTCCCATCTTCTTAAAAGCGAGCAGCAGGGGACCCAATTGTATCAAGAATGCAGAACTGGGGAGGGCAAGGTTAATCCTCCCTACCACGTGCCATTTTCCTGATGCAAACTGAACTCCTCTAGCTCCTGTAAGAACCTAAGAATAGGCTGCTGGATGAGGCCAGTGATCCACCTAGTCCAGCATCCCGTTCTCACAGGGGCCAAACCAGGTGCCTATGGGAAGCCCAAAAGCAGGACCTGGGCACAGCAGCACACCTGGTGGTTTCCAGCAACTGGTATTCAGAAACATTCCTACCTCTGACTGTGTAGGCAAAGCACAGCCACCGTGGCTAGCAGCCTATTCAGTACCCCAGTGGAGAAAACACACGGGTCCATACATGCGATAACATATGTGAACCTGAATGTTATCCCTAGGAGGGCAAACTACCCTCAGGTATATACTAAAAAGGGCAGTAAAAAATTGTCCGTGCTACAGCCATGAGGATTAAGCACCCCCTCTCTTGTGCTGTAATAGCCCTAATGCAATCTGCTCCCCATCTCTCCGCAACACAGCTCCTTTTAAAATGCATTTAAAGAGACAGGAGATCCAACCAAACACATTCCACATGGCCCTAAATCAGGCATAGGCAAACTCAGCCCTCCAGATGTTTTGGGACTACAACTCCCATCATCCCTAGCTAACAGGACCAGTGATCAGGGATGATGAGAATTGTAGTCCCAAAACATCTAGAAGGCCAAGTTTGCCTATGCCTGCCCTAAATGTTAACTGGAAAAAGTAGTCCACCTTGTAGTGATCGCTCTGATCCAGCAGATGGCGCCACTACAGTCACTCTCCCCCCCCTTACAAAGACAACCAGCTAATTATCTCTAGCTGCCAGAAAGTGTGCTGTAGATTGCAAAACTGCAAGCAGAGTCTGTTGTTAATATATTCTTGTACACTGTGCAAGTGTAGGTGCTATATAGTTAATAAAATTGTTGGACCACCATTTTCCTCCTCCCCTTTCACCCAATCAGAGCCAGGAGTCATCTGCAAACAGTGGGTGTGAGCCTTCCACACATGGCTGAGCTCCTGAAATGCCAAAGTCAGTGGGATCGAAGCAGCATAAATGAGCGTAATTGCAGCCAGCGCCTCTCTTCGCTGTTACAAAAGAAGCCTTTGGGAGCTTGCTGTTCAAACAAAACCGCTGCTGTTTTCCAAGCAGGTAGGAGACTTTCCAGCTACATGAGACAAAATACCTTGGCCTGAGTTGAGAGCTTGCAAGTCATGAATTCGTCTCCCACACCTTGGACCAACTCCCTCAGCTTGTTCTGCACATCCTGGAAAAGCAATGGAAACAGATTTTGTTTTAGAGGGAGGGAGAGAGAGAGTGCGTGTGTTTGTGTTATCAGGTGACTTACGCTCAGTCCATGTCTTGTGACTGCACAACCTTATTGAACACGCCAGTGTGTTTTGCTTCTCTAGGCAAAGCAAACATGTGTCCCAACCATTAATTGCCTCTTGTGGGGGAGGGGGGCAAGCTGACACACCAAAAGCAAGGCTGCCAAGCAAGGCCAGCTCCGAGATTGTTGCGGGAAGGAAACCTGCAGCGCTTCCCTGCTCCCTCCACCGTAAGAGACAGGCAGCAGTCCGACCTTGCAAAGTATTGGCACTGGCTATGCTTGCAAAACACCCTCTTCCCAAATCAACTATTTCGCCAGATTCCTGCTGAACGCCACAGCACTGTATCTTAGAGCACTCCAATTCCAGTCTGGCTTCTTCAAGAGTGAACCTTCTATGCTCTGGCACAAAAATACATTTGAATATCCAATAACAGGAAAGGCCTTAATGTGGGATGTTATGTACTGAGTTGAATAGGATCCAAACTGCAGCAGTCTGATTGGTCCTAGAACAATAGGATCCAAAATGCAGCAGTCTGATTGGTCCTAGAACAATAGGATTCAGAATGCAACAGTCTGATTGGTCCTAGAACAATGCAGCAGTATGATTGGTTGGCAGGAACCACCCAATCATGCTCCAGATAGAAGTGAATCCACAACCTGATTGGCTTACAGTAGAATTCCGGAATTAGCCAATCATGTGCAGCCCATTGTGTAAATAATGTATATAAAGCAGATACTTTGAGGGGACTTTCATTCATTCCTACTCACCACTATGAGCTGAATAAAGAGCATGAAATCACTTTGCGACTCTGAGTATATTTCATGGGACATTGCAGTCAAGCATAACTATGTATAACTGCTAGTTAGTGCACGAAAGGGTTAAGATCACAGAGGTCTCATGTTACACTCTGAAGGAGAATTATACGAAAATGACGCATCATTGGTATTTTACTCCTAGTAAATTACGGTAGCTAAAATGTATAAAACAAAGTCTAAAACATGCTGGAAATGTAAAGAGAAAGAGGGTACTTTTGATCACATGTGGTAGTCATGTAAGATGATAAAAGACTTCTGGGAAATGATATATAATGAATTGGGGGGGGGGGTTGAAAATAACCTAAGAAAACAAAAGCCCCTTTTTAGGCATTACAGAGATCCCAAAGGACCAAATGAAACTATTCGTGTACGTTACCACGGCTGCGCAGATTCTGTCAGCCAAGAAATGGAAAGACTGTACAACTCTGACCAAAGGAGAGTGGAAGATTAAATGGATGAACTATGCCGATATGGCAAAACTTACAGGAAGAATTAGAAACCAGGAAGAGGAGGTCTTTAATAAAAAATGGGGAAAGTTTATAATCTATTTGAAAAACTATTGTAAAAAAGTACACACATTGGTAGGATTGACAGAAAATTTGTAGCAAAAATTTGAACTATGGAATGATAAAGGATTTATAAGAATATAATTATGAAAGAGATGCAAAGGGAACAAGCATTATATTAAGATCCATAATGGAGGAGGGAGTCAAAGGGGATTATATGTTTATGTTTTCATTTTGCTTGTTTATATAAAATAGAAAATGCAAAAATATTTTTTAAAAAAAGATCAGAGAGGTCTGTTCCTAGACTCAGCTAGGTCATGCCCCCTTATCTTCCTGAGGGAGGAAGTGAAGCTGCTTCTCTGCCTTTTAATCTTACTCTCTCCGTGCCATGTAACTGACCAGGATGGACATGTCTGAACATGCTCAAACTTCAGACCGCATGTTTGGAAATATATTTTGTATTTTGCACCCAAGAGTAAACTACCTGTGTTCTCCTTACAGCTGCATAGAACAATGCATGAATCAGACCTTTGGATTTAGTAAGTAAGGTTTTTAAAGTTACTTAACAGTGTGTGGTCTGTTCATTGCTAGAGGGTTAGAGAGAAAGGGCAAGCATTTTAAGGCAGACTGAATGGGATACACAAAAGGGTTTTTAGAAATCACTCCAAACAACTATTGGAGGATACTAAGAACTGTCAACTTTAAAACCATGAGACCCACTGAAAGGTATTTTAATGAAGCTCAAAAGAGTTATATCCAGTATTAGTCCCATTCAGTACCGACCCACTTAATTTAGTGGTCATGGTTATTTTAGGATCTGTAATTTTAATGGATCTACTCTAGGCAGGACTTAGTTGGATACAATCCAAAGTGATCAATGCAAGAGACATGCCATCGAGAGTGCCTCTATTTCACATCAGCCATGGATTTTGCTGAAAAGCTGACCTTGTAGACAATCTTAGCTCCCCTTTAAAAGCATTTGTCCAGCCCTCCAGGTTGCCAAAACAGAAATCTGGAAATGTGCAACAGCATCTCCACTCTATTGTTCTGGAATCTTTGGAATGTCTTGGATAGAACCATTATTAAAAATAAAAAAATAAAAATGCATTCCTCATAGAACCCATAGGCAAGATTCCATCACAGTCCTCAGGGACCCTCTGTCCTAGTTTCCAGGAACCTGGTGCTCTCCAGCTAAGGCCGATGTGCGTTGCAGTCCAAAATATCTGGAGAGCACCAGGCTGGCAAAGACTGCTCTGTCCCCTGCACTCATCCCTTCTGCCATTTTCAAAGTCATTTTAATTCTGCCACAATGCTGGCTAACTCCTTTAGGGAATGTGCACACCACCAACTCACAACACACAACCCTCCAAAGCACAAGCCTCCATTTTGCACTTTGTGAAACATGATGAATGGCTAGGTAAGACTGGCAATGTTTGCTTGTACACACTTCCTGGGAATTTGTTTTTTAAATGCATGTGCACATGTCCAGAATGGAAAAGGTAGCTTGGGCGAGTGGCGGAGGCACGCAGTCCAGATATATCCCATCCAACTCTGTCCATTGGTGTGGACAGCAAGCGGCAGATTAGCAATGAACATTTTGACCGAAAAGGTGTAGAAGCTAACATGCCAAATGCACATACTGGGGGGGAATCAGATCTGAATGACCATATAAATGGTCCACATCCAGAAGCACCTTTGCTATAAGGAAGATTCTTCTATATTCCCCTTGGTTAGCAGTATTATACTGTATTGGCCTGAATATAAGCTGCACTTCCCCCCCCCAGCCCAAATTCTGACCGTGAAAAGTAAAAAGTGCGGCTTAAATTCGCGACCTTACAAAAATGGGCTTTTACGATATCGCTGCTGAAACAGACATACGGAACAGGTGTAAGTGCATGCGGAATTCTAAAGGAGCGGCTTGTATTCAGGTATTGTCTTTTTTTCTCTCCCCCTCCCCTCCGAATTTGAAAGGTGCAGCTTATATTTGGGCCAATACGGTACTTGCAATTAGACAAGGGTTAGTCAGAGGAGTTTCCTGGTCCACACAGAACAGATGCATCCAACATACACTATAATGCACTACTCAGGAGTAAGAGCATAAGAAGTGCCTGCTGGATCAGGCCAATATGGCCCACACAGTCTAGCATCCTGTTCTCACAGTGGCCAACCAGGTGCTTGTTAGGAAACCGGCAAGCGGGAACCGAGCACAAGAGCAGTCGCCCATTATCTGGTTTTCAACAAATGGTATTTAGAAGCATCACTGCCTCTGACCATAAGAGGCAGAGCATAGCCATCTTGGCTAATAGCCATCAGCAGCCCTCTCCTCCATGAATTTGTCTGGTCCTGCCTCCTGTAGGACAGAGTTCCATAGTTTAACCCTGAATCTTTCACCGTTCAGCTTCATTGTACTCACCGACCCGCTGAAGGAGAGGAAGAGCTTCAAAAGCACATCTTCTGAGAACGGAGGATGCCGAGCCACCAGGTTAATGAAGCGCTTCAATGCGCGCCGCCTCGTCTCAATAAATTCTCGGTCAGCTTTGAGAAGGAACACGGTGCAGGATTAAAAAAAATAATAACCTCCAGCCCCAAGAACCTCCTCTACCACCTCTGTTTAGACATAAAACCAATTTGCTTAAGGTTGCTGGGAACTGTAACTCTATGAGGGATAAACTGCAGGGCCCAGAATACTTTGAGGGAGAAAACATCCTTCGAATGTGCTTCGAAGGTATAGTGTGTACACAATTAGAGGCTCCAAAATGGAGCATGGAGACCTTCCTTGCTCTTCATAGAAGTCTTCCTCCTCCTTCTCATGTTCTCAAGCATACAGCATTCTTATCAAAACAGTAAGAAGTTGGGGGCAGAAAATAATGTAAAACACAAACTCTGGGTTCGGAACAAATCATGCAAATTGAGTATTCTTAAGAATGTGTTATTCACCCGCATAAGTGATCGTTAAAACTGGAGTTCTCTCAATATAGGATTTCCTAGACAATCGGAAGAATATAGCTCAGAGGGAGCTAACATGTAATTCAGCAAAATCTAGCATACCACAACTCCCATCAGCACCAGCCACCATGGCTAATGATCAGAGACGATGGGATCTGTAGCACAGAAACATCTGAGTCACCTTTGACTTTGATGCCTTTGAACTTGGAAAAAATTACAGCATTGTGTTTGCCTGCCAGTTGCTGGTCTCTACTGCTGGTTTAGCTTCCCCTCCAGACATGATGGCTGAATTCACACATAATGCCAAACCATGGTTGGGCTTTCCACCTGAAGTTATCTTCACAGTTTGCTATTATGCCTGAATTAACAAACCACTGACAGATTTCTAAAAAATCTAAAGAGGCTGGCTTGCACCATGGAGGAAGGAATGAATTTTTAAAGAGAAGTGCTGAGCAGATGGGAAAGGAAATCCCACAACCAGCTCCAAACCATGGTTTGCCTGATATACACCTGGAAACTCAAGCCATTGTGTAGGTTCTTAGCTTTGGTTACCACGAACTACCCTTTGATGTGATGTCTGAATTGAATTGAATTGGAATAACGTTGTTGCTGCAGAGCCTCTGAGCCTGTGCTACTCAGACCATCCCTCCTCAAGCGCATCTCATCTCAGCAGCCCAAGACGTACCTCCTAGCATTCTTTTGGGGGGAAGAGCGGGAACCATACGGTAGGGGAACTTCTGAAGAAGCATCTCATGGAAGACCACAAAGTCATTGTACCGCCTGTACACTGAGCACCTGAAACGCTACAGGAGAAAAAGAGGAAACCGTTTCAGTGCTTCAGCAGGCCCACTGCATTTCTTCATGAGAAGAACCCAGGCCAAAAGTTCATCTAGCCCAGCATTCTACTTCCAGAAATGTCAAGCCAGATGCCTGCAAGAAAGCAGAGCTCAAAGGAAATAACTGTTCCTTATTGTTGGCTCCCCAGCAGCTAGTGCTCCAAGATATACAACATTCAAACATTTAATTCCCTTTTAGCAAGAGCCCCTGACGGATTAGACCAGCGGTTCTCAACCTGTGGGTCCCCAGATGTTGTTGGACTACAACTTCCATCATCCCTGAGCTCTGGCCTTGCTAGCTGGGGGTGATGGGAGTTGTAGTTCAACAACATCTGGGGACCCACAGGCTGAGAAAGGCTGGATTAGACCAAAGGACCAAGTAGGCCAGCAAACTATGGCCAACCAGACGTCTCTGGGCATTGACAAGCAAGGCATGGATGAAATATCTCTGAATATTCTTCATCTCACCTCAACTCTTCTATAGACAGGAGGGAATTCCTCTTTCAAAATGGTCCCTGCTACACTGGTGCATTATCTCAAAACAAAGGAAGCAGTCACCCCCAACCCTTTGGAACGACATGTTCCACCTCCCATGACTTTTCAAGCAGGTGACAGCCCAACACAGAAACTAATGCAGGGAAAGGATTCCCCACTCTTTCTTCTTCAGTTCACCAGCGAGTGGCATTCATTACCTTACTGGAAACTTCGTATTCCACATGCTTCAGGAAGAGACCCTTTTTCTCAGGAATCAGCTCCACTTGCACCGTGTCCTTGCTCAACAGCTCAGGGAGGGTGTGGGGAAGCACCAGCGGGTTCCCCTGGGGAGTCTGCATCAGAGACTCTTCCGGCTCCTTCAGATCACTTGAAGGCTTTGCAGAGTCTAGAAGAAAGAGGAGAATCAAAAGAGGAAAACGCTGCGAGAGCAACAGCCTGGGCTTCTGATTTCTTCCTCTGCCCCCAAAGCAGAAGCCAGGAACACCGTTCAGGATGCTCTAAGCAGCTGGGCAGGCAGGGAAGACTCAGCAAATCCTTCCCTGCAACACTCTGGGAGATCCCTAATTTCACACCTAAGCAAGAAGCTGGCTGCTCTGCTTGGACACGTGCCAAAAACTCTTACACTGCAAGCCAGCCAAGAGGCCGGTATTTCCTGCCCGGTTTGCTCCCGCTAAGACAAGAATCTGAGCGAGTCCCAGCATTCTTGGATCCTGCTAAGGACAACAGCTTGTGGAAGGAAAGGCATTGCTATTTGAACTCTCTGGGCTGTGAATGAGAATCCTAAAACAGTTCCCCAAAGCAAGGGAAGGCACTTCATTTCATGCAGCTTGGAAAGGCAGGGGTGGCAGTGGGAGAGCCAGACCCTCAGTTAGCCCAAGGTAAGAGCTTTTCCTCTGCCCTGGTTTGACTATGTCACCAGGACTAATGCAGCCTAATTAATACTCTCCGCTTCATCCTCCCTGGCCCCCCTTAGGGAGGCAGGTTTATCCATATCATTCATGTATACGTGGCTGGGGAAACCCAGCCAGACAGGCTGGGTATAATTAATTAATTATTGATGCTCAGGCTAGTTTTCAATCCAAAATTCTCAAGGCATCCAGAGGTACCACTGTATATGCAACATGAGCCTACGATGGAGAGGTTCACAGCATTAACACCCCAAAGGGGTCTTGCCTTTCTCATAGAAACAGCCTCAGATTCAAACAGAAATCAAACATTGCTCTCTGACTCTCTCTCCCCAGCTTGCTGTTTTGCCTCTAGTTGACACCACAGCCCCCAAACCCTACTCTGAATTCTGGCTTTTGTCCTTCTCACTGTCTGCAAGTCAAGGGAGGGCTCCCCCCATTTGTCATCTGACACAGTGCTCCCTTTCCTTTGTTATCTTAATGGCCCATCACCCAGGCGGGTGGAAGCTGGCCTGGCTTGATTAAATGTTAACACCTGCTGGATCCACGGACCAGAGATGCACTTGCAATGTGCCTTTCCTTTAGAAAAATCCCAAGCAACAACTCTTCGTGCCTCCCAAACGTTAAAACCCTAATTCCCCTTCAGCTTCAAACATGCCTAAGAAGTACAAGCTTACTTAGATACTTGTGGTTTTGTCTTCTTCCACAACCCTGAGCTTTTCTGCTCCACCCAAATGCTTTTCCTCATCACACCCAATCTGCGTCTCTGCTCCTGACCCTCAGGCCATCTTCCAAGGCATCCCATCAGATTCATCCACTGATGATACATAAGCCACTCAGGTATGAGAAGTTCTCACATGAACAGGTACTGGACGCCTTGATCTATTAACACTCTTGCACCTTGAATCAGGGCGGATTTGATTTTAATCAAATCAATTTAAATCACTAGTCAGTAAGACTTGATTTAAATCATTTTTTTTTACAAAAAGACTCATTCTTGCTGGTAAAATCTTAATATTTACAACCAGATGAAGTTTTCATTTTTGGAATAATAAATTTTCAGAGTAGTTCATATCAAAATTACTGATCTGGTTATACTATTAGAAATACATAGATAATTATGGAATCATTGTTAGGTTTAATAAGTTAACTGTTTATATTCGGACAACTTTTCTGCTGCACTTTATTGGAAGGAGAAAAATCATTTCCTTAGTAACAATTTAAACAATTTATTTAACTGAAACAATAACATTATAGGATATGTATCCATGTTTGTTAACTGACGTGGTTGAACAACTTTTTCAAACAAAAAAGAAAAAACCTTAAGGATTTTAGCACACATGAAAAACTTAAAACAAATCCTTATTTCCTGATGAAATAGCCTTTGGACTATAATGTAACTTAAATAGAAAACTATCTTTGGAAAGAGTTTTCCTCCAAAAGCATTTGATTTTAAAAATCAAATTTAAATTGAAAAAAATCTGATTTAAATTTTAAAAAATTGTATTTAAATTTTAAAAATCTGATTTTTTTTAAAAAAATCATTCATTTTTATCCACCCTGCCTTGAAGCTGAATACGGCACTGTATGCAAAGAAGGAGAGTGTACTTCAATCTATCAATAACATCTATTCCATACAGCACCCCAGGAAGCTGCCATATACAGAGGCAAACCACCAGCCCATCTAACTGTCTCTGCACCGACTGGCAGCAGCTGTCCAGGGTTTCAGATAGGGACATTCCCAGACCACCTAGAGATGCCAGGGGTTTGGACTTGGGACCTTCTGCACACAAAGCAAATGCCTTAACCCCTGGGCTATGGCTCGACAAAGCTAAGATTGATGGGCACCCTCACCATCCTCACCAAATATAACAGTTCCGGCATATTGTCACAAGAGGAACTGACACATCCTTTCTTCTGAGCAACAGATGCTTTTGTTCATAGAAATGTTGCGTCCCCTCTACTTTTGCCAAAGTATTATCAGGTGTTGATAATGCGCATATCCATTAATTTGTTGAAGCAGATTTGTCACCAATTAAACAAATGTTAATCAAATAATTGGACTGATTTTTATTTATTTTTTGGTCTGTGAATTAATCAATGGCACAATTCAATGTGTAGTCAGACCCAAGTTCTACCATGTTCGATGGGGCTTGCTCCCACAGAGATGCACGCAGGATTGCAACCCAAAGAACTGCACGAATTTGCTCACAAGAAAAACAAAAGCTGTGAGGAAGAAAAAAAGCCAACCTTTGCTTTTAGATGAAGCACAGCTCTTTTTACAGTAACTGTGCCCTAAGAAACAGCATTCCCATTCTCTCTCACTCACAGAAGAGCTCTTAAGATGGGACTTCATACCTGCAATTTTTCTAAGCATTTTTTAAAGTATGTTCTACTGACCTATTAATTGGAAGCAGCTTCTGATTCGAAAGATATGTTTTTAATCCATTTATCTAACTGATTTATGTTGCAACCCTATAATCACTGAAGAAAATAGGACGTGCTTTTGAATAATCTTCTTCTTCTTCTTCTTCTTCTTCTTCTTCTTCTTCTTCTTCTTCTTCTTCTTTCTACCCCACCCATCTGGCTGGGTTTCCCCAACAGAATATTAAAAACACGACAAAACATCAAACATTAAAAACTTCCCTAAACAGGGCTGCCTTCAGATGTCTTCTAGAAGTCAGGTACGGTAGTTGTTTTTCCCCTTGACATCTGATGGGAGGGGGCCCCTACCAAGAAGGCGCTTTGCCTGGTTCACTGTAACCTCACTTCTCGCAGGGAGGGAACCGCCAGAAGGCCCTCAGCACTGAACCTCAGTGTCTGGGCTGAACACTAGGGGTGGAGACGCTCCTTCAGGTATACTGGGCCGAGGCCTTTTAGGGCTTTAAAGGTCAGCACCAACACCAAGTACGGGTTTTCATGTCAACTCAACATTGCATCCCTAGCTAAAAGGCAAGGAAATCACCAGCTCAACGGTCAGGCGAAGGAAGCCCACACCAGTGCATTTCTGCTATGAAGTTCTTTTAACACTTGCTGCCGTTTACCAAAAAACACACCAAAAAAAAAAAAACACCTGACACCATATTTTCACCTTTCAGTATTTTTCTGGCACAGGCATATCACCTAAATACACATCCATCCTTGTTTGTCCAAAGCTAGATAAGAAGTGAATCCAACTGGAAGCTGTTCAAAGAAATAATGTAGTTTTATCTACTACTTGGGCAGCTTTCTTCCACTGCACTGCAAGCCTCATCAGCATTGGATAGCTAATAAACAACAGAATGGTTGTTAAAGATTAGATATGCCTGCAAAAGAAAGAGAGAGAGAGCGCTTTAAATCTGTCCTGCTGGCTCTAGAATACAGAAAATGCTGAGATAATGAAGCATAATACAAGCTGCCAGGCTGATCATATGACTCTAAGCAGTCTTTCCTTTTGAATGCTCGTGTCCAGAACTGTTATCTGTACTTGGGAGTCTCCAAAATGCTTTATAATATCAAGGCCAAGTTTACATAGGCCACAACCGGGGGCGGGACGAAAACAGAAATAAATAAACAAGTTGCCCCTTCATTATTACATCAAATATTTACTATATCCGGCAGTACAGTTCCTAGTACAAAGTCATTGAGTATGAAGTTCAGGCTTTGATGCCAAGACTAATCCCTTTGCCAAGTACACAACTCACAAAGCAGCCCCTCAAGGGACTCAATTGACGTGTTGTGGAATAACATCAAGAGAAGTCCACTGCCAGGGAATGAATGGCAAGTCTGGAGGACAATGTCCTCTGAAGCTCTTCAGAAGCATATCTATCATCCGGCTGGCAAAGATCAGTGGCGAACAGACCCAGGATCAGCAGCCAAGAAGACCAGGATGGACAGTGCTCTCAGACCATTGGTATGAACTGTTGTTTCCAAAACCAAGCAGAGTTATTTATTTAAGTTGCAAAAACCTCAATGAACTGGATGACATACAACTGCTTCCTTCTGAAAAGCACTATCTCCATGTGAGCACATCGCAGGCTGCATATACTTTGACTGGCTCAATGGCAGGCCCCTTTCATTTTTGGAGACCTTGGACAACACGACCGTTATGTTAAAACACAACGCTACTCAGCACCTCCTATGGCCAAAGGAATCGTCGCACAATAGATGTCACACAATAATCACACAATGCAATTAACTGTAACGCAAATATATACACACTGGTGAAACTGTGGCTTGCATTTTCCATTTCAAACAATTATAAATAAATAGGGCTGTGAATGGTTCTTGTGGAGCTATAGATGGAATTCACAATGACTGAAGCCAAGAGAGGAAGCGAGTGAAATCAAGATAATCCTAGTCAGAGCACGTTCTTGTTCCAACACTACGCTTTATACTTATCTTCTAAATATACAAGCACATATATCTTGTGAGAGCTACTCTGGAAGCTTCAAAGGTCAGGCCTATGTCTGACTTTTCTGACAGTTTTATACTTGTTTCTGCGCACATGCCTTCCTAGTTATTTATTTGTAAGAGTATTTCCAAACCGCCAGCTCATTCAAACAGTGTCATGGTAGTAGACAATAAAATAAAAATAGGCAAATACAAAACATTGCACCCCAAACAGCCCTACATTTCCTGCTGTCTATCTTTGTATTGCACAACTTTGAGAGGAGAAACACCAATGCCATACTCAAGAGGTCAGGTTTCAAGAAATCTTCACAATCCTGAGCCTTCCCTCCAAATCCAAACACCACCTTACCTTGAAGCTTATCCAAAGATTGCAGAAAACTAGTTTAAGAACTGTCATCTGCTGCCTATCAGATAAAATTGGCCTACAGAGCTACTGCTGGTACAGACTTCAAAATCAACACAAGACGTGAATAGCACCAACTCCTACTATCCCTGCTGCTGACAACACCGCTCCTTTGACGCAATAATACAGGCATAGGCAAACTCGGCCCTCCATGTTTTGGGACTACAATTCCCATCATCCCTGACTACTGGTCCTGTTAGCTAGGGGTGATGGGCGTTGTAGTCCCAAAACATCTGGAGGGCCGAATTTGCCTATGCCTGCAATAATACATGGTGCAACATAAATTGATAGATCAATTTGGGAACACTAGGATCCCTTTGTGTGAGCCATCCCAGCGTGAAAAATGAACAAGAAAGTTGAGCAAGCATTTTCTTCCCCAAAACCAAACCTCTTCAGCATCCCATTTATCCAAAATGACTGTGCTATCAGTGCAATGACATTGTGCATAGACAACTACCTCGTCTACATGGTTTCCTAGTCAACGGCTTATTTTTCCTCCAAGCTGTCACTGTGATACATCCTAGCTCGCCAGGCTTTTTGCCTCCACCCCAAACTTCTTCTTAAGCTCCTCAATCCCAAATAGGTTTTAGACCAATGCTGACCCAGACCGTTTTCCTCTCCCCACTCTTCTACCTCTATACCATCATGCAAAGCTTGGGAGGAGTGTACAACTTTTGCTGATTAATTCCAAGGCGGCTAACACAAAAATTTAAAAGAATCCTAAGGAGAACCCATTTATATTTATCCTGCTCTCAAGTGCTTAGCCAGAGTCATAAGGTTGTTTGGCATCTGTCTGTCTCGGGAGACAATGGAGGAGCGAACCTTCAGGGATGAAGTCAAACAGTTGAAGAGTTGCAGCACCTGCTGTGGCTTTAAGAGACCAATAAGGGAGAGACATGTTTTGTTGCAGCTGGGGCAGAGGAAGGTGTCCAGTTGTGTTGAAGCAGGGGTACTATGGCATTTCTTCTTTCTGCACTCCTCCCTGTGGTCATTTCTCCTCCAGTCACTGCTGTGGATACACAACCTGACCGACTGTCTCCAGGCACAGAGGTCATCTGCAAGGGATTCCCACACTGCAAGGTTAATGTTGCCAGCCTTCATGTCATGATCTTTGTAACACAGAGTTGGTCTGCCGACAGGCCTAGTACCAGAAACCAGCTTCCCATAGAGCTGCCACCTTCCATTCTGTGAACATGACCTAGCCAGCGTAGACGTCGCTGAGACAGGAGTGTGAACATGCTTGGATTGTGGGCTTGGGAAACAACATCTTTGTTTGAGATTCTGTCCTGCCATGTGATGCCCAAAATCTTCCTGGCACAGTGCAGGTGGAAGTCAAGGAGTCATATAGTAGTACAGTAATAAATGGGCCACTCAAAATATGATTAAAACAAACTGGCAGAATAATCCACTGCCATACATATTATATGTTTGAAATATTTTACAATGATACAATTAAAATCTATAGCAAGTTACTGAAAAAGTAAGATTTCCCCCATTTATGATTTAGCTCAACAATTTAACAGAATGAATGAATGTTCATATAAACAACGACCAAATTACACAGAAGCACAATTGTAAAAGCACACCATCATCACAAGCCTGAGTCAACCAAGACCTCTCAAAATTGCCCCATCTTGACCAAATGGTGACAAGATGGAGCCAAGTACACCCACCACCGAGGGAATTCTAATGCAATGGTGTCACAACGCAGAAGGCCCCGTCTTTCAGAGCTACCCACCAAGGCTCAACAAACAGGAGGATCAACAAATTTAGCTGTTGATCATGATGCTGAGATACTTCATCCCTGTTGCATGCACGCCTCACAACAGTACACTGCTAGGCTGCATCAGTTTTAAAAGGAAAAACTAATTTTAGTTATAAGGAAAAGCTAGTTTGGGTCATGATGCTTTTGAGAAGCGTCACTCTGTTTTCCAGCTATCTGGCACAGAGCCTGACAGAACTTACGCAAGCATAAAAGCAAGCATAACACATAATTATCTTAGGGTTCGGGGTCCGGACAAAACTGTTTGTCTAAACGACTGCTGCTGCATTTGCCAAACTCTTTCCAAGATGCAAATATTCAAGGGTACCGTAAAATAGAAAATGGGCATCATAATAGCAACCTCAGCAAATCAACAATCCCAAAGAGAATGGGAAGGGGGGGGGAATTCCTCAGGAAGCAATGTGACTAGTCCACCAGGAAGAACAGACAAGGTTTCATCCTTACTATCTCAAGCCATGACCTGTGGGGGGTGGGGACTCTGGGTCCAAATAATGCAGGGAGCCTAGATTTCCCCTTAGCAAAACCAGATGTTTCCCTGCCAATTTGGAGCCAAGGATCTGAACATAATAATGAAGGATCATTCATCAGCCTTTCCTTTCCTCCTTCTTCCCTATCTTATTCTAGAGATAGATTTCCAGCTCGTGACTTTCTATCTATTGACAGAGACTATAATCAGGATTACATGGTGGTGAGTTCCAAAGAAATCAGCACAGTTTACTCTCAATTAAGTATTTACCAGATTATCATTTTAAAAATCCTGCTTCCTTTTTAAAAAAAGCTCTCAAAGCAACTTACAATCAGAAGTAAACAATCCCGTAGGAAGATGTACAACTGTCCATCAATAACTTCCTCCTATGAAGGGGTTAGGGGGTTTTGTGTGTGGTGGGGGTGGTTTACCCCCCGCCCCCGGAAACCCCCAACCACATCAGCATTGCTAGAATTCACCAGAAGGCAAAACTACCGCCTACAAGTTTACATGGAGTTTCACTAAGTGACACATACTGTCTCACTTCTGCAATTCTTCGCTTCCCCTCACGCCAGGAAAATCACACACTCCCTCTGCCAAAAACAACCTTCAATATGAAACAGATGGATTATTCGGAATATTCTGTTTGGCCAAGCCATTTTTAATAGCCAATGTAGAAATCAAGACTAGGAAGACCTTGGTCCAATCTCATGACAGCCATAAATTAACTGGGTGGCCTTAAGCAACTCTCCTTCGCTTCTATTTTCCACTTACAAATTTGCATCGTACGTTTGAACAGAGAGAATTGCTGCCAAGGATTCGGCATACAGATTGTGAAAACAGTTTAGTTTAAGAAATTATAGTCAGTATGGCATAGTGCATAGAGTGCCGAATTAGGACTTGGAAGACTTGGGTTCAAATCCCTGCTGAAGTGAAGCTCACGCAGTCACATGCTAACCTCCTCCCACAGGGTTGCTGTGAGAATAAGAGGATGAGCAGAACCATGGATGCGGCTCAGAAATCCTTGGAAGAAGGGTGGAATGACACCGTAACTTTACTAACTTCAACATAATAATGAATGAAAATGATGCAAATCCTTCCTTTAAGAAATGGTATTACACACTTACTAAGAAGTAAAACCCGCTGGACTCATTATGACTTCCTTTTGTGTAAGCAAGTATGCTTGGATTGCTCTGTCAGCATAGGATTGTGCCTGCATGATGCAAGACACTGGAAGCTGATTCACAGAGAGTCAGGAGGTAACTTATCAAGAAAAGATATGGATTTCAGCATACATGAGCAGAATATTATCTTTTGGTGCTGCGTGTATGGACATTAAAGGCCATTAAACAGATAGAAGGATGAATCCGTTTTACAAGAAATAAGCATTTCGAAACAATTCAAATCAAGAATTCCTTCTCTCTTCTAATTTCACACAAAAGGCGGGCAGAGCAATCAGTAAAACGCGTCTGAAAATCATGTTGAGTCACTTGGGCTTGCATGCTGTTGAGAGCACTTTCAGTGCAAGTTGCTCCATCCTCCTGGAACTTTCATATATTTTCCTCAAATGTATTTGCTAATGCTATTCTAGGCTGCCTCAACCAAAGTATAGTGTCCAGATCAAGGGAAGTAATAGTACCACTATATTCTGCCTTGGTCAGATAACACCTGGAATACTGTATCCAATTCTGGGTACCACAACTTAAGAGGGATGTGGACAAGGTGTGCAGAGGAGAGCAACCAGGATGATCAAGGGACTGGAAACCAAGCCTTATGAGGAACAGTTGAAGGAGCTGGGTATGTTTAGCCTGGAAAAGAGGTGACTGAGAAGAGATACGATAGCCATCTTCAAATATCTCAAGGGCTGCCACATGGAAGAGGGAACAAGCTTGTTTTCTCTTACTCTGGAGGGTATGACTTGAACCCATGGCTTCAAGTTACAAGAAAGGAGATTCCGACTAAACATCAGCAGAAACTTTTTGACAGTAAGAGCTGTTTGACAGTGGAACAGACTCTCTCAGGAAGTTGTGGACTCTCCTTCCTTGGAGGTTTTTTAGCAGAGGTTGGATGGACATCTGTCATGGATGCTTTAGCTGAGATTCCTGCATTGCAGGGGGTTGGACTAGATGACCCAACTCTACAATTCTATGATTTCCAGCCTTTGACCAAACAATTTTAGGGAACAAACATAGGACCACACTGGTCCATCTAATTGAATATTGTCTATGTTCAGTGCTATTCTTCTAGAAAAAGAGGTGCCTGAACTCACCACGAATGCCCCCCTTGTTCTCTTATAATGGCAATGGCGCCCACTTAGTTCTGGCAAGTTCCAGCTGGGGGGGGAAAGCCCCATCTATATTGACTGGCAGAGGCTTTCCGGCATTTCAAACAGCGAAATTTCCCACCCCTATCTGGAGATGCCAGGAACTGAACCTGGGACTTTCTGCATGCAAAGCAAATACTCTGCTAACAAGCTACACACCTTCCTCCTCCATCAATGACATCCATTTTCCTCAGCATATAAAGATCTCAGTTATCTAACCTATGTGGCTGCAAAATCATATTGCTAAGTAGGCTCCTAAAGCACAATTCCTCACTTTAGTGCTAACAGAATAATATGTGCAGCAGAAGATATGGCAATTAGCTTAACATACCTAGGCATTATTCACACAGGTGAACATTAAGCATTGTCAGACGGCCTATAAAAACTGTACTGTTAAATGTTTATCTCAAAACCTGCTTGGGTTTTACCAGGCCTTTTCCATGAATGAAGCAGATTACAAAGACTTCCACATTTGCTAGAAATACTATTTCAAAAGAAGCAGCGTCAGATTCTACTTCCACATTAAGCAGAAGAACTATTTCAGAGGAACTACAGTGGTACCTCAGGTTACAGACGCTTCAGGTTACAGATTCTGCCAACCCAGAAATAGTACCTCGGGTTAAGAACTTTGCTTCAGGATGAGAACAGAAATTGTGCGGTGACAGCAGCGGGAGGCCCAATTAGCTAAAGTGGTACCTCAGGTTAAGAACAGTTTCAGGTTAAGAACGGACCTCTAGAACGAATTAAGTTCTTAACCAGAGGTACCACTGTATTGCTAAAAGATTGATTCCCACTGTAGCTATAGAAATACTACTAATTCAAAGAGAATAATAATAAATAACATGACCTAAGCTATTTCAAAACAACTATTTCCCATGCCATAGTACAGTACAGAAATATTGTACTACAAAGTATCTTGTGGTACCTGCCAAAGAATGTACAGTATTACTGAACTAAGGCTAATTTGCTAGCCTTTAAGGTTAACACACGACTTCTTTTGCTGCAGCAAACTAATGTACACTTGCATAGCGGTAAACCCCATTGAACTCAGTGGGCCTGAGTAACCCTAGAAAGAAAGGATTGCTCTAGGAAGTTAAAGAAATAATATTGCAGAGAGGATAGCCACCTAGAAACAAAGTGACACATATAAATACTTCTATGTAGATTAATAACCACAACTGTTTCAAATAAACTATTCATGAACGACTATTTCCCACAGTAGCTTTAGAAGTAGTGAAATGTGAAACTGCCGCATGACAATACATAAAGGGGCTGAACCAAGACAAAAAATTTTTTAGCATGGGTGCTCCTTGTCTTCCCAAGGCCATCAAGAACCGTTTTATGAATTGCCACTGTTCCTTACATAATTCTCACAAGCAGTGCTTTTCTGCCCCCAATAGCATGTATAAATTCAAATAAATAAATAAATAAGCCGCCTCCCCCCTCCTGTAGTTTCCAGCAACTGGTCATTTCAGAAGCATCGCTGCCTCCAACTGTTCAGGCGGAGCAAAGCCATCCTGCCAGTAGCCACCCATCGCCCTCTCCTCTTCCTCCTCCGAGGAATTCGTCTACTCCCCTTTGAAAGGCACCCAAGTTGGGTGGCCGCCGCTGTCCCTGCGGGAGCGAGTTCCGCAGATTAACAAGGCGCTGCGCGGAGGAAGAAAGGCTTCCTTTGCCCTCTTCTCCCGACTCCGCCAACTGCAAGGCTATCTATCTCTATCTACATAATGCAAGGACTGCCGCTGTACTTTCTCAGAGAGCGGCGAAAGCGCGGCGTGGAAATGCCGCCTTCCCGCAAGCCACCCTCAAGGAGACGAGGGCGCCCAGGGGTGGGGGCTTGTCGGCGAAGGAGGTGCCGGGGCGGACGCCTCACAAGGTCCTCCGGGTGCCTCAGCCCCTTCCCCGACAAGAGGCGCAGCTGTGGCTCCTCGCCGCCGCCGCCGCTCCAATAATACCTCAGCGGTGCAGAAAAACAGGAAAGAGCTAACGGCCCGCGCTTGCCCCTCGCGCGGCCCTGGGTTCCCCTCAGCGCAACCCGCACCTGAGGCCCCTCCGGCTGCCCCCGTTCCCGCGGCGGGCGGCTCCTCGTCCATGGCTCGCCTCCTTCTCTCTCGGCAGTCATGTGAGGAGGCGGCGGCGGTGGCGGCGTCCTCGGGACCCTTCCTGGCGCCCTCCCCTTCCTCCCGCCCGCCTTCGCTCCCCCTCGGCCGGGGAGGCGGCGCCGGGGCGGGCGAGAGGCTCGCTGGCTGCTGCTGCTGCTGCCCGGGACGAGGCGGAGAGGAGCGCGCTGGGGAGACAGGGGAGAAGGGGCTGGTTGCTGCTGGAGCCGAGCCCCGCCGCGCCTTTTCCCGAGCCTGCGTTCAGACGTGCAGCGGGTCAGACGCGCGTCCAGTGGGTTCTGAAAACGGGAGCGGGGGGGCTCGATATACTGCGGCGCGCAGGACTCCCTGCGGAGAAAGAAGCAGCAGCAGCTGCCCAGCTTCCTGGCCGGCACACGTGTCGCACGTCCGAGAACAGCTCAGCATACTTTATTTATTGGATTGATTTATTCGGGGCTGTTCTAGAAAAAGAGGTGCCGGAACTCACTATGAACGCCTCCCTTGTTCTCTGAGAATGGCAGTGGCGCCCACCTGAGAGGTGCCGGAAAGGAGTTCTGGCTGGGGGAAAATGCCTTAATTATATTTTTATGCCGCTTTTCATCCCAATGAATCCCAAAGCAGCTTACAAGGTGGCAGGGTTTTTAGCTGGGGCAATCAGAATAAGATCCACTATTTGACTATTGATTCAGAACCCTAAAATGTATTTTCTGTAATTGATTTTTTTATTTCTATTCTTTTTATATCGTATTGTTGTTTTATTGCTATGGCAGATGGCTGACACAAATAAAGATTCATTCTCTCTCTCAGCTTACAAGCAATAAGCAACAACAGCATGATAGCACATCACAAATACATATATCATAGAACTATAAAGTTGGGAGGTGACCCCCCCCCGGTCATCTAGTCCAACCCCCTGCAATGCAGGAATCTTTTGCCCAACGTTGTCGAACATAGGACCTTGAGGTTAAGAGTCTCTGCCGACTGAGCTGTTCATCCAGCAGTGTAATACGGTATAAATTATGTAGACTGATTAAAAAATAGTCAGCGAAGCAATTACAAAGCAATCTCTAAAACACCGTTACCAAAGCACCAACTGGAAAATAAGCTAAACGTCACAATTAAAGCAAAAGTCATGTTATGTGATTAATAAATCAGTGCAGCGTTCATAATCTATAAAATATTAGCAACATTAACAAAACAGCTGCCAAAAAAAATATGAATTGAGCAGTGTTGAATTCATGCACACTCCCCACATCCCCATGACTCATAATCGCTCTGTTCAGCTCATTAAAATGCACATACGCATAATGCCCATGGCAGCAGCTCTCTTCTGAAGGTTCCTCTGGCTGGAGGTGGGGCAGCGCAGGTGGGAAAAGCCATTACCTGCTGGGCAACACGGAGTCTCTCACCCCTCACCCTTGCAGTGCGCGGCTTGGTGCTGAAAATGTGAAGCAATGATCTCTCCTCAGGTGCAGCCATGGCCTGCTGAAGGGCACATCTCTCCCAACGAGGAGAACAGGGATGAGGGGAAACATCCCAAGTTCAAAGTCACGCAGTTCTGTTTTCACTCTGCACATGTGTCATGGCACGTTACAAGCCGCCTCGTGATGGGGCTTAAAAATTGCAGCACCACCAAGTCAAAATGTTACCACCTGCCAGTGCCTAAATACACATCATCATCATCATCATCATCATCATCATCATTATTGAATTTATAAAAGTACAAAATACAGAGCTGAAGAATAAAAGAAAAAATGAAAGAAAAAATAGATACATTACATCAATCCTTAATTCTATTCCATCAAGTTCTCATCTATCCTTCCATGGCTCCCTAAAGTTACCCATTCCTGCTGCATATTCTATTTTTTCTAACTATTTAAACGTTCAAATTCTTCTCATTATAAACTATAACTTCTGAGCTTACTCCATATCAGCTTCCATTCCTCTTAAAAACTTTTATCTTCTTCCTCTCTAATTTTGCTGGTTAAATTTGCTAATTCTGCATATTCCATCAATTTCATCTGCCACTCCTCCTTTGCAGGTACAGTGGTACCTCGGGTTAAGGACTTAATTCGTTCCGGAGGTCCGTTCTTAACCTGAAACTGTTCTTAACCTGAGGTACCACTTTAGCTAATGGGGCCTCCCGCTGCTGCCGCACGATTTCTGTTCTCATCCTGAAGCAAAGTTCTTAACCCGAGGTACTATTTCTGGGTTAGCGGAGTCTGCAACCTGAAGTGTCTGTAACCTGAATCGTCTGAAACCCGAGGTACCACTGTACTATTTCCTCTCCCCATCTGTGTGGATATTGGATTCTCGATGCTGTAGTGGCAAACACAAATAAATTTATTTGTTTACTTGGTACTTCAGACCTCATTATTCCTAACAGAAAGGCCTCTAGCCTCTTTGGAAAACTCTTCCAAAATATTTTTTTTAATTCATTATATATCATTTACCATTATTCTTTAACTACTCTGAAGGTCCACCACATATGGTAAAAAGTTCCATCCGTAGCTTTGCTCTTACAACATTTACCTGATTGTGACTTACACATTTTTGCTAATTTATTTGACATCAAGTACCATCTGTAAAACATTTGCCAATAATTTTCCTTAGGAGCATAGCAGACCGTGAATTTTAATCCTGTTTCCCACAGCTTTCCCCACAAATTTAACCCCATATTGTGGCCCACATCTCCAGCCCAATTGATCATTGCTGTTTTCACCATTTCATCCTTTGTCTCCTATTCTAATAATAACTTGTACATTTTAGAAATTAACTTCTCATTATTATCTATCAGCTCTTTGTCAAATTCTGAGGTCTGTTCTATAAAACCACATTGTTTATCAACTTTAAATATTTCATTCAACTGACAGTATGATTGCAACCAGTCTGTCACCTGGTTACCAACTTCTTCCATCTTCTTCAGGTTTGTGTCTGTGAAGTCCAGTAGTTCTCTATATGTTGCCCATCCTTTTTCCATATTCATTTTTTTCAGTTCTTCCTTGGGAGTAAGTTCTGCTAAACTCCCAGCAGCCCCCAAGAAGTTGGTCTATCTATAAGATGGCACAGGTAATTTTCTGACTCTGGATTCACAGGCCTTATCTGAGAGTAGGAATATGCTAACAGTTCTTGGGATCCTGATTGATAGAACAGTATACATCACTCCATGTACTTAAAATGGTCTTACAGGGACACCTCATTTAGTTGTCAGTATGCATTACTGTTTAAGGGACACGGGTGGCGCTGTGGGTTAAACCACAGAGCCTAGGGCTTGCCGATCAGAAGGTCGGCGGTTCGAATCCCCGCAACGGGGTGAGCTCCCGTTGCTCGGTCCCTGCTCCTGCCAACCTAGCAGTTCCTAAGCACGTCAAAGTGCAAGTAGATAAATAGGTACCGCTCCGGCGGGAAGGTAAATGGTGTTTCTGTGCGCTGCTCTGGTTTGCCAGAAGCGGCTTAGTCATGCTGGCCACATGACCGGGAAGCTGTACGCAAGCTTCCTCAGCCAATAAAGCGAGATGAGTGCCGTAACCCCTGACCATTAGGTCCAGTCGTGGCCGACTCTGGGGTTACGGCGCTCATCTCGCTAAGCCAGCCTCTATGGGAGGGGGGCCTCCTGCTGAGTGGGGCCCTGGACCTCTGCCCCAAAGTCCTGCCTTGACAACGCAGTTGATTGCAGCCTGCGATCTGCATTGCCATAAGCTGCTGCACTGCAGAAAACAATACCCAAGAGAGCTCATTAAGTGTTCATTATCTCCGCCTTTGTTTTGTAACTCTGAAATGTTTAATACAAATACTGTTTTTTAAATAATAACAACCCCACTCAAATTCTCATACACTGGAGACTTCAGGGCTCACAGAGCAGGACTTCCGGATAACTTTTCATGTTGGGATTTAAGTATTGGAACCAAGAACCCAAAAGAAACGATCCAGACTGAAGCCTCCCTAAAGAATGTACAGAGCACTTTTTAACTCCAGGGTAACCACAAGCAGCAGTCACGAAATTAAAAGACGCCTGCTCCTTGGGAGAAAGGCGATGGCAAACCTAGACAGCATCTTAAAAAGCAGAGACATCACCTTGCCAACAAAGATCCGTATAGTTAAAGCCATGGTTTTCCCAGTAGTGATGTGTGGAAGTGAGAGCTGGACCATAAAGAAGGCTGATCACCAAAAAATTGATGCTTTTGAATTATGGTGCTGGAGGAGACTCTTGAGAGTCCCATGGACTGCAAGAAGATCAAACCTCTCTATTCTGAAGGAAATCAGCCCTGAGTGCTCAGTGGAAGGACAGATCCTGAAACTGAGGCTCCAATACTTTGGCCACCTCATGAGAAGAGAAGAGTCCCTGGAAAAGACCCTGATGTTGGGAAAGATGGAGGGCACAAGGAGAAGGGGACGACAGAGGACGAGATGGTTGGACAGTGTTCGCGAAGCTACAAACACGAGTCTGACCAAACTGCGGGAGGCAGTGACTTCCGGGGTGGCGCCATCGGCAATGGCGGACTCCCTCTGAATTGGAGGGACTAGCTCCGCGCGAAACGGGTCTTCTCCGCTACGGCGAAGCGGGGACCCTTTTAAAAATCACAGGCGGATGAAGCCTGTGACCATGGGACTCGGCGGGCACCCTTAGCGCCCCCCCAACCCGCAAAGGAACCCACTAACGGGCTCCAAAGCGAAGAGGGGGAAGTGGCGCGGGAGGCAGTGGAAGACAGAAGTGCCTGGCGTGCTCTGGTCCATGGGGTCACGAAGAGTAGGACACGACTAAACGACTAAACAACAACAACATTAATCATTATTGTTATTTTTATATTCCACAATTATGTGCTTTTAACAGCTTCAAGTTGAGAACAACAGATTCTGATAAAACTTTCCAGGTATGAAGAAGCAGCGACGGGAGAAATTTGACTGACATATTAACCTTATTGTGATACGTAATGAGTGGCATTGGATGGAGGTGCCATTCCATATGCTGCCAGTGACCATGGTCAGCCCAATACATGTTGGCACCTGAGGCAAACCAAAAAATGGTGCCTCCCCCACAAAGGAATAAAGGATACGTGAAGAAAAGTAAAGTGCCCTGCCTCTCTCCACCTGACTTGGGGCAGGGCCTGGCAGGCTCCATAAAGGACTGCTGCTGCTCCTGCTGCTTGACAGAGAGGGCTCCCTTTTTAAATTGTTTTAATATTTATCTATGTCATTTTAAATTGTTATTGATATTAATGTTGTATTTTTAGTTTTAGATTTTATGATTTATGTGGAAAATTTTTTCCATTTGGTTGTGTACTTTTTATGTTGTTGTTGTTATTATTATTATTAAAGATTTTCTTGATTTACAAAGGCCTGTGCAATGTCTCTCTCTCGTCCCCCCCCCCAATGTAACATTTTTACAAATCAGTTTCATTTGTTGAGACATTAGGAAGAAAAGAGGGAAAGAGGTGGAGGAGGGAAAGATGGGTGGGGTCGGGTGGCGATGTTTCTATTTTACTTACTATATGTAGGGTTTGGTGTCAGCGTTGCTTGTACAGGTTCTTTGCTGTTCACTTGTGTTCCTTTGGTGGTGAGAGAGGTTGGGGTTGGCCTAGGGTGTGGTTGTTCATTTGTGGTTGGCTGTTGTAGTCTTTGTTTTCATGTGTGAGTGGGGTGGGTGGGTGGGTGTTTTGGATCAGGTTAGCCATATTGATTGGTATGCTGCTGGTGGATTTTTGTCATTGTCTTGTTGGGCTGTGTATGTGATAAAGGGGAGCCATACAGGGGTGAAGGTGTCTTCTTCTATTTGTCCCCGTGTCAGTTTCAGTTTATTGGTTAATTTTTCTAGTATGGCTGTTTCCCATACTATTTGGTACCAGGTTGTGTACTTTTTGATGTGTTTTATTTATAGCTTATGACTTTTGTTCTGTTGGTAATGATGTAAATCTTGTCATGTTGTAAGCCGCCTTGAGCATTGTTTTAACTATGGAAAGGCGGCATACAAATAAAATGATGGTGATGATGATGAAGATCAGCATCAGGAACAAGGCGGGTAATGCATGTCTACATCATCACAGAAGTGGGAATCAAAGGCTGTTGCAGGGTAGGAAAGGGCCCCAGTCTGAATTGCACCGGATGGATGCTGACCCCAGGAGGCAACCCCCACCATTCCCTCTCTAGGGGTGAGAGGAGACCAGCAGGATCTCCTATTCACCAAGAGGCGGAATTGGAGGTGGCTGCTAGCAGTTCCAGTCTCTGAGACCACTGCAGCCATGCTGTCACTGCAACAGCAGCATCGGGCAACACATTCCTTGGAGGCCACATTGGCCGCCCTGTAGATCCTGCCACCCAAGGCGGTTGCCTCACCTTGTTCATGGATGGGCCAGCCCTGTCTTGTTAGCAATATCCGGGGATCACATGTTAGAGGTGGGTGGGGCCAGATGAAAAGTGGACAAGCAATGGATGTGGCCCTTGCCTTTGTGAAGTAAGCTACATGGCAGATACACATAAATCAGAGGTTCCTTTGCACAAACAAATACACACCTCTCCGTCCCCCATCCAGGCAAGTAAAAGGGATTATTATTACAGTTTACGGGCAAATTATTTTTTAAATCTCTCTGTCAAAATTTATCTCATAGCATACAAAAAGGCAAAAGGAAGTAACTGCTCTGCAAAACATCAGTGCAGCTTGCAGACTTGTAGCACAAAGCAGACCAATATAAAAGTATAAAGGTAAAGGTAAAGGGACCCCTGACTATTAGGTCCAGTCGTGGACGACTCTGGGGTTGCGGCGCTCATCTCGCTTTACTGGCCGAGGGAGCTAGCATACAGCTTCTGGGTCATGTGGCCAGCATGACTAAGCCGCTTCTGGCGAACCAGAAAGAGAGCCATGCATGGGAACTGTAGCACTGTGAGGGGAATAGGAGTACCCTAACCACTCTCAGCGCCCTGAACAAATTACATTTCCCCCCCAAATTTGGGGGGTAAGCCATGCCTGTTTAAAGTGGTATCACCATTGCTTTAAATGTATGGCTTGAATGTAAGAATGTACAATGCTCTTCCCAGGGAAGCTTGCCAGGTGCCTTCATTATACACCTTTAGGTAAAGGTAAAGGGACCCCTGACCATTAGGTCCAGTCACGGATGACTCTGAGGTTGTGGTGCTCATCTTGCTTTACTGGCCGAGGGAGCCAGTGTCAAGCCCTAGGCTCTGTGGTTTAGACCACAGCGCCACCCACATCCCTTTAGGCACCAGGCAGAAACGTTCCTTTTTAATGAGGCCCTTGATTGATTTGATTGACATCCTATGCCCTTTTAAAATGTCATTCTTTTTTTGGTGGTTTTATATGTTGATTTTGTTCTGTGAACCGCCTTGAAACTTCCAGGTATAGAGCGGTATATAAATTCAATCAATCAATAAATGTCATGCCATGCCATGCCAGTTTAAAGTGGTATCATCATTGCTTTAAATGTATGGTTAAGAATGCAGCCTGCACCAAGGAAATGGCATAGAATTCACTTGCAAATAAAGCACAAATTTGGAGAGGGCCCAATTCATTGCACGTGAGGATCCATTTCCCTTTGGCATTTATTGCAGGTCCTCTTCAGGACTCCCAGAAGTGCAAGCTGGATTTAGAAGAGGCAGAGGAACCAGAGACCAAATTGCAAACATGTGCTAGATTATGGAGAAAGCTAGAGAGTTCCAGAAAGACATCTACTTCTGCTTCATTGACTATGCAAAAGCCTTTGACTATGGCAAGTCCTTAAAGAAATGGGAGTGCCTGATAACCTCATCTGTCTCCTGAGAAATCTCTATGTGGGACAAGAAGTTACAGTTAGAACTGGATAGGGAACAACTGATTGGTTCAAAATTGGGAAAGGACTACGACAAGGCTGTATATTGTCTCCCTACTTATTTAACTTATATGCAGAATTCATCATGCAAAAGGCTGGGCTGGATGAATCCCAAGCCGGAAATAAGATTGCTGGAAGAAATATCAACAACCTCAGATATGCAGATGACACAACCTAGATGGCAGAAAGTGAGGAGGAATTAAATAACCTTTTAATGAGGATGAAAGAGGAGAGCGCAAAATATGGTCTGAAGCTCAACATCAAAAAAACGAAGATCATGGCCACTGGTCCCATCACCTCCTGGCAAATAGAAGGGGAAGAAATGGAGGCAGTGAGAGATTTTACTTTCTTGGGCTCCATGATCACTGCAGATGGTGACAGCAGTCACGAAATTAAAAGACGCCTGCTCCTTGGGAGAAAGGCGATGGCAAACCTAGACAGCATCTTAAAAAGTAGAGACATCACCTTGCCAACAAAGGTCCATATAGTAAAAGCTATGGTTTTCCCAGTAGTGATGCATGGAAGTGAGAGCTGGACCATAAAGAAGGCTGATCGCCGAATAATTGATGCTTTTGAATTATGGTGCTGGAGGAGACTCTTGAGAGTCCCATGGACTGCAAGAAGATCAGACCTCTCCATTCTGAAGGAAATCAGCCCTGAGTGCTCACTGGAAGGACAGATCCTGAAGCTGAGGCTCCAAGACTTTGGCCACCTCATGAGAAGAGAAGACTCCCTGGAAAAGACCCTGATGCTGGGAAAGATGGAGGGCACAAGGAGAAGGGGACGACAGAGGACGAGATGGTTGGACAGTGTTCTCGAAGCTACCAGCATGAGTTTGACCAAACTGCGGGAGGCAGTGGAAGACAGGAGGGCCTGGCGTGCTCTGGTCCAGGGAGTCACGAAGAGTCGGACACGACTAAACGACTAAACAACAAATTCTTAGGCTTCCCACTATGTGTCTACTTGACATGCTCAGACCGTCCCCCTTTTTGCGGAGAGACTTAGTACAGCTCACGCGCCTGGCAGGATGATGACTCGCCAGTTGGACCCATTTCGGTCATTTTTGAAGGGGTGCTTGATTCCTCTTTGCTACTATCTCCTCCACAGTGACAGCTTACGATTAATATAGGCTAGAATTTAAAATAGGGGGGAGGGTACACATATATTTCAACATTAATAATATGATTAGAAGTACGCGATGACGACACCGCTATTCACTACTTTCACCTCCGCCCTCCCTCTGGGATGGTCCATCCGACCCCACCTAAGGGCGGGCTTAATGCGGGGCCTCGAGCCGCCATGTTGGACTTAACCACCAGGATTGTTCTAACGAGGGGGTGGGGTGTGAAGCGAGCGTACCTCAAGACCGAAAGACCTAATTCCTAGGGGGAAAGCATAACTGGGCGCTAACCGATCGCAAACCCTCTCCTAGCCTATTAACGTAGGAGATTAACATATACAACGCAGTAAGACACCGTTTTTGGAATCCGTTCCTCCCCCCCTCCTCTGCCGAGTTGGTCCCTGCCCCGTCTCGCGAGACTCGCCGCCGGGTCCGCTCTCGCGCACATGGCCCGGCGAGAGGGCGCCTCCCCTGCGCGCGCGCCTGCGCGCTCTGTGCCCCCTCCCTCCCCCTTTTCGGCCCAGCGCGCCGCCTTGCCTGTTCGTGCGCCGCGCGTGTGAGGCGAGCGGGAAGGCCGCGCAGCCCCCCATGCAGGAGACCCAGGAGAGCCCGGCGGCCGCCGAGACCCCCGCCGCTCTGCCCGCCCAGGACGAGGGGCCCGGAGGAGGAGGAGGGGAGCCCGGCGGCGGCGAAGGAGAAAGAGGCGGCAGCAGCGGCGACTCGGAGGCCGAGCTGCCGGACGGGCCTTCCGCGGAGGAGCCTGAGGGGAAGAAGGAGCCGGAGCCCGAAAAAGGCGGCGGCGGCGAGGAGAAGGAGGAGGCGGAGGAGGAGAAGCCGCGAAGCAGCAGCAGCAGCAGCGCCGGCGAGGAAGAGAAGGCCGCTGGAGAGCGTCGGGAGCAGCCGCAACCGTCTCCGCCTCCGGCCGCCGGGCCGCCTTCGCCTCCTCAGGAGCCGCCCGAGGTTGCCGCTGTAGCCGCCGCCGCCGAAGAGGAGCCGCCGGAGCGGGAGAAATCCCCCGAAGCCCCTGCCTCTGCCCCGGCCGAGAAGCCCGAGGGGGACCAGGAGGGATCCGAAGGCGGCGAGGCGAAGAAAGAGGAGCAGCAGGAGGAGGCCGAGGAGCAGGAGGAGGAGGAGGAGGAAAAGGCCGAGAAGCCCAGCAAGGACGAGGAGGAGGAGGAGGAGGAGGAGGGAAGCGGCAAGGAGGAAGAGGAGGATGAGGGCATCTCGTTCAGCGACCCCGAGGACTTCGTGGACGACATCGACGAGGAAGGTGGGTGGGCCGAGGGAGGAGGAGGAGGAGGAGGGAGAGGCCTGGCGGCGGCCTCTTCCGCCTCTTCCTCGACACGTGTTTGTAAGCCGCCTGGGGGGTGGGGTAGAAATAAATATTGCCTTTATTGTTATATGTAATTTTGTATGTAGCCTTTTCCCCCAGAGAAGAACTCGAAGAAGCTGACAGGTAATATGTGGACATTTGTGGGGGTGGGGGGAGAGAGCCTCGTGATCCTTAAAAGAAAGGGGGGGAGGGTTGGTGTGGCCATTTGGGAAGGGGTGGCAGCGCCTCTGCTTTGCTTGCAGAAGGTCCCCTGGAAGGGCCGGTTACATCCCACTGCCTGAAATGGTGGAGACGGTGTCATGGGTCAGTCTAGGCCAGTATTCTTCAACCTGGGGGAGGGGATCCCCAGATGTTGGGACTAAAGCTGCCATCATCCTTGACCACAGATGTGAGTTGGCTGAGGCTGACAGCCACCGAAGCTTCAAGGGCGCCTGAAGATCCTGTGTTGAAGAATACTGGTGCAGAGTAGTGCCTCTCAAGCTGTGGGATGTGGTGGTTTGGCAGTCCCCACCCCCAGTGTGCCAGAGAGCAGACCTTGACTGTAGTGAAGTTGACAAGGTCCGGAACCAGTCCATGGACTACCACGTTGAGCAGCGCTGGTGTAGACAATAGTGAACAAGATGACTTAGTGGCCTGGCCATAAGACAAGCTTCCAGCTTTCCAATCTTGAAACTCACAAATGCTTGTGGTGTTTAAAATATGCTGCTGCTTTTATAAAAATATAAAATAACCAAGCAAGGAGGTGGGATCAGCAGTTGAAATGAAGTATAGAAACATTATCTGCCGCGTACAAGAGATTGTAAATAAAATTGTCTTTAACTGACTAAAAACAGGAGACAAAGTGTTTGATTATCTAGCTGCAGCTGCCGAGGAGGACTGTCTGGTTATCACACTGAAATGTGCTTCTACTCTAGGGAGGACATAGAGAAGGGCATTTGTCCCTGACACTTTTTAAAAATAAAGTGAAAAGTGGATTTCAAAAGGCCATTTTAAATTGGAAGTCTATAGCATGTAAGTGCATGTAAGAGTGACTAGTGGGGTGCCACAGGGTTCTGTCTTGGGCCCGGTCTTATTCAACATCTTTATCAACGACTTGGATGATGGACTCAAGGGCATCCTGATCAAATTTGCAGATGACTCCAAACTGGGAGGGGTGGCTAACACCCCAGAGGACAGGATCACACTTCAAAACGACCTTGACAGATTAGAGAACTGGGCCAAAACAAACAAGATGAATTTTAACAGGGAGAAATGTAAAGTATTGCACTTGGGCAAAAAAATGAGAGGCACAAATACAAGATGGGTGACACCTGGCTTGAGAGCAGTACATGTGAAAAGGATCTAGGAGTCTTGGTTGACCACAAACTTGACATGAGCCAACAGTGTGACGCGGCAGCTAAAAAGCCAATGCAATTCTGGGCTGCATCAATAGGAGTATAGCATCTAGATCAAGGGAAGTAATAGTGCCACTGTATTCTGCTCTGGTCAGACCTCACCTGGAGTACTGTGTCCAGTTCTGGGCACCACAGTTCAAGAAGGACACTGACAAACTGGAACGTGTCCAGAGGAGGGCAACCAAAATGGTCAAAGGCCTGGAAACGATGCCTTATGAGGAACGGCTAAGGGAGCTGGGCATGTTTAGCCTGGAGAAGAGGAGGTTAAGGGGTGATATGATAGCCATGTTCAAATATATAAAAGGATGTCACATAGAGGAGGGAGAAAGGTTGTTTTCTGCTGCTCCAGAGAAGCGGACACGGAGCAATGGATCCAAACTACAAGAAAGAAGATTCCACCTAAACATTAGGAAGAACTTCCTGACAGTAAGAGCTGTTCGACAGTGGAATTTGCTGCCAAGGAGTGTGGTGGAGTCTCCTTCTTTGGAGGTCTTTAAGCAGAGGCTTGACAACCATATGTCAGGAGTGCTCTGATGGTGTTTCCTGCTTGGCAGGGGGTTGGACTCGATGGCCCTTGTGGTCTCTTCCAACTCTATGATTCTATGAGTATTCTAACAGTATGTTAGAATACCGCATTTACTTGAGTCTAATGCATCATCAAATCTAATGCACACCTCAGTTTTCAGAACCTTGAAACAAAAAAAAATTTTTTGCTGGCGAATGTAAATGTGCCATCGAATCTAATGCACACCTTGATTTTTACAACATAATTTGGCCAAAAAAAGTGAGCATTAGATTTGAGTAAATAAGGTATTTTGTTGGTTGTTTTGTGTATTCAGCAGCCCTGATAGTAAATACTGTGTTAGAGGCTAATGCTTTATAAGTGAATTTCTCTTATTGTTAAGGGAAAGATTGTGGTAGGGGCATACAAATTTATAGACTAGAGGATGAAGACTTGCACTTGTCTTGATTTGCTGTGTGATTAGAGCAAAGGCTTATTTGAACCCATGGAAAACTTGTTAAACTGCTATAATTAAAGGGTTTGTAGCATCTTTATAATTATAAATAAAGCCATGTTCGATGTTCAAAGCATTCAGTTTGGAGAAAGACTGGATGTGCCAGGTTACTTTGTTAGATTTTTGTAGTGGTGTAGAAGGATAGCAACCAACATTTGTAATAGCATCATTCTGCCCCAGTAGATTCCCCCCCCCCCCATCAGAATATAGAGAATTGAGTTTGCAAGCTCCATAGAAATGTGGATAGTGGAAGAAAAACAGCTTAGCGCTGTGGTGGCTGCTTGTCCTGGTTTAAGTGGCAGACTTCAAGGAGAGAGGCAGCCACTGGGAAGAATAGCTTGCCCTTAGTTGGTCTACAGATGGGGGACTGTTCTTCTAAGCAAATCCTTGTTATACAAAAGGCAGTGAGAATGAGCTCTTGACGCAGCAAAGTAGAGAATGAAGTTTAGAAAAGCATGTAACAAATTACTTTGCTTACTCAGTATGTTTCTAGCAGCAGGATAGCTCGGTTGGTTAGAGCATGATGGTGATAATGCCAAGGTTGAAGGTTCAGTCAACTGCATATTCCTGCATTGCAGGGCGTTGGGCTAGAAGGGACCTCCAGGTCCCTTCCAACTCTACAGTTCTGTGATCCTTATGCTAAATGTCTATTAGTTTCTATAGTTAAAATACAGAAGACTGATTCCAATATGGAGTTTGCGCTTCTGCTTTCAGCCTTTACCAAACACATGGCTAACCAAACCTAGAATATCCCAATTAGTTTTCTTTTATCCTGTACAGTGGTGCCTCGCAAGACGAAATTAATCCGTTCCACGAGAGTCTTCGTCTAGCGGTTTTTTCGTCTTGCGAAGCAAGCCCACGGATTAGCGCTATTAGCGGTTTAGCGGCTATTAAAGGCTTAAAGGCTTAGGGGATTAGCTGCTAAAAGGCTATTAAAGGCTATTAAAGGCTTAGCAGATTAGATAAAGGGGGGGGGAAAGCGAAAAAAAAAAATCTCAAGACTCGCAAGGTATTTTCGTCTTGCGAAGCAAGCCCATAGGGGAATTCGTCCTGCGAAGCAACTTCAAAACGGAAAACCCTTTCGTCTAGCGGTTTTTCCGTCTTGCGAGGCATTCGTCTTGCGGGGCACCACTGTAATTAAATTGTGGGCTTTGCTGTCTCTCTCATTCGCATACTTATCTTTTCCACAGAATTACTTGGAGATATTCTGCAAGAACGTCCACAGGAGGCTGATGGAATTGATTCAGTGATTGTGGTGGATAATGTTCCTCAGGTTGGACCAGACCGACTCGAGAAACTGAAGAATGTTATCCACAAGATTTTCTCAAAGTTTGGAAAAATTACCAATGAGTTTTACCCAGAAGCTGATGGGCAGACTAAAGGGTGAGTGGCTGTCTTTTTTAGCTATCATTGCTAGCAATTGCTGGCTAGCCAGCTATCATTGCTGAGCAATCCTTCCCTCTCCAGTGAGGTGCACCCCCACCTTTCCAGCAGGAAAGGGAAGGTAGGGAGACTACTAGCTTGGCCACTACATGGTGGATGGTGCCCTGAATGCCAGCATGGCCAGTTCTTGAAAAGCTGCCTCTGCCTAGCAGCAGGCAAGAAAACTTGTCACTAGCTTTTCCTGTGAGAAAAGGAAGGTATTCTTTCTTGGGTAGGTGAGTTACACCAGGTGCTATGCTACCAAGCAGGCAAGCAGCCTTTAGCCGAGGAGCCTGTGAGGATTACCACACAATTGTTAGGACACCCCAGCATACCTCAGCAGCTTCAAACTTGAAGGGAAAACTGGTTGGTCACTTGTCATACTTACCAGAGGTTATTGATGCAGTCACCACAGTGAACATGGTGGCTGAAAATGAAAATGTCACATCCTCTATGACAGGCATCTCCAACTCCCAAGAGTTTTTTATACTCCCAGTATAAAAAAAACAACAACTGGCAGTAATCTACCCATTGTCATTGGAGGGGGGAGTAGCATGCAAGGGGTGGGTGGGTTGCCCAGCTCCCAGTATAAAAGAACAACAACCGGTAGTGATCTACTCATTGGAGGGGGGAGGAGGGAGGGTGGGTTGCCCAGAGTTGCGGAGCTTTTTGGGGGAAGGATTGCACTTAGTTTTTTAGCTTTTCCCACATTTTGTACATGATAAGGATCCTGCAACCTACCAGGATCAGCCGGGAATCTACCGGGGTAGATCACAATCTACTGGTTGGACATCCCTGCTCTATGATTATGGGTTTCCAGTGAGATATGGGACTGAAGTTTCAATGAACTTGCAACGTATAAGAACTCTAGAAGAATGAATCGCAGACCCTAGCAAGTTTTGCCAACAGTGGGCAAATGCTATGAATTATTACTCAGGGGCGAAACTAGGTTTTACTACACCCGGGTCACCCAGTTTGGCACCCCCCCACACACATTTGTGTACATGCACACAAACACACACAGGTGCCCCCTCTGGAGGCTTCACCTAGGGCAAACAACCCAGCTAGTGCCCCCCCCCAGTAGCTACGGCACTGCATTACACATGGACAGATAATACTTTTCAAAATTAAGCTATGGGGAGTTGCCTGATAAAAGTAAGTTCTCTGTGAAATTAAACGAACATTTAGTAGAAGAATAAGTTTTGTAAATTAAGTAGTGGCATTATCAAGTAGAGAAGGGAGGTTAAGATTAGCCATGGTCTGCAGGGTGGTTTCACCCCTCCAAATGAACCACCAGCAGGTACAAAATCTGCCTGTCGCTAGTCGCCAGATCAAGAGTAGCAGAGAGCTTGCTTCCTTTTTGTTCTCATAACTAGTGCATTGAAATTCCTAGCATTCAGAATCATCTACCAGCCTTTCCCCCCTCATTCATTTTCCCTTTTGTGTCTCCCCTCTTGCCAGATGGCACATTATATGCTAATATGGCAAACATATGGAGCCATGGCTCTATTTTTCAGCTGTTGCCATTGTCTCTGAGACAATGCAAATTGAAAATAAAAGGCACCTTGATCCTGCCTTTAAAATGGTGTATGCCACGCATGAGGGATTCTTGCACAGAGATAATTCTGAGGGCAGCAGCTGCAGGCCCAGCTTTCACTCATTGCACAGTGTCACATAGCATTTGGCACAATAATATAAACAAGCCTGAAATATGACTTTGGGGAAACAGTTGGTGTTGAATTCCGTTGAGTTGAAGTGTGGCTGATGTCACTGTTGAGGTTTGGCTGAATTCAGAGCATTGGGCCATTCATTTCATGTATCACCTCTTTGGGCAATTTCAAATTAAGTTGTCAGCAATAACTAACTAGATGTTTTACTGCAGGTATATTTTCCTGGAATACATGTCTCCAACTCATGCTTCAGATGCCATTAAAAATGCGGATGGCTACAAGCTAGACAAGCAGCACACTTTCAGGGTCAACCTTTTCACTGACTTTGACAAGTGAGTATCGTCATTTCTTAAAAGCAGAAAAGATTAACTGTTGGAAATACAAAGAAGTATAACTGACTGAATCACATTTTCAGATACATGACAATCAGTGATGAGTGGGAAATTCCAGAAAAGCAGCCATTTAAAGACCTGGTGAGTTTTCAGATGCATGTATAGACTTTAAAGATCACTGTGTCCATCAAGAGGCAATACTAAGTTTGTACCTGCGTAGGCTTGGAATCCCTCCAGTGCGGGTCATCAACTCCTAATACTGTAGGTTGTTAAAGAATACTTCCACAGCTCAGCTTGAAATGTGAATGATACACTGTGGCAGGCAATCAGATACTTATTAAAATCTGAGCACCCCAGTGTTCTTTTTTTAAAATAAATATTTGTATATATGATTGCAAGATGCAAAATAATCTTGCCTGTAAAAATGTTAAGTGTTTGCAAACTGTTGTCAATGATCCTGATATAACATTTGCCCATGTTACAGTGAACATCTGCAGTTTTATGTCTTTCAACAAATGCAGGTGAATATGGTGAATTTTGGCTTTCATTGTTGTGTCTTGGAACCGTGGGAAGTTCACAAAGCCCATCTAGGTGTGTCAGAATTCAGATCTGGATGTTCTCCAAATTTCACAAATTCAGTATAATACTCAGGAAATGTTGTGTCCAGCAAGTTGAGCTTTTATATTAGCTTTTCCGTAGTTATTAACTATGTCTCAAATAAAGATCAAATAGGATTTTTTTTTCAGGTCCTATCTTCTTAAACTGTTTTCCTTTTGACTTTTCCAGGGGAATTTGCGCTACTGGTTGGAGGACCCAGATTGTAGAGATCAGTACAGTGTGATCTTTGAATCTGGAGACAGAACCTCTATTTACTGGAATGATGTTAAGGATCCTGTCACAATTGAGGAGAGAGCTGTGAGTGTCCCTAGGAAGTATCTCTTTACTGAGAACAGTTTGTGTGCAGTGTCTGTAAAAAGGAAATAAAATATATAATGTGACTAAACATTCAGTTAACATATGATTCAATGAACATAATAGCTATTCAGTACATTAGTGAATCACATCAGTTACATGGCTACCAGTTGACCATATTCACATATGAGATTTCTGTTTTTAGAATGCTGAGGGCCACAAATAAATTTAGATGTCGATTGACGTTAGATGTCGTGCACCAGAGTAAGGGATTAATCCCAGATAAGGTTTTATGCATCAATATGCAAATGAAATATGATTCAAATGGTTATCCTATGCACTTTTCCCCTTGTAGCGATGGACAGAAACCTATGTACGCTGGTCTCCAAAGGGTACCTATCTGGCTACATTCCATATGAGGGGCATTGCTTTGTGGGGTGGAGAGAAATTCAAGCAGATTCAGAAGTTCAGCCACCAGGGGGTGCAACTCATTGACTTCTCACCTTGCGAAAGGTAGTGTATGAAATTAGTTGGTGGTGGTACTGTGGGAATTGGGTGTATAAAATATATTGTCTGTTACATTTACGCATTCTGTTTATTGATTTCCCTATTGGGGGCTGTTACACCACATTTCAACCATATTCCTGGTATGGTTTTCAAGATAGAATAAAACAATGTACAACTACAGACAAAACACACTAAACTAAAACTTAAAAGATCATTGAAGTAGTACAAAACATTGCCTGAAATGAAAAGAGCATAAAGTACGCATCAGGCTAACCACTCTGGGAAGAACATTTCACAGTTGAAGCAACACCTCCAAGAAGACCCTCAGGTGGCAGGCACAGCCAAAGGAGACTCTGTACTGGATATGTTAATGTATGAGTAGATTAGATTAGATCTGTTAGTTGTTGTTTGGACTTGTAGCTCAGTTTTCAAGAGATATTTTTATTCAGGACCAGTCAGGTCTGAGCAGTTTCCATAGCCCCTTGGTGGAAACATTGGCTAAATTTATTAATAAGTTTGTAGATTTTCAGCTAGCAGAATTTGCAGGGTATGAAATATCAAACTGCAGCTATTTTTTCTTGTGGTGAAGGTTCTCATACTCATGCTTTCTTGGCATAGCTTGTGTGAAATAGTTTGGGGGAAAAGTTGTTGAGTGAGGGCCCCCTGTCTCACAGGAAGCTTTCCACTCGGCCTCCAAGCACAGAAGGGAAGGTGTTATGGCTCACCCTTGTCTTCTACCTCTTTTCTACATACATTCCTGGTTCCTGGAAAGGCAGGGACTCTTCAAGGCCTTTTGCTCCCAATTCTCTCTCTCTCTCTCTCTCTCTCTCTGTGTGTCTGTTTTTCTTTCTAGCTAGTAACTAGGTCTTGTATATAGCATGGTGCAAAACAGTTCTGCCATATAGAGAGCGCAACTCTTGTTCTAATGAGAATTCCAAGTGGTCTAGAAGCAGCTTCCTAGACCTATCATAGTTGATAGTGTAGTGCAGAGCTTTCCAAACTGTGAGTTGTGTGAATGCTCCCCACTCTCCTCTTGGGGCTGGAAAGGGGTTAGTTTAACCTCCAGTTTGCTACGAAAAGTGAATTACTGTATTGCAAAATGATGCATTTCCAAAAAGTATGGCGCCAACATGAAAAGTTTGGAAAGCTCAGGTGTACCCCCACCCCAAACTCTCGGTTGCCTCTTCAGTTCCTTGAACTAGCTAAGACTTCCTGCCTTTTGTTGGCTTTGAGGTGAGAACATAATTGGTCACAGACATTTATGTTGTGGTTTGTGTTGAATCTCTCACATTTGTTTACTAAAGGGTTGAAGCTGTTGGGAATGTTATATTTGAGGCCTTTGTGCTACAAACCACTATCATACCACATATGATTAATGCATAAACCCTAAAAGGGGGAAACAGGATGTTAGATGCTGATGTTTTTGAGGGCTCTGCCATTCACTCACTTATTTGTCTTTCTACTGCCTGCTTTTCTGCAGTCCAAGGAACTCTAAATAGCTGTTATGAAACTGACCAGTGTTTTGTTACTTTAATTCTGGAATTTGGCAAAGTTGAGTACTGCTTGAGTGACAAGGCCCTGGCAACAAGAATACAGTATCTTGGGTGCACCATGTAAAACACAAAATCAGCATTTTAATGGAAAAAACCTGCTTGATTCTTCACCATACATCAAGATGTGCTTGCTGTCTTACAAGACTTCTGCTAAGCATTGCAGTTTTGAAAGTATGCTTTCCCCTTGTGAAGTTGTATTCCTGGGAACAGAAACTAAGAAAGATAAAACATGGCCCTCTAATGAATTTCAAAGCAACTCAAATGTTTAAACTTGATATAAGATCACAGCTTTTATGTTTGTATAATTGATCTATTCTTCTTTGTGAAGGTACCTGGTCACCTTCAGCCCTCTAATGGACACCCAGGATGACCCTCAAGCGATCATTATCTGGGATACCCTAACTGGACAGAAGAAGCGCGGATTCCACTGTGAAAGCTCAGCCCACTGGCCCATTTTTAAGTAGGTTGGGCAGATGGTTAACAAATTCCTTTTTTAAAAAAAACAAACAAACATGCTTTTGTAATGGGAAAGAGAAACATATCTGATTTCTTGAAATTCTTTGCTTAGGTGGAGTCATGATGGTAAATTTTTTGCTCGGATGACATCTGACACTCTTAGCATCTATGAAACACCTGTAAGTCTCCCTTCCTTTCTGATATAATATGATAGATTCTGTAACATGCCTATTTGTAGTCAAAATGTGCCCAAAGATATCCTGCTAATAAGGATATAAACTTAGTGGACAATGTGCAAGCATGCATCCCATACTGATTCTGACTGCAGTGTTTGCACGTCGCCCACTAATGCAACCTAAAAGATGTTGCTAGTTTGGCTTCAAATGTTGGACATAGATTGCATTTTCTCTCTCACACAAACCTCCAGAAACCACCACAATTACTTGTGGGACAGTCTTCTTGTAGCTGTCTGTTAAGCTTTTTGAAATACTGTTTGTTCATAGTATTCTTTCCCCAACAAAAGTGAGGAAAAGGTGTGTTGGCCCTTTTATGTCCGATAAAGACCATTTAGGGTTTTTGGTTTTTTACATGTCTTAAGTATTAAAGTGATTCCCCATTTCTGTTTTCTTGTGCTTGTGTGTATGTTAAGATATTTTCTTCTTTGTTGATTGTTATGTTTATAGTTTCACTATGTTTTTATGCTTTGTTTTACATCACATTGGGGGGCTCTCTTAGGCAGAGAAGTAGACCATAAACTTTAACATAAATGTTACTATAAACTTAAATTGAGATAGATAGGTGTGTACTAGAATCATTTTGACTTTATGTTCTCTCTTTCTAGTCAATGGGTCTGTTGGACAAGAAAAGTTTAAAAATCAATGGGATCAAGTGAGTGTTTTTCTTTAGATCTTACTTTCCTTGCTGCTGCTGCTGCTGCTGCTGCTGCTGCTATTATTGTTATTTTTGCCTTCAACATATAATTGTCCTCCTCACAGTGGCTCCCTCTCCTTTTCCAAAGTGTGAGAAATAGATTTCATTTGGCTCATGTGATGTGTGGGTTTTTTATTTTAAAAAGAGTGCCTTAAACTACTAAATTGTTGCATGTTCTGTTTACCATCCCTCAGAGACTTCTCCTGGTCTCCAGGTGGCAACATAATTGCTTTTTGGGTGCCTGAAGACAAAGATATACCAGCAAGGGTGACGTTGATGCAGCTGCCCTCCAGACAGGAAATCAGAGTGCGGAATCTCTTCAATGTGGTGGACTGCAAGCTACACTGGCAAAAGAATGGGGATTATCTCTGTGTGAAAGTAGACAGGACCCCCAAAGGCACACAGGTACGTGGCTCCGAAGCTTCCTGGCAGAACTGTTAAACTCTCTGATTTTGAAATCCCAACTTTTATATTATCAAAGCTAAGAGAACACTTGAAAGCCTTTTCTGTTTTTGATTGAAGCATTCTTGCTCTGAGCTGCCCAGAGTGGCTGGGAAAACCCAGCCAGATGGGCGGGGTATAAATAATAAATTATTATTAATATTATTCCACCACCATCTGCAGCAGCTTCATGGTACCTGATCTCCTCACATATAAGTTGCATGATTTGTGTTTCTGTCTACTCCCTCCTTTCTTATTGCACTCTGTGTAAGCCCCATTGTTCTTTTGCTTTGGACTGCCAGTTCCTGCACTGGGCGAAAGCTTTTTAATGAACTCTTAGCACATGTTTGCTGCAGAACTGCAAGGATTACCAGAGAACATATTAAAGAATCCAAGAATTTTATTCTAAATATAGGTAGTTCACATGCTGCTGTAAAACCTCCTGAATAGAAAATGACTCGTGTTTACAATTATAGGGGTTGAGTTTAAAATGAAGCTATCCCATCTGGCATGGACCTGTTTTCCACACAGTCTTCTGTGTGTCCCCACCCCCTCCTGAGTGCAAATAGTTCCATTCTTCAGAGCTGATGTCTTGTATGCCTTACTCTGTATCTTACTCTGACTAGTTTACTCCATACTAGCCTTGTCTAATATGTATCATTTTTTTCGCTCTATATGACGCACTTTTTCCCATCCAAAAATGAAGGGGGAAAGTGTGTGCGTCCTATGGAGCGAATGCAGACTTTCACTGACCCCTCTCGCGTTCCAGGTTTCAGGAAGCTATCCGCAAGCCCACGGAGCCTGCGGGAACTCCTGCTGGGCTCTGCGGGCTTGCGGATAGCTGCCTGCAGCCCGAAGCCCGGGGAGCGCGGCGCTGTGCACCCCGGCCTTCGGGCAGCTCTCCGCAAGTGTGCGGAGCCCGGCGGGAGTTCCCGCCAGGCTCCCAAGGCTTGCGGATAGCAGCCTGCTGTCCCCGAAGCCAAAACAATGAGACGGGGCGCTGTGCAGCCCTCCGTCTCGCTGTTCCAGATTTGGGATGGCTGCGCAAAGCCTCCGCAGGGCGGTGGGGTGAAGGCACCCCGCGGCCCTGCGGAGGCTACAAAGGACGTCCCTGAATCCTCAAGCCTTTGGAGTGCAGCGCTTCCCCCCCACCGCCAGCCCCACAAGCTCGGGGAGCAGTGGCAAGGCTTTGCCCTGTTCCCCGACCTGCTCTTGAACACACCTTGTTTTTGAGGGGGAGAACAAGAAAAAAATTCCCCCCCCCATTCTCCCCCACCTATGGTCCGGTGCGTCCAATAGAGCGAAAAATACGGTATTTCAGTTGAATACTTTGCAGTTCAGCCTTGTAGAAGAGAATAAATAACAGTGTCTGGAAGGCTAGCCCTGTTTTGGTTCTTCTTTGCTGCAAGAGACTTGTGGCTTCTTAAAGACTAATTCTAAAGTGCTGCAAGACACTTCATATTAAATAACAGTAGTGCATCTTGCTCTAAGTTATGAGATTTCAGGCACCCTAAACACTCAGATCCAAACAGCAGCAGGCTAGCTACTTCTGCTTTGTATTAAATGCACATCATCTCAAGTCCCTACCTGGGTAGATGACATGCCCACATCACCTTTTTCTCCCCCCCTGCAGGGTGTAGTGACCAACTTCGAAATCTTCCGCATGAGAGAGAAGCAGGTTCCTGTTGATGTGGTAGAAATGAAAGGTAAAGGACACATTTCTCATAGCTTCAGCTCTCTATGCACTACTTTTTATCCTTCAGTGTATAATATAACAGAAGTGAAACACCACATAATGTAGCCACCAGGGTGCTGAAAGGTATTCTTCCAATGCTACTCTCTGGACTCAGTCCTGAAGCTAGGATCAGAACCACTGTATTACAGTGCCTGCAGTTCCCTTTTCCTGGAGCCAGTCCAGGAGACTACCATGGTTGATGGCATCAGATGCCTACGAGAAATCAAGAAGCAGGAGCAAGGTCACACTGCCCCATCCTGCTCTTTGCAAAGGTCATCCATCAGGGCGACCAAGGGGTGAACCCAGATTCAAATGGATCTAAATAATATGTGCCTTCCCAGTAATGCTTGCAGCTGCCCCACCACAGCCCTCTCCACCACCTTTTCCCAAAGGTGAGCCATTTGGGAGCCAAATGGAAGCAAGTGGTTGATAGTTGTTCCAATCCAAAGGGTCCAGAACCAGTTTCCTTAAGAGCAGCCACACCACTGCCTCTTTCAGTGCAGCAGGGACCACCCCCGCACACAGTGAAGCTTTAACCACACTCTGGACCTAACCAGTCAGCCCTCCTGAACTAGATTTGATAAGCCAAGAGTGACTACAGTAGAGAGGAAATGTGGTGGTGCGCATTGCCGCCAGCAGCTTGCCGCATCAGCTGGTTGCATAAGGTGAAACTGATCCCACAAAATACCCCCCGATAATGACACTATGTACTTCAAGCAGAGCTGCAACAGGTGCAGAGTCAAGATCACTCCAAAGTCGAGGCTGTTCTCAAGTGTGTAGCCAGTTGGTCACGATGGGTCTTAGAAAGTTCTAGAGGTCCCTCCACTCTAGGGGATGCAATGCGAGACCACACTGCCACATGGTAGGCACGGTTATGTGTTCTTACCGGTGTTGGGCCAGCTTCAGAGCGAGATTTGCACCATCTAAGCTCCAGTCTTCCTCCGGCCTGTTTCACAGTCCAACATTCTTCAGAGTACCAAAGAGCTGTTCGGGCTCTACAACACCAGAGAGGATGCTCATGAGCAGGCATAGGCAAACTTGGCCCTCCAGATGTTTTGGGACTACAATTCCTGTCATCCCTGACCACTGGTCCTGTTAGCTAGGGATGATGGGAGTTTTAGTCCCACAACATATGGAGGGCTGAGTTTGCCCATGCCTGCTCATGAGTGATCATGGCAACTTTGCATTTCATATCACCATTTTATAGGTAGGCAGGATCACCAGCTTTCTCCACTGGTAAATCCCCCAGAGCATTGAGAAACACATCTGGTTCCATCAGTCTAGAGGGTGGGCCATCCACATAGCCCTCCTGCAGTGGGGACCTGCCACCGCCAGTCAGAATTTAAACAGATAATGGTCTGACCATCACAAGGAAGTGCATTGCATTCCCCCTATCTTCAGTCCATCACTCATATCACTTGGGGTAAAGATCACATCAAGAGTGTGCCCTGACTGGTGTGTTGGACCAAAGACCATCTGAAAGAGACCCATGGTTGTCATGGAGTCTGCATTCTCAAGCTGGCCCAAGAGCAGCCTCCGCATGGATCTTGAACTCACCCATGATTGTCATTTTAGGGTCCTCCAAAAATATCCCAGAGACTATCTCGGCCAGCCTGATCAGGACTGCTGCTGGGCAGCAGTATTTTGAATGTATAGGAGACCCGCATGAATTAGAAGCCTTTTCAGAGGGGATCTGGCTAATTTTACTAGTTTAATGTAGGTCTTCCTCTCTTGCAGAAAGCATCATAGCGTTTGCTTGGGAGCCAAATGGAAGCAAGTTTGCAGTGTTGCATGGAGAGCCGCCACGAATATCCTGCTCTTTCTACCATGTGAAAAACAATGGGAAAATAGAGCTCATTAGTAAGTAGAATTCAAGAGGCTGTGCATGGGCTTGGGGTTTGAGGATCTCTGTGTGTGTTGTTACAATCCATTTTAAAATTCATTGAGAATCATTTGAACTTCATTTTGGCCAAATAACTTTGTCTTTCAAGACCTCTTGGATTTCTCAACTATTGAAACTTGGACAACGCAGCACTTGGTCATTTTTGTGACTGCAGATCTGCTGTAAAAGCATTGATGCTAAGTAAGGCTTCTTATATGAATGAGATTGTGTATCCTAGTTATTCCTGGTCTTGTCAATACTCTGGAGGCAGCATTAATGGGGACATGAAGATTTTGATTACTTTGCTTTGTAAGGCTAAAATCTTTATTACGAAGGCGTAATATCAATTTTATAAAGCAAGGATATTCGTCTCATGTATTTGAATCTTATTTCAGAAATGTTTGACAAGCAGCAGGCAAACACGATATTCTGGAGTCCTCAAGGGCAATTTGTGGTGTTGGCTGGTCTCAGGAGGTGAGTACTGTTTCTTGGCAAGCATATCTTGAGTAACAGAAGCTTTTTTTTAAAAAAAGGTTCTTGACTTGAAATAGGTTCCTTAGAGGGTGCCATCTTGGTCCACTGAAGCAAAAACCACACAGAGCTCTGTTTTATTTGAAATGGTTCTGTAGAGTTTTATTTCACCCTTACAGAGTAAGAGTGATCAGCAGGTTAGTTTACCTTAATATAAGGGAAACTTCTGCCCTCTCCCAGACAAAAGACTTTATGAAGACTGTTTCAAATCCAACGTCTCAGCTTTTAGATTATGCCACCTGACTCATACCCAGATTTCAAAGAAATGTTTGTTCAATTGTTTCACAGGCTTAAAAGTTGCCTGCATGTAATATATAAAATATTCTAATTATTTTTCTATGCAGCATGAATGGTGCCTTAGCTTTCGTTGATACATCTGACTGCACCATGATGAACATTGCTGAGCACTACACAGCCTCAGATGTTGAATGGGACCCCACAGGCCGCTATTTGGTGACTTCTGTTTCTTGGTGGAGTCACAAGGTATTATCAACACTTCCCCACCCCTTACCCTTCTCCATCTTGAGCCTTTTAACATTCCTTGTGTTGTATTTGTTTTAGCTTGGATACCTTTGATTCATAAATATCGTTAATAGCATTGCTCATTATTTCTTCTTGTCATTCTCATGCCTCGGTAGGCCCAGTGCATTGGTTCTGCTCTTAACTGTAGAAGAGGCTTGGGTAAAGGGGAGGAGATAATTGTGGGGCTTCCATTGTGTAAACTACTTAATGTATGCTCCTCAAACAGGGAGATACCTTAGTTACTCTGGTGCCTGGCTTTCTGTGTTGGTACCTTGTTTATATGTAATTCAGATCTTTATAATAAACATATGCCATATACAAGTTAAGGCATCAGTTGATGGTCATTAGAAATCCTTTCACAACACCACGGAAGGGAATTTGAATGCTTTCAGCTTTTTAGAACTACAAAGTGAGCGGCTGGGTGCAAAGAATGCTGCACCGTGTGTGACACAACTTCACTGAACTGTCTTTCTAGGTGGACAATGCCTATTGGCTGTGGACTTTCCAGGGTCGCCTCCTACAGAAGAATAATAAAGACCGGTTCTGCCAGTTACTTTGGAGACCCAGGCCACCTACGTTGCTCACCCAGGATCAGATAAAGGTATTGTGTCCTTTACGGTGGGAGGTTTGGTGTAACTTTTTGGGTCGATGTTAAGAGAAGGAAGCTCGGTATTAGGAAAACAGCTCTAATGCTTCGGGAATTATAACACAGACAACAGTTGAAGCTCACCACAAGCTGGGGATAAGGAAGAGACATAGGTCAGCATTAGATCAGATACTTTATGTGTGGCTGATCTCAAGTTCAATCCCTGACATCTCCAGTTAAATGTTCAGGTGGTAGGTGATGAGAAAAATCTCTGAGATCCTGGAGAGCTGCTGCCAGTCAAAGTAGTCAATATTGCAATACATAGGTCAGTGGCTTAACCTAGCAGCTTGCCATGTCCACAAACCCCTCCCCCAGTTCAATTTGCAATTGCCTCCAGCAAGCCCAGCTGAGTTTATCCCTTTCCCACTGAACTGGACCTCATTCCCCTGATTACATTGGGAGCATGACATTCGTTGATCCAGCCCCATTCTGATTCCTGGTGTGCTGCCTACAGCTCTTGGGAAGTGTACTTTTCCCAGTTTACCAACATTAAGTAGTCTTGGGAAAAAGTATTTCTCATCTACTGTTGTCTGGGTTGCTGAAGAAGGGATACTTGCTCCCAGAGCAGCTTACAAGTAAGTGGCTTGGGGGAGGGGATTTGGAGGTGTTTGGGGAGCTGAATTATCCAAGCCAGAGAAAGACTTGGGGCCATAATGCTCTCTTGCTATTCATGGAAGGCTTTGCAAATCACCAAGGAGGCCAGTTTCCCCCCGCCATACTCTGCAGTAGTAAAATATTGGGTTATATTCAACTACCTTTTACTCAGACCCAGTGAAATGAATAAACTTATATTAGTTATGTTCATTAGTTTCATTGAGTCTACCATTGAGTAAAACTAAGTGGAATACCACTGTAGAACTAAGCATGTCTGATGGATTGCTGTAGTATCCTGTGCACAGTATTTGAAAGGCATGTATCCTGCTTAGTCCACTTTTTCTTCTCAAAATATGCTGGGGCTATATGAAATGGCAGATTTTGCTCAATATAACATAAAATCATTTGAAAATACAATGTGTAACACTTGTTTCCTGAAACAGCAAATCAAGAAAGATCTGAAGAGATACTCCAAAATATTTGAACAGAAAGATCGTCTGAGCCAGTCTAAAGCCTCAAAGGTAAGCTACCTTTTGATCTCTTGGTGCTTTGGTTTTGAGTCCAGACACCTATTTCCAGATCTAGAACCCTTGGATTCATTTTCCAAAGCTGCTTCTGGCAGGAACATTGTATAATAAGGGAGTGCTGGGGCAGGGAGGTTGGAGCACACTGCAACATTGGAGCAGGGAAGTCAGTAAATGAGAACTCTTAATTCTTCTGCTGGAGAATATGGAACCTTTAGCAGTATTCAGTGTGGGGAAATGTCTGTAAATGCCTTTTCCTGCTTGTGGCATCATTTGGCCCAGATCTTGATGCAATGAATTTCGCAAGTGAAGCCGTTTGTTTGCACTAGTGAAAGGTATTTTGTCACCCCAGTCCTTCCCATAGTTACATGGAAATAAGTCTCTTTGGTAATTTTAAGTAAGCATGTTTGGGATCGAAGCCTTGGAAAGTCCATCTTCTCTCCCCATCTTGATTACTCCTGGGGAGGTTTCTAGCTGCATTTTGATTGAAGGTTTAATAGCAACCTCTTGTTTTCTGTAGGAACTGGTAGATAGAAGGCGAACAATGATGGAGGAGTTCAAAAAATACCGCAAGATGGCACAAGAGCTGTACATGGAGCAAAGGAATGAGCGGTTGGAGCTCCGTGGAGGTGAGTTGGCTTTCCAAGCATTCCTTGTCTTAGGCTGCAATCCTGTGCATGCTTACCGGAGAGTAAGCTGCAGTGAACTCAGCAGCCACATGAAGACAAGTCTCTGTTAGGGAAAAATACTGGCAAAACTGTTACTGAAATAGTGTTGGGCTTACCTTAACAAATAAATGATAAGCAAAATAATTAACAAAGAAGTTGATATGTGGCAGAACTAGTTGGTTTGAATGAGATGGCAGCTGTAGGTCTGTTCTAACACAGCTAAGATTCTGTTTCATTTTGGAGCCAGGATAATGCTGCCTTGAAATCATCCAGGTCTAATACTTTTTCTCTTTACAGGAGTGGACACAGATGAGCTGGACAGCAACGTGGATGACTGGGAGGAGGAAACTGTTGAATTTTTTATCAATGAAGAAATTATTACAGTTGCAGAGCCAGAGTAGTCTGAAAGCCGTGGTAAAACCCATTCACATTGTGTACTTGGGGTGGTAGGGAGGGGAAGCTTTGTTGAAATCCCGGAGACTGAGAGTTACCACCTTCTCCTTCCTTTGCAGCACCACCATATCTCGTACTGAGGAGGGATTTGTTCATTTTCAGAAGGTCTACACAACTTTGGACTTTTTAAAAATCCATATTCTCTCTCTGGACGGTGAATGCGCAGGATTCGTTCATTCTGACACATTGTAGTGCCTTCTAGTCCCCACTGCCTACTGTGGGGTCACTCGAAAGGCACTGCTTTTAAATTTTTATCCTTTATTGGGGGAGGGTTTAGTTTAATTTTGAGAAAAATCTACCACCAGTATTTGCTGCTTGACACTCCAGCAGTGCTGCTCTCAGCTGAGCAACTTGGAACTGTGGCCCTTACAACTGCAGCCTTGGCGCAACTTTCAGTGTCTTGCCACAAACTCGTGATGCTTCTGTTTGCCGAAGACTGTTCCTGTGCCCAAACTGCACAGGTGGAAGTTGGTTTCATGTTGGGGAAGATCACCGAAAAAACTGTACTTCATACTATGTGCTTTAATTTGCGGAAGCAGCACTACAGTGGGCTCTACCCTCCTCCATTCAGATTGTGACAGGAGCTCTCCCAGGTTGAACATTGGAAATAAAGCAAACCTATATGCTTAATAAAGAGGGCTGTGTTATATGAAGCTTTCTCACTTTGAAACTCATTCATGTGACGTTTGCCTGTAGCAAGGAACATCTTGCTATCTGCAAATTGAATTTACATTCATTTGATTTCACATGCTTCCTCCATGCCCGACCACCAATAAGTGAGTTACAGATACATATTCTCAAGGTACATGGTCTCTGCAGCAACAAAATCAGATGCATTGGGGGTTTTATTTGCAAACAGCTTGAGTCTATAAAAAACCCCAAAAACAAAAGTGCCGTTTGAGTATTAGACCAATATAGGGGGCCATTTGTTGCCTACTTTGAAGATGAAGGCAAAGCTGTACCTAAGAGCTGCTAAGCTCAGCTCCATCTGAGCATCAACGTCATCATTTTATTTGTATGCCGCCTTTCCACAGTTAAAACAGTGCTCAAGGCGGCTTACAATACAAAAAGATTTACATAGTTACAAACATATCAAAGCAGTCATAAGAATAAAACACATCAAAAATTACATAACCAAACTGAACAATTTCCACATAAAGATGCAAAAAATTATCAGTAACAGCAAAAACTCCCGACAAAACTCCCCAAATACCCCAGCAGCAGCAGCAGTTCTTGTGAAGCCTGTCAGGCCCTGCCCTGGGCCAGGTAGAGAGAGGCAGGAACAGGCTCTCAGGCTCCCAGCAGGTCAGAGCACAGTGCCTTGTAGTAGTATATGGAAAAGAGGAATTCTTGGGGGCAGTTGAACCATAAAGGAGCATCTTCCATTGGAAACTAAAAGGTGGTTGACTTCCAATATATCAAACACATTGTGGCATTATAATAGGTAATGGTTATAGACTTCCTTTCTTCTGCTGCACAAACAACTTTGAAGTTAGTGACAGTGCAGTAATCTTGGCACTGATCCACATATTTCAAGAAAGGTAAATGGATAGTACAGCATTCCTGTGTCTGCACTTGTCTACATCAAGATATATTTCAGGGAGCAGGGTGACATTAAAACATGCCGTTCCTTTGTCTGCACTCCAAAGAAGGTAGCACATTTTGCTTACAAATTGGGATTACTCAGAGACATTAAAAATCCGCTAGTGCAACAATGCCAAGCAGGTTTGTTAATAAGCCTTTGAATAGCTTTATGGAAGATTGATTTCCATGGAAGAAATAAGGCTGTAAATGACATAAGAGGTGACCCGAAGTCATCTCTTTCCCCCACCCCACCCAAAATCTGGTAGCTTTTAATGGTACACATTTCCACTTCCTAAATGAGCTGCCTAACTTGACAAAAACATGCAGGAACTCAAGGCCCCAATTTACTCCTATGATGTGATTTGGGAGAAGTAATAACTTAGTTTCCCATTTTGCTTTCTGAGCACCAGTTTTATATACTCAAGACTTCTGAATAAGCATATTTGTCACCAGTGGATTTGGGGAGAAATGACACATTCTGATGTAAGCATAGTGTTCCATGAAGTCGCATTCTTCTAATTGAACCTTTTTGCATAGGGTGGTTGTGACAAGGATAAAAATAGGGCCGCGTATATCACCCTGAATTCAAATGGAAGAGTGGAATGCAATTGTGAATCTCAATCTCTGCCGGCTGCTGCTGCTCTCTCCGGCAGCTGTGTGCACCTTCTGTTTCTACTCCCTCCACTCCATTGATGTCACCACCTGCTACCCGTGGGGAAATGGTAGCTTTTCACCTGGCAGCCCTAAGCTGTGCCAAGCCAGCAGAGCGACTGCCTTTGTGAGTTGCTCTGAGTGAGTCTCTTTGGTTGATGTGATGGGTATCTCATCACCCAGATCGCCCAGCCCTGCAGAGAAGAGGGTTGCCAGGGGTTCTGCTACTGCTACAAACACCCCCAGCTCAGCTACCATGAAGGATTTGAGGGCAGAGGAGCAGTTGGTGGTGAGTCTTGGCAGCAACAGCAGCTTTTGCAACTCGTTGGCCCCTTTAGATCTCTCTTTTTAGAAAAAAAGATGGGAATTTAAGAAGTTTCCTTGTACTGAGTCAGATGTAATTTGTTATTTAGTCGTGTCCGACTCTTCGTGACCCCATGGACCAGAACATGCCAGGCCCTCCTGTCTTCCACTGCCTCCTGCAGTTTGGTCAGACTCATGTTTGTAGCTTCGAGAACACTGTCCAACCATCTCGTCCTCTGTTGTCCCCTTCTTCTTGTGCCCTCCATCTTTCCCAACATCAGGGTCTTTTCCAGGGAGTCTTCTCTTCTCATTAGGTGGCCAAAGTACTGGAGCCTCAGCTTCAGGATCTGTCCTTCCAGTGAGCACTCAGGGCTGATTTCCTTCAGAATGGAGAGGTTTGATCTTCTTGCAGTCCATGGGACTCTCAAGAGTCTCCTCCAGCACCATAATTCAAAAGCATCAATTCTTTGGCGATCAGCCTTCTTTATGGTCCAGCTCTCACTTCCATACATCACTACTGGGAAAACCATGGCTTTAACTATACGGACCTTTGTTGGCAAAGTGATGTCTCTGCTTTTTAAATGTATGTAAATAAGTGATGTACAATTCTTTGGGTGAAAGAGAGGGAATTGATAAATCTTCGATTGGTTTGAGAGCAGACTTCTATTTGTTGCATTTATATTCCATCTTTTCTCCTTCATAGAAGTCAAAGTGGAGTACATGGTTCTCTTTCTCCCCATTTTATCTTCTCAACAACCCTGTGAGGTAGGTTAAGCTGAGAGGCTGTGACTGACCCACAGTCATGCCTGGTGAGTTTTGTGCCCAAGTGGGGATTTGAACCCTGGTTTCCTAGGTCCTAATCCAACATCCTTAACTAGTACACCACACTGGCTCTCTCCAGCCTGTTGCCTTCCAGGTGTTTAAGTCTTGTAAGAAGCTGCCTTGGTCCATCTTGCTCAGTATTCCTTACACTGCCTGGCAGCAGCTCTCTAGGGACTCGAGCAAATTCCTAGCCCCACTTGGTGATTCCAGGGACTGGACCTGGGATCATCTGCAGATATACCAAGATTCTCTACCACTGACCAACAGCTCTTCTAGAGCTCATAGGATTGGGAGATCTGCCCTGTCCCCAAACTCAAGAGATCCGTCTGCAGAGAGGACAAGCACTTAGAATAGAATCATAGAATCATAGAGTTGGAAGAGACCACAAGGGCCATCGAGTCCAACCCCCTGCCAAGCAGGAAACACCATCAGAGCACTCCTGACATATGGTTGTCAAGCCTCTGCTTAAAGACCTCCAAAGAAGGAGACTCCACCACACTCCTTGGCAGCAAATTCCACTGTCGAACAGCTCTTACTGTCAGGAAGTTCTTCCTAATGTTTAGCTGGAATCTTCTTTCTTGTAGTTTGGATCCATTGCTCCGTGTCCACTTCTCTGGAGCAGCAGAAAACAACCTTTCTCCCTCCTCTTATGTGACATCCTTTTATATATGTGGACATGGCTATCATATCACCCCTTAACCTCCTCTTCTCCAGGCTAAACATGCCCAGCTCCCTTAGCCGTTCCTCATAAGGCATCGTTTCCAGGCCTTTGACCATTTTGGTTGCCCTCCTCTGGACACGTTCCAGTTTGTCAGTGTCCTTCTTGAACTGTGGTGCCCAGAACTGGACACAGTACTCCAGGTGAGGTCTGACCAGAGCAGAATACAGTGGCACTATTACTTCCCTTGATCTAGATGCTATACTCCTATTGATGCAGCCCAGAATTGCATTGGCTTTTTTAGCTGCCGCGTCACTTCCCTCATGCTCGGGTACAGCCACACCGCTTTACATATTCCAGGGATAGTTAATACATGTGTGATCTGGTGTTTATTATATTCAGGTGTATGCAAACACATTTAAATAATAAATCCATTGTAAGGTGCAATTTCTTACGTTGCTGGGAGAGGGGTTGCTTGAAAGAGTCCATCAAACTCTGCTATCATTCAAAAATATTTGTTTCATACCTGAAGTATTAAAAAGAAAAATCTGAAAGGCAGTAGGATTTCCTGGTTATGTGCCATTGTATCTGAATGCCCTGGCAGTTTGGGGTATTGCACAAAGGAGCCGGGTAAACAGCCCTCAAAGAAATTCTAGCTCTCAAGGCCTCTTCTCATGAAGCAACAGCTAATCAAGGCTTGTTGTTGTGAAAATAGATCTGTTCCCTGTAGGAATAGCGCTTGCAGCTCCAGGGCCAATCTCTGGCATATTCCCAACTTGATGACAATCCAGCTAAGAGCTAAAGTCAGTTCCCTGATCTGAACATGTCCACTGCTTTTCACATTTTGTTCCCTTCCACCCCTCTGGATTTTGCAAAGATTTATTAGATCCAATAAGGGAGAGACAAACATAGAAGTGAAGTTAAGGCCAGTCTCTGTAGTAGTGATGAATTTCTAGCGACTTCAGACAAACTTGGGTGGGTTTGCACAGTCGTTCTCTATATCCAGACTGTTTCTCTTTCAAAAATGTGGCACCACCAACCACACATATTTACACCAGCACAAAATTAGTACAGGGGGAAATTGCGCAAGAAGAGAAGAGCAAGATGCAGACCATAAAACTGGCACTGAATGTACTGCATACCACTGAAAGCGTGTAGGGTTGCCATATTTTGCTCCAGACACTATTTTCGCTGGTTAAATCCCGGACATGTGGGAAATTCTGTATGGCAACCCTAAAAGTGTGGTGCTCAAAACAGTACAGATATGCACAAGAGTGGCTTGCTATCATGTTATTGGGATATTTGTATTGCTCAAAATGCCTTACTTTGAAAAACCCTCATTTTCCTGCTCCATTTTCCTTAGTATTTTACCTTCACAGAGGTGGTAATACTGCCTGGACTGTGAACATTTCACTTTAAAGGGGTTCACATGATGGAATCCTGTGCCATACAATTAAAATCCCCTTCATGCTGACGAGTCAAGGGAAAAGTTACTAGTCTGGTGTTTGCCCTGATACACTAGTTTGCTTCGTGCAGGATCTCTTTTTCCCCCCAACAAGAAAGCTTTAAATCATAAAAGCTCCACTTCTAAGTAAACAGGACTGTGCAGATTTATTTACGGCTAATGCCTTTTAACCCTGCATATGTGTTAAACGTTCCTCTTTAACCAGGCCTTTGACTGATTAATCTTCCATGGCCTTTTAAATGTGATTGTGGGAGGGGGAGATATTTTGGTGTGTTTTTTTTGCTCTGACTATTTATTTGTGCTTTTATCCTGTATTTTTATCTTGTGAACTGCCCTGAGATCTTTGGATGAAGGGTGATGTATAAATTTAATTAGTTAATAATGATATGATGATGGTGCACAGTCCTCAAATTGCGGGTTTCCTTTTACTTAGTCTGCTTGCCTGAGTAACTTGACAGTTCGTCTGTTACAGGAAACCGAATTCTTGTTTCTGCCTGCAGGTAGCTCTCCGGATCCGTCCCATCAACGCAACTGAGGTGGAGGAAGGAGCAAACATTATAGCTCACAGATTAGGTGACCAGGTGAGAGGATGGGCAGGTAGCTGCGGGTTGGATGGGAGGAACCATACCCCAGTGGCAAAGCATCCGTTTGGCACGACATCTCCAAATAGAGATGAAAATGCCCCCTGTTTGGAACACCAGTGGAAACAGAATGCCATATGTACTAGATGGGTCTTTGCCTGATCCACCAACCTGACTCTTACGTTATTAAATAGCCCCAGATTCAACCCCTGGCATCTCAGGTAGGGCTGGGAAGAATATTTTGCTTATTAAATTTGTATCCCACTCTTTATCCAAGAAGATCAGGGCAACATACACAGCCACTCTCCCCTCCAATTTTTTTACCCAGTGAAGTAGGTAAAGCTAAGCAGACATGACTGGCCCAAGGTCGCAAAGGAAGCTTCTTAATTGAGTTGAGATTTGAACCTGGCCCTCCCTGGTCCCAGTCCAACACTAACCACAATGCTCTCTTTTAAGAACATCACATTTAGAAAAACTGAGCAAAATGCATGCATATTTGCAAACCCAGATTACAATTTTCTGGTTGCAGAATTTCATATGCAGGAATTCATATGCCTCCAGGAAAGTCATGTTGTGTGTGTATGTGTGTTCCTCCGTTTATTAGTTATTGCATCCTTTCTCCACCCTGCCCTTCTTTCAAGATAGCAACACAAGGTAACTCACAACTCAGAATACACAATGCAGAATACAATATTAAAAGATACAATAAAAGCAGCCTGAAATAAAAGATGATCCATCAGCAATAAATGATCAACACCATCTGCCCCAAAATCAACACCAGCTAAGTCCCAGGAGGTACAAAATCCAGGGAGTGGTTGTTCCAGAGTGTTCCTGTTATGTCTGTTAAATTAATTTTGGAGGAACCAATGAAAATTCAGTGTTAGTCTTTCAAACACTATTGGTCTATCCATGCATGAACAGAATATTCCTTGAACCTTGCACACACATGCAAACATTCATACTTTTGCCTCTTTCACTGGCTACGTTCTAGGTGCAGAACACTGATTTCAGTCCGCACTAAGACTAGCAGGCATGCATTGCTGCTAGTTGCCACCAGCCATCAAAAACCATTGAAGAAACATTTTCTACCCACTGGTGCCCATTGAGACCTACATATAGCTGTTAACTGTGCAAAGGATTAACGACAAGACCAACCTCCTAACGCAGTACTGATATTCAGAGCCAGTGTGGTGTACCAGTTAGAGTGTTGGACTAGGATGTGGGAGTTCAAATCCCCCACTCAGCCATGACTTAGGGCTAGTCGCTGCCTCACAGCCTAATCTCCCTCTCAGGGTTGTTTTGGGGATTAAATGAGGAGTGGGGAAACTAAGTATGCCATCTTGGCTCTTTGGAGAAAAAGTGGGATATAAATGAAAGGAATAAATAATTTGGTGGCTGCTTTCTTGCTTCTTCCCATGTTTTCATTGCTGCTTGGCATCTGTGCTCTAATTTGTTTCTGTTTTAGAAGGGCATATAGTTTCTAATCTATTGCAAACAGTTCCCTAATTATGCTTTTATCCAAGTTGCTGCCAAACTTTCTCTGGAGCATTGGGGCAAATGGTTCCTTGAAGCAGTCCCTTGAGGCTGAATGTGGCTTCTCCTGATGTTTTTTCAGCGGAGGGAAAGGAATATATTTTTCCTTCAGCGTTGTTCCGGTATACAAGTGGGGAAAATTTACTCCCAGAAGAATCCAGAGAAACTAGGCCTGATCTTTAACTTTCCATTTAAGAAATCAAACTTCTATTTTCAACTATGCATGGGACCAAGGTCACGTTCACACCATGCATTTTAAAGATGTCAAGAGTCATGGCTCCCTCCAAAGAATCCTGAGAATTATTATTATTATTATTATTATTATTATTAATACCCCACCCATCTGACAGAGTTTCCCCAGCTACTCTGAGCGGCTCACAACAGAATATTAAAAACATGATAAAACATCATACATTAAAACAGGGCTGCCTTCAGATGTCTTCTAAAAGTCAGATAGTTGTTTATTTCCTTGACACCTGGTGGGAGGGCGTTCCACAGGGCAGGTGCCACTACCGAGAAGGCCCTCTGCCTGGTTTCCTGTAACCTCACTTTTGTAGCAAGGGACCCGCCAGAAGGCCCTCGGCACTGGACCTCAGTGTCCGGGCAGAACGATGGGGGTGGAGACGCTCCTTCAGGTATGCTGGACCGAGGCCGTTTGTAAAGGGTGTGTGGAAAGTTGTTAGGAGGTCCCTAACTGAATTATTAAGAATCTGGGAAGCGGGGGTCAGTCTGGATGATATTATGTGGTCCTCTGTATGTGTGACAGAATCCATAAGAGGAAACCCACCAGACCAGTTCCTTTGTAAATGGAATGGTTTTGGCTGGCCTGTGATTTACATGTCTAAAAAGCTTGCCACAGAGACAAATGTGTGGGCCTTTTCTTACCTGGCTGGATGCCACATCGCCCTAAAGTGAAGAACAATAGCCCAAGTTGGGGTTGCTGTCTGAGTGAGCTGGCTAAAAGCTGGAGAGACAAAGACATGTTTGCTCTGTCCTGGAATTCCCTGGAAACTTAATGGGGAGGTGAGATCAGTTGCAGTGTTAATGCTGTGAGCCCCTCTCCATCCTATGCTCAGGTTGTATATATGCGTAAACAAAACCATATATCCTAAAGGCACTGCAGTCTCCTGTGACCTTCCTTCAAAGGAAACCGAATCCCTGAGAATGGGGTTGCTTGTAGTATTATAATTCCAAGCACCGTTGCTTAAAGCATTTAATCCTTCACACATTGCATTATGAAGACACTGAGATAGGGTTCTTTGAAGGATTTTTTACATCAGGCCTTCATCTCTTGACCCCCCCCCCAAAACCCCCTTTTTAAACTTTGTTTTCAACAGTACCCAATAGCTAAGAGTAAGCCCTGACAAGGAACCTGTGTGTTCCACCCCCTGAAAGCTGACTAAATGTGCCCCTATATAAATTAGCATGTGCAACTTTTATGCGCATTTGTGTCATGGCTCTGTATCCCAATTCTTCTAAGCAGTGCTCCAGCTTTTGAGATTTTGCAATCATTTCTTACCTCTTTAGGACAAGGTGTCCATTCTAAAGGGGAGTAATATGCAAAAATTACCTCTTTGGGGTTCATAATGCATACTTCTTCATGGAAACATTTTGAACCCAGTACCAAGCTACTAATTCCACCCAAGGGACCCCTGACAATTAGGTCCAGTCGTGGCCGACTCTGGGGTTGCGGTGCTCATCTCACTTTATTGGCTGAGGGAGCCGGCGTACAGCTTCCGGGTCATGTGGCCAGCATGACTAAGCCGCTTCTGGCGAACCAGAGCAGCGCATGGAAATGCCATCTACTTGCACTTTGATGTGCTTTCGAACTGCTAGATTGGCAGTAGCAGGGACGGAGCAACGGGAGCTCACCCTGTCGTGGGGATTCGAACTGCCGACCTTCTGATTGGCAAGTCCTAGGCTCTGTGGTTTAATCCGCAGCGCCACCGGGTATTAGGCACTTAAACTGGAAATGTGGTAAATGGCTGTGACTGTTCGGGCAAGCTATTGCTTTTTGCCAGTCTTCACCAACTTGATGTCCTTGATAAGTTTTGGATAGCACCTCCTACCCAGATTGGTGAAGACGGCTTTTCATAAACATTAATAGGCATATGGCAACAAAAGGAGATGGTTCTACCCTGGAGACTTAGCCTGTGTCCAGCCCTATCCCGGGAGCACCAGATTCAGTGCTTGGAGTTAACAGCTGGTTCGGCTCTAAACTGGCACCATCACTATACTTGCCCAAACTAAAGGTGTGAATCCATTTCTCCATAACAGATGGTGGTTTTGATGGATCCAATGGAAGACCCAGATGACGTTTTGCGAGCTAACAGGTCCCGGGAGAAGGCATTCATCTTTGACATGGTGTTTTGCCACAGGGCAACCCAGGTAAAATTAGATTTCCCATCCATCTCTTAAGCAACCTGGATGCCATAGGCAGGGCCGGGACAAAGGTGTTCTGTCACCGAAGGCAGAGGGCAAGGTATAAAATCTGATTAAGAGCTTTAGAGGCCCAGAGCACTGAAATGATTATGGGGGGCAGGGACCATATGTAATTCAAAGCAAAATGCCAAACCGTCAAATGAAATTTTGTTTTTGGAAATGGCACAAAACTTACATGTGTGCTGAAACATACATGCACATATGTGATGTGCAACACATGACAGGAATCCAATCTACATTAGTGGGGACCCCCCCCCCCCCGGTTTAAGCAGGTATAAGTAATAGAAAGGGAACAGAGAAGTTGGGGAGGAGTGTGGAGAGCAGTGTAAGGAAATCTAACAAACCTCTGATCCCTCCCAAGATGACTCCATTGATGCTTTTGTTTGAAATATCAATTGCCCAATTATTTTTAATAACAATAAAAAACCTTTGTGCATATGTGTTCCTGTTTCGCTGGTGTCCTGAGCACGTGCCTAGTCTGCCTGCTGGGTAATCCTGCACTGTGTCTATTGATCTAAAACAAATCTGTGCTGCTTCAGCAGCTACACTTTGGAACTCCCTGCGGGTTCCTTCACTGCATTTGTTTTTGGTGCCTGATAAAAAACATTCTTGTTTAGACAAGCCAAGCCAAAGCATTAAAAATGCGGATGTGAATTTTAACCTGCTTTAAACTTTTTGTATGTTTTATAATATTTTGGTCTTTTTTGCTTGATGTTATTGTTTTAACTTTTTGTGAATGAACCTGAGGGTTGTTGTCCCCCCCCCACACACAACCAAGCAGTGCATAAATTTTATGAAACAATACACAAGCAAGCAAGCAAGCAAGCAAGCAAGCAAGCAAGCAAACAAACAAACGTGTTAGAAGCATTGCAGGAAGTTGGACTAAAATACCCTCAGGGTCTCTCTCAGCTCTGCAATTCTATGTTTCTGTGAAATAGCTTTCTGAATTCTAATTTTGAAACAGAGAGATATTTGTGGGGAAGGATCTCTCTACCTCCATCTCCCTTGTACATTTGCTCTGAACATTTTCTCTTAGCAAGACATGATCTGTTTGTATTCATCCTGAATCTTCTGTCTAACTCACTGGGGACGGCATTACCAAATTCTAAGCCCGAAGCAGAGTTGAGAGCTGGAGATCTCCTTGGGGAATGAATGAGGTCATATTTTCCTTGCCTGTTCGTTCTACAGGTTTGTTCTACAGATGTATGTGCTGATCTGAAGCTTGCCCTGTTAGGCCAGGTTGAGCAATTTCGTATCCACGCCCCCTTCCTAGGGCTATGGGGAGCAGGTGTGAGGGCTCTGACAGGGTCCTAGAATCTTCCTCCCATCTTGCTACCCACTTGGTATTCTGGTTTTACTGGACTCCAGTTCCCAGCACACAGAATGATGGGAGTTGGAGTCCATCGTCATCTGAAGATTCACAGATTCCCCTCCTCTGCATTAAGCTCGATATGAAAGCTTGATCTGCTGCTCCTTATTGTTCCTAGGAGGAGGTGTACCTGTCCACAACAAAAAATCTCGTCGAAGGAGTCATTTCTGGCTACAACACTACCATTTTTGCATATGGCCCCACAGGTAAAGTGGAGGGTGAGATACGCGATGTTGGTGTCAGAGGTGGGCATGGTTGGGCAATGGCTAAAAGATTGCAAGGTATTCTTCCATCCCCCATTCAATCATAACCCTGGATGACCTCCAGCTGTTATATGGGAAGATTCTAAAGGAGGTTTGAGAGGAGAATTAATACAGAAAGCCTCTCAACTGGAAAGAAAATCTAAGAACTAACCAAACAGCTGATTTAGAACAAGAGCACAGAAGAGCTTGTTCCCCCAGACTACGCAGAAAAATGGAAACGATAAGAAAACAATGACTATCGTAAATTGTGCTCAGGTGGAAAGAATATTTGAAATATTAAAAACGATGATATTTCATAAAAGGCAACAAACCTGATATACTGTTAGCAGCACAAATGAGAACAAGAAGAAGGTACGTGGTTAAAAACACTCAAGCCGGAGTGTGGCACTCAAATCAGAAGCGTAACACTCAAAACTGAGCATGTTCGGCTTCCGAAAAAAGTTCGCAAACCAGAATACTTACCGTACTTCCAGGTTTGCAGTGTGTGGGTTCCAAGTTGTTTGAGTACCAAGGCATCTGAGAACCAAGGTACCTCTGTACTGTAATACTGTTATGACAGGGTGCAGCAAAAGGGCAGCAAACAAAATCACCAAGGAAGACGAGGTGGGAAGTCGACCAAAAAAATAAATAAATAAAAATTAGGTATTGGAGTGTATATGTGGAAATTTTTCCTTTTTCTTGAAATTTAATAAAATATTTTTTTTAAAAAAAATGTTAGGGACTCGTTTTGAGGAATGGATTGGGAGTGGATTGAGCCTTTCAGTTTGTGGGCTGCATCAAAGAGTTGCAAGTTGGGAATTAGAGTCATTTCCAAAATGTTTGACTTTCTTACACCCCCCCTCCCGTGTTTTCAACCAGGTGCTGGGAAAACCTACACTATGCTGGGGACGGATTCTGAACCCGGCATTTATATCCGTACCCTCAACGACCTCTTCAGAGCTATAGAAGCCACCAGTGGGGACATGGATTATTCCGTCTGCATGTCGTACCTGGAGGTGAGATGGCTAGGCTGTGAGCCATCAGAGGTGGATCTGAGGCAGAAGGGCCTCAAAGTGACTTCTCAAGGTGGAGACACCTGCTGGCAAATGAGGGGCTGTGGCTCATCTGCCCCACTTGCAGAAGGTCCCAGGTTCCACCCCCAGCATCTCAAGAGACTCCTGCATGAAATCTAGGAGAAAGGCAGTGTAGACCAGGCTTCCTCAAACTTGGCCCTCCAGATGTTTTGAGACTACAATTCCCATCATCCCTGACCACTGGTCCTGCTAGCTAGGGATCATGGGAGTTGTAGGCCAAAAACATCTGGAGGGCTGAGGTTGAGGAAGCCTGGCATAGACAATACAGTCATACCTCGGGTTGCGAACGCTGTGGGTTGCGGACCGCGCCAAACCTGGAAGTACCAGAATGGGTTACTTCCAGGCTTCGGCGCTCGTGCATGTGCAGAAGCGCAAAATGATGTCATGCGCATGCGCAGAAGTGCCAAATCACATCACGCACTTGCGCAGAAGCGCCGAATCGTGTCACGCACGTGCGTGCGGAGACGTACCGCTGCAGGTTGTGAACATACCTCCCGCACAGATCACGTTTGCAACCTGAGGTATGACTGTACTGAGATAGATGAGTCAGTATACTGACTCAGTATAAACTTCCTGTGTTCTAAGTGGCATCACTTATGAATGGAAAATCCAAATGGCCTCCATCCCTTCTCAGTGACACCACCAGGAACACATTGCAGGTCACCCCTGTGGCTCCTGGGTGTCAGGAGCTGCCCACCTAGGCTATAACTGGGGACCCCCAGCTGCCTCGTGCAGTGAGCCCCCAAAGCTACAGAACTGGAGAGACTCCCTGCCTGGGCAGGCTGACCATTGGAACCGTTCTCTCTGCCCTAAACCCATCTCTCTCCTTTGTTGCCCTTCCTTTCCCTTTTCGAAGATTTATAACGAAGTCATCCGAGACCTTCTGAACCCATCTTCGGGATTTCTCGAGCTGAGAGAGGACTCCAAGGGGAGCATTCAGATTGCAGGGATAACGGAAGTCTCCACCACTAATGCACAGGAGGTAAATTGGACTGGCCTTCAGTGTGGGAGGGAAGAATGCTAGAGCTACAATTCGCAGAGTGACTGAAGAAGAAGAAGGAGAGTTTGGATTTGATATCCCGCTTTATCCCTACCCTAAGGAGTCTCAAAGCGGCTCACAATCTCCTTTCCCTTCCTCCCCCACAACAAACACTCTGTGAGGTAAGTGAGGCTGAGAGACTCCAGAGAAGTGAGACTCGCCCAAGGTCACCCAGCAGCTGCATGTGGAGGAGCGGGGAATCGAACCCGGTTCACCAGATTACGAGTCCACCGCTCTGAACCACTACACCACACTGAACAATCAATCCCTCTCCACAGGGAATTCTGGGAATTGTAGCCCAGGGTGGGTGGTGGAATAAGAATCTCCTAAGAACTACGAGCCCCCCCCCTTTCTTTCCAAATTTGGCTCACTCCAAAAAACATGGTCGCACAACTTCCTGACCTGATCCATGGCTGATCCTAGCCCTCCGTCTCCCCACTCACATGGCTTTTGCTAGATCATGCAGCTGTTGACGAAAGGGAACAAGGAACGGACTCAGGAGCCTACAGCAGCGAACAAAACCTCTTCGCGTTCCCACGCAGTCCTGCAAGTGCTGGTGAAGCAGACGAGTCGGGTGAAGGACATCAACGAGGAAGTGAGGGTGGGAAGGCTTTTCATGGTGGACCTGGCCGGGTCGGAGAGAGCAGCGCAGGTGACCTTGACTACTCCCTCCTCTATCTTGTAATAAACGAAAACCTGCCCTTATTCCCTTATGGGGGACACAAGAGCCCTTTGCAGGTTTTCCATTGGTCGGAGGCCAACCAGAGAATATTGAGAAGCAAAGCAGCTCGTAAGCTTGATCTTTATTGAACTGTTGCAACAGGGTGCCCCCTTCACACGCAGGAAAGGAGGAGGACCCAGAACTCAGGTGTGCCCACCCTTATATACACATTTTTAATTGCCCACCCTGGAGTCCAAGACCACCCCCAGACACATCATACCTACATCACAGAAAGGGCGGTCTACAACAGAAATCTGAGTGCGTTGTTTACCTCCTGTCTGGCAGGTTACCTGTTAATGCTTACTTGATTGGATACCCTGGGGAGCCTTGGCTAGTCTTTTGTACTGATAAATACTTAGTTCCTGAGCCAGGTCACAGGCTCACCCTATTCATACACAGACGTACCCTTAAGACAGGATTTGTGAATGAGAAGACAATGGGGAGGCTTTTCCATTTCCCTTGACCTTGCAGAGAAATCATTTGGTCAGTTTGGGAGTCAAAATGGTTTCCGGGCTGTTTTCCTGTGCTGCTTCAGACATGTGGTTTATATATTTATGTACGTGTTTGCTTGGTACATTTATGAACATTTATTATATATATAAGACCTTATTTTTTTTATTTCAACCTCCCACCCACCCCCCAATCTGTTCACCTCCCAACTGCAATGACTCCGCTTCTGGCCTAGAAGTCATTGAAATATAGGGTCGGAAGGGACCCCGAGGCTCATCTAGTCTAACCCCCCTGAAAGGCAGAACTCTTTTGCCCAATGTGGGGCTCGAACTCACTGCCCTGAGATTCAAGGTCTCGTGCTCTGCTGGCTGAGCTATCTGAAAATCCCTTCTTTTCCCCATTGAAAACAATTGATCCACTGCATCCTTCACAGACACAGAACCGGGGCAAGCGAATGAAGGAGGGTGCCCATATCAATCGGTCGCTGCTCGCCTTGGGAAACTGCATCAATGCGCTGAGTGAAAAGGGGGCCAGTCGGAACCAGTACGTCAACTTCCGAGACAGCAAACTCACGCGTTTGCTGAAGGTACTGCCGCTTCCCTGCTTGGGGGAATTAGAAAGTCTGTTCTCAAACTTTTTCCTCTGGGCCAGGCTTTCGGAATAAAAATCTGCTTGCCCCACGCCGAATTTTCTATCGGTAAAAAATACACTGGAGAACGAAAAGCAGTGCTTGATTTAGAAGAAAGATTACAACTACTTTATAACGTGGTAATGGGACATATAGAAAGTATAAAACAATGGAGCTGCGTAAGAACATGAATCATTCCCCAAATATAATTATAAACAAGCCTGTTACATAGGTACCTGAAGTATGTGTACAGGGCTCAATGAGAACTTGCTTTTGCTGTGTGATCTCATTTATGTTAGGTCTGATTTGAGACAAACAAACTCTGATCTCATCAACACAAAGAAGCTTTTCTCTTTCCCGATGTTTCATATTCGTCAGGAAAGATATTTTGAATATCTTTGAGTATTCTGCAAATAACAAAAAAAATTTGGATACTGTACTGCACTTACAGTAAATGTTTCTTTGATTGTCCTTGAATCTGCCCACCACAATCTCCATCGTCTCCTGCCACACCCTTTGAGAGCCACTGGCATAATGAATCCAGGCAACGGAGGCATCTCACAAGTCCTGCAGATCCCTAATCTCTTGTGACAGAGCGTTCCACCAAGTCGGGGCCAGTACTGAAAAGGCCCTGGCCCTAGTTGAGACCAATCTAACCACCTTGCAACCTGGGACCTCCAAAATGTTGTCATTTGTGGACCTTAATGTCCCCTGCGGGGCATACCAGGAATACTTCAGGAATGGAGCAGATTATTGCTTATATATGAGAGTCTTTAACAGCACTGCTTTCAGAGGGCTGAGCTTGGCCAGCCATTACTAGCCAGCTATAAATGGAAATGTCACCCATGTAGGACTCGCTGGGAGGTAACAGCAGAACGGTGATGATTGCTCATGTCAGCCCGGCCAGCACCTCCTTTGAAGAATCTCGGACCACCTTGATCTATGCTTATCGAGCAAAAAACATCAAAACTAGGGTAAGGCGCTCTGTTCTGCTTCCTGCTTTTAAAAACTTAGGAAGTTTAGGAAGCTCCTGCAGCCAATCGGAAGCCGTGCCTTGGTTTTCGAACAGTTCCAGGAGTCGAACGGACTCCTGGAACACATTGTCAACCAAGGTACAACTGTACTTGATTTTCAATAGAAGAGATAACTCTTCATTTGCAGCTGCTGTTTGCATCAGGTAGTATTTTAAAGATCTACATTGGCTCCCAGTACGTTTCCGAGCACAAGTCAGTGTTGGTGTTGACCTGTAAAGCCCTAAACGGCCTTGGCCCAGTAGACCTGAAGGAGCGTCTCCACCCCCATCATTCAGCCTGGACACTGAGGTCCAGCGCCAATGGCCTTCTGGCAGTTTCCTCACTGTGAGAAGTGAGATTACAGGGAACCAGGCAGAGAGCCTTCTTGGTAGTGGCACCCGCCCTGTGGAACACCCTCCCATCAGATGTCAAAAAGATAAACAACTATCTGACATTTAGAAGACATCTGAAGGCAGCCCTGTTCAGGGAAGTTTTTAATGTGTGACATTTTAATGTATTTTTAATCCTTGTTGGAAGCCGCCCAGAGTGGCTGGGGAAACCCAGCCAGATGGGTGGGGTACAAATAATAAATTGTTGTTGTTGTTATTAAAACTGGATGCATCACCAGGTGTTCTCTGCCCTGGCAGGTGAAGCGCAACCTCCTCAACGTCTCATACCACATTGCACAGTACACCAGCATCATTTCGGACCTGCGCCGGCAGATCGAATGCTTGAAGGCGAAGCTGGAAAATCAAGAGAGGGAGAAGCGCCTTCTCAGTCCTGCGGTCAAAGATGTCCAAGGCAGAGGAGATGGAGGTGGTTGGGTTGTCCTCTTCACTGTCTTGCTCCGTCCAGTAGGGCTTGCTTCTAGGACGCCCAGAATTGCACACTAAGCCTGGGGTGGAGAAAACTGTGGCACTCCAGATGTTATCAGACTCCACCTCCCATCAGTACCAGGCAGCAGTGGTCAGGAATGATGAGAGTTGTACGTCCAACATGGATGGGTTGCGGCAAGTTCCCTCACACCCTTAGCCCTTTCACTGGTCTTACAGATTGTTGTCGGATTCCAACTCCCAACACCCCTAGACCATGTGGCCAGTGATCAAACCAAACCAAACACTTATTGTCATGTTCAATGACCAGCATTTTGTGACAATAATTTTATTAATTTTCAATTATAATCCAATAATAGCCTCATTATAACAATACCAATTTATAATGCAATCAATAACATCAATCATTCAAATACCAAATTATATAATTTAGATAAGGTGGGGCCCCCACATGCTAGAATTGATGGTTTGATTATTTTCTTTATTTCTGTGTTCCAAAATCTTCATGATTTCAGTTACATTCCAGTCATCATAATAATCCCTTATACAACAGCTGCAATATTTATAACTTCTATTTGTGTGGACACATTAAATGATTTATAAAACTACGGGTGAGGCAATGACCAGGATTAAGAAAAGAATAAGAAGCAGATGTGTCTATAATAGGGAAAAATAATAATAAAATAAAACAACTAAATGTAGCATAGAATCATAGAATTGTGGAGTTGGAAAGAACCCAAAGGATCATCTTGTCCGAGCCTACAAGGCAGGAATCCCAGCTAATGAGTGAAACAAAACAGGCACCATTTTTTTAAAAAGTTGTTGTCCTGTCACCAACTCCAAAGAGAGAAATTCCATGATTTCGGGTCCTGGCAGATTTTGCCTGCTTCAGCACAGTACATGCCCACGCTGAGAGTGATAGATGCTCTTTGATCTGAAAGGATTAAAAGGAACATAAGACGTTTTTGATCCTCCTGGCAGGTTTCGTAAGAGGGGCTTGATAAAGGTTTAGCACAGGTGTTAGTAGAAGGAGCACATGGGGTCCCCACTGACCTTTCCAGAGTCTCAGGGACACTTGTGTTTGGCCAATGGCCAAGGTCCAGGAATGACAGGAGTCATAGGGCAGCAACATCTGGAAGGCTTGGGGCTTCTTCCTCTCTGCCCTGGGTGCTAGAAACACTCTTAAAAAATAAAAGGATGATGGAAGCAGAGGTGGGAAAGTGCCTGTGCTCTTGTTTTCCCACAGCGGAGGCTCCCCATGACCCTGAAGAGTACAGCCGTCAGCAGATGAACAAGTTGCAGGAACAGCTGGTCGGGGCTTTCAAGGAGCAAATGGACATGAGACGCAGCCTGATGGAGCTGGAGAAGACAGACATGGAGCTGCATGTAGACACCTCCAGGCATCTGCTAATGATTGCTGAGTGAGCTGAGGGACTGATGGGCAACTGTGCTTTTGGGGGGGGGTCCTCTAAGGTGAAGGGATGTGGGTGGCACTGTGGGTTAAACCACAGAGCCTAGGACTTGCTGATCAGAAGGTCGGCAGTTCGAATCCCTGCAACAGAGTGAGCTCCCGTTGCTCGGTCCCTGCTCCTGCCAACCTAGCAGTTCGAAAGCACCTCAAAGTGCAAGTAGATAAATAGGTACCGCTCTGGCGGGAAGGTAAACGGCGTTTCCATGTGCTGCTCTGGTTCGCTAGAAGCGGCTTGGTCATGTTGGTCACATGACCCGGAAGCTGTACGCCAGCTCCTTCGGCCAATAAAGCGAGATGAGTGCCACAACCCCAGAGTCAGCCACGACTGGACCTAATGGTCAGGGGTCCCTTTACCTTTACCTTTTACCTCTAAGGTGAAAAGAACTGGGTGGTATTAATGATGCACCTGTAAAGGGTGGCTACTTATGCCCCGCCAAAGAGACAGAGAGAGAGAACTGCATAAAATTGTCTAGTGCAAATTTATATGAACAGATGTAAATATAGATTCAGGTAGGTAGCTGTGTTGGTCTGACACAGTCGAAATAAAAAATAAAAAAATTGTCCAGTAGCACCTTAGAGAACCAGGCAGAGGGCCTTCTCGTTAGTGGCACCTGCCCTGTGGATCGCCCTCCCAGCAGATGTCAAGGCAATAAAAAACTATTTTACTTTTAAAAGACAACTGAAGGCGGCCCTGTTTAGGGAAGTTTTTAATGTCTGACGCTGTATTGTTTTTAATATTTGGTGGAAGCCACCAGGAGTGGCTGGGGAAACCCAGCCAGATGGGTGGGGTATAAATAAATTATTATTATTATTATTATTATTATTATTATTATTATTGCCTATTATTAGAGACCAATTAAGTTTGTTCTGGGTATAAGCTTTCGTGTGCATGCACACTTCTTCATGCACACGAAAGCTTACACCCAGAACAAACTTAGTTGGTCTCTAAGGTGCTACTGGACAATTTTTTATTTATTCAGGTGCAAATATAGAAACTGTTACTACTAGCAGGCTCATGCCTGGCGTTGTTCAGGAATCCCGAGGAACCAAAATTAATAACAGTAATCAGCGCAGGTGGTTAAGAAAGGTGCGGTCCAACGTCTTGATTCAAAATGGCACTCTGTGGTATCCAAACATGGACAAAAAACTTGCTCCCTCATCTCAGGAACCGTCATGCAAAATGTGGTTAAGATATCAGAAGCAATGTCCAAATGCCCAGCAAACTGGGAAACAGAAAGCTTTCCTTAATATATAAAAAGGTAAAGGTACCCCCTGACCGTTAGGTCCTGTTGCGGACGACTCTGGGGTTGCGGTGCTCATCTCGCTCTATAGGTCGAGGGAGCCGGTGTACAGCTTCCGGTCATGTGGCCAGCATGACTAAGCCGCTTCTGGCAAACCAGAGCAGCGCACGGAAACGCCGTTTACCTTCCTGCCGGAGCCGTACCTATTTATCTACTTGCACTTTGTGCTTTCGAACTGCTAGGTTGGCAGGAGCTGGGACAGAGCAACGGGAGCTCACCCTGTCGCGGGGATTCGAACCTCTGACCTTCTGATCGGCAAGCCCTAGGCTCTGTGGTTTAGACCACAGCGCTACCCACACCCCTCTTTCCTTAATATATAGTAGGTAATAATTTGATGGAAATACAGTCTCAAGGTTAGTGGGCCCGGCTGGGAAGAGGTGAGCGGTGTGCTTGCTCACCTTTGCTTCCCAGGTGTTCACTATGGAAGGGCAGCTTCAGGGCTCCTGCTTGAACCAGGCACTGCAGGCTGTTTTTGGCCCATCAAGGGATTCAGTTAATCCACAAGGCCATTTCCCCCAGACCACACACATCAGATGAAGTCACTGGCGACATCAGCTACTGGGTAGGAGGACAGGGTTCAGTCCTGCACTGGCTACATGGTCCTGTTCCCAAGCAAGGAACAAGGTTACACAGTGAAGGCAGCAAGATTTAATCCCAGACTCCCAAAGTGCAAACATCCCTGCAGTTACCACCTTGCCTTTATAACAGAAGTTCCAGGGGTTGCGAAAGTTCTTGGGTGAACACTAGAGGGCACTGTAGCCTCCGATAAAGGAGGCTGCCCAATTACTGGGAGTCTTGATAATAATCATGCCAGGAGAAAACTTTATTTATTTAAACTTCTAATACACTGATTTTTTAAAAACAAACAAACAAGCAAACGAACAAACCTGAAAGCAGTTTATAAAGACAATGAAACAATAACATCATTAATAAAAGTGATTGAAAACAACTATTTTAAAACTATTTTAAAAAATTAAAATTACCAATAAGCTCAAAAATGGATTAAAACACACACCAACATGTCTGAGCTGGCTTGTCTAAAGAAAAATGTTATTTTTTCCTGGCAAGCACCAAAAAGAGTGCCTCCTGATGTCAATAGGCAGGGAGTTCCAAAGTTACGTGCTGCTGCCACACTTAAAGATTGATTTCTTACAAATGTAGAACTGGTGTTCTATAGCTCCCGGTTCCACAGATGGAAGCGTTCAAGGGGGCAGATATGGGGCAATGCGATCCCGCAGGTAAACTGGTCCTAAGTTGTTTAGAGTTTTATACACTAATAGGCCTTGCCAAGGTGTAAACGACCTTAATCTACCTGTCCTTTGTTTGTAGCTGGGAACAAGAAAAGGCCCACCAGACTGACAGGTATCCCAGCAAGCAGCAGGTGGGCGTGAAAGACGAGGAAGCCATGGAGGAGGCAGAGCCAGAAGAAGATTCGCCAGAGCCTCACGAAGTCGTGGTAGCCAAGGAGGAGATCAGCATGTTCTTATCTGAGCAGCGGAAAACAGCTGTCTTGAAGGTAATGCACTGCATCTCTCTATGAAAGCCATTGTTGTCTCGTGATGGGCCAAACCTGAGGCTGAAAAACAAGTGTTTGTTTTTTTTTAAAAAAAGATATGCATGTCTGGAAATGAGATTTTTAATTAGGGATACTCCTGGAACCTCACTGTGCTAGAGTCCACACTTTGTGGTAAGTCACTTGGAGGTCTTCTGGTCACAAGTGACTAATAAGTTTAATCAGTACTACTACTACTACTAATAATAAAATAAATGGGTTGCTGGCCTGATCCAGCAGGCTTTTCTTATGTGGCCTTATTTAGGAGCCTGATTCACGGCAGGGGACACCTCTCCCCTTTCTAATTTAGGCAGACCTGGAGCAGCGCCTGGCAAATGCCAAAAAGAAGGTTTTGCAGATGGAGAAGCTGCTGCCTGAGCAAATCACCAGTGAGGACCAGAGGGAAGTCCTGAGGCTCCTTTGCAAAGCCCATGAGCTGGAAGTCGGGAAGACCGAGCTGCAGGCCAACGCCTTGCGCAAGGAGACCCTGCTGTGCCAGAAGGACTTGGTCATCCACAGCCACCAGCAGCACAGGCGCCTCTGCGGAGAGATAATCCAGCAGCAGCAGCAGCTGATAAGGGGTGAGTGGGCGGGGCCAGAGGCCAAAGTGGGCGGGGCCCTTACCTGTCGGACCAGATTCCAGGTACACCAAACACAGAGGTTTCTAGGAAGGACCACACGAGGAAGAGGCTCTTGCCCAGCCCTGGTCTCTGTTGTGTTTTACAGAGGTTGTGGGCAGTCCTGGGGTGCCATAGAACCACGGAACTGGAGAGTTGGAAGGGACCCCTAGTGGCGTCTAGTCGAACCCTCTGCAGTTTAGGAATCTCAATTAAAGCATCCCTGACAGGTGGCCCTCCAACCTCTGTGTGTTTTAACAAACTTTTTTGATAAAAATAATGGATTACTGAATATAATTACTGAAAATAATTACTGAATATTTACAGATAAATTGTAAACAGATAAGAACATTGGCAGGATCATTGTAATAACCTGAAGTTTTATAAGAGTTTTAAAGTAGATAAATAAATGAGCAAATTAAGTGAATTTGGATATGCAGAAGATATTGAAAATAATTTTTAGGAACTACAGAAAGAGGGGGAAGGAAGTCGAGTTTTGAAATGTTAAAATGATTTTAAAATGAATGAAATGTATAAACCTGAAAAGCATAAATCAAATTTTTGAAAGAAAGAAAGAAAGAAAATGTTGCCAATAGTCCATTTGTGATACCTCATTTGTCTACAGTATTAAGCCTCCCTTCTGGAAGGACCCAATGGGATATTTGTTGCTATCTTACACTGATTGCCCATCTTTCTTCCACGCTGGTGCCCATGCGGTCCCCATCCAAGGGCTCTTCACCCTCAGCAGAAGAGGACAGTTGTTTGCCACCTGAGGAACGGGTCCCTTCTGTGAGAATGTTTCCCTCTTAACCAGAGCAAACAAGCGTCTTCCATGAGGCTGCCCTTCAGATATTTGGAGATGGCTGTCGTATCACCTCTCCATCTTCCCTTCTCCAGGCTGTACAAACTCAGCTCCACGCAACCCATCTGTTTTTGCGCCCTCACCTGTGTAAGCTTCCTTCCTTTTCTCCAGACCACAACATCCCTGTTCCAGAGTCACTGGGAAAACTGTACCAGCTGCATATCCGTGAGTCGGAGGAAGGGACCCTGGGCCGGCTTCTGGCACTTCACTCCCTGATGTCTGGAGCGCTCCAGGTGAGGCAGAACTATCCTCCCTTTTCTCAAAATAGGAACAGGGACTTAGGAAGTTGCCCTCTACAGGGACAGGACCATAGGTCCATCTGGCTTAGTACTGTCTGCACTGACTGGCAGCAGCCCTCCAGGCGTTCAGGCAGGAGGCTCCCCCAACCCCAAACTGAAAATGCCAAGGGATTGAACCTGAGTCTTCCTGTGTGCAAAGCAGATACTCTGCCATTGAGCGATGGTCCTTCCCCATACCTCACTCTTCTCTAGGGAGGAAGGGAAAACAAAACACGGGGCTGCCCTTGAAGCTGTCCCAGAAACTCCAGTGGGTGCAGAATGCTGCAGCAAGGCTCCTCACAGGGTCTCTGCCATGGGAGCATATTCACCCAGTGCTTTACCAATTGCACTGGCTCCCAGTGGAGTATCAGGTCAGGTTCAAGTTGCTGGTTTTGACCTTTAAGGCCCTTTGTGGCTTAGGGGCCTCATATTTATGGGTCCACCTCTCCTGGTCTGCCCCGCAGAGGACCTTGAGGTCCATGAATAACCATAGTTCAGAGGTCTCTAAGGAAGTCAGACTATACTCCCCCAGGGCCAGGGCCTTTTCAGTGATGGCTCCGACCTGGTGGAATGCTCTGTCCCATGAGACTAGAACCCTACAGGATTTAATCTCCTTTCTGTAAGACAGAGCTATTCCGCCTGGCCTTTAATTTGAATTCAGCCTGATCTTTTATTTCCCTTTTCTTCCCTCCCCCTTACCCGCTCTGGGATCCCACTAATTCTTCCTTGGTCTCCTCGCTGGCCCAAATAGGACTAATTCAGCCAGCTAGCCCTGGTGATCATTTAATGTTTATTGAATGGATTTCCCCCCTAAATTGATTTATGAATTCTGAATTTATTGTTATTCACATTTTATACTGTATTTTAAGCTGTTTTTTGTTGCATCAATTAAGTGTTTTAAGTTTGTTGTTAGCTGCCCTGAGCCCGGTTTTCTGAACCGGGAAGGGCAGGGTATAAATAAAAAATTATTATTATTTATTATTAACCTGGGGCCAGTTGGTGCAAAGGTAGGGCATGCTGGATTTTCCAGCCTTCACATTCCAAAAATGAGGGGTGCTAAAAACTTGTAGCATGAATCGGGAACTCAGAAGATACTCTGATTAAATTGCTTTTGCTTGGTAAGTAAAATGTGTGTAACATTGCATTAAAATGATTGCCACCTATGGTCACACCATCAAAGTTGAACGGAATCCGTTCCGAAAGTCCATTTGGCTTCCAAAATGTTTGAAAACCAAAGTGCGGCTTCTGATTGTCTGCAGGAAGCTCCTGCAGGCAATCAGAAGCCGTGGAAGCCCGTCAGACATTCAGCTTCCAAAAATAGTTAGCAAACCGGAACAGTCACTTCCGGGTTTGCGATGTTTGGGAGCCAAAACGTTCGAGAACTAAGCTGTTCAAAAACCAAGGTACGACTGTACTTGCAGTTATATTGTTAATTCATTTATTATTATTTAGCATCGCCTGACATTATCAGAAGGGGAAATTAAAATCCTTTGGTTTTCCGAAAGCAGTTTCTGTGCTGCTTCATCAAACATGGACTTACCAAGCTAAATGTTGCCCATTCACAAGAGCAAGAGCAGATTTGAATTCTTCACACCCGAGAGCGTATTTTTAAGACCCCCTACTGAAGAAATTTTCAAAAATTAAGTTCCACCCCTGAAATGACATGCCCTAGTACACGGATATCCAACAGGTCGAGCGGTTGAGCACTGGTTGTTAGAAGTCAATCGTGGGGTAATTTTTGTCTGTGTCACTGCCCCCCCCTTAAAAATGGTTGACAATTTCGACCTTCCTCCCTAAGAAAAGCTCAACAACTTTGACCTGAACCACCTCCCAAAAGGTAGACAATAATGTCTTCCCTCCTTAAAAAAAGCTCAGAAACTTCTTTGACCTACCCTCCCATGGGTAGATCACTGCCAGTTTTTCATTCTGTGAGTAGATCACAATCTCCCTGCCCTAGTGTGAAGGATCAGCCTGAACCAGCCTTCTGGCAGCTGCATGCCATTGGTGGGTGTGGCTGCCCCTTTTCCTGTCTGTCTATGTGATGATCAGCGATTTGCCACTTTATCACGCTGCCAGCCTGGGTCGAGACGTTTCGCCCCTGGGCCTATGCCAGCACATTGTCTATTTTATTTCCCCCTCTTTTTACTGCTAAAATGGGCTCTTAGAGGGCCAGGGGTGGGGGAATGCTCAGAGTGGTTTGGGTTTAGCCCTACCTGTTCTAGGACATAGCTACAGTTGCCAGGGAAGTTGTTTGAAGGGGTAAAGATTTTTTATATTTCATTTTACAGTGTATATAAAACAGAGAGAGGGGTTATAACAACAGCTAAAAATTGTAAGATGAAAGACAGAACAATGGAACAGGCGGATGTGGAATGAGTACAATTGTACAAAATAACAAAAAATGGAAGCAGCTACAGTGGTGCCTCGCAAGACGAAATTAATCCGTTCCGCGAGTCTCTTCGTCTTGCGGTTTTTTCGTCTTGCGAAGCACGGCTATTAGCGGCTTAGCGGCTTAGCGGCTATTAACGGCTTAGCGGCTTAGCGGCTATTAACGGCTTAGCAGCTTAGCGGCTTAGCGGCTATTAACGGCTTAGCAGCTTTAAGAAAAAGGAAACAAACTCGCAAGAACTCGCAAGACGTTTCGTCTTACGAAGCAAGCCCATAGGGAAATTCGTCTTGCGGAACGACTCAAAAAACGGAAAACCCTTTCGTATAGCGAGTTTTTCGTCTTGCGAGGCATTCGTCTTGCGGGGCACCACTGTATCCACCCAGCTAAAATCTGTGATGGGAAAGTAGTCGATTCTAGAGTGCACATCCATCAGGTTACAGAGATTTCCCCCTCTTGTCTTCTTTCCCTGATAGGATGGCTCTGCTCACGATAACGTTCAGCCACTGGAACTAAACAAAGAAGAGAACCAAAAAGGATTGCTGGAGCGCAAGAAAGATTTTGTTTGGGGGTCAAAATTTGAGCTACCCCCAATTGTTGTGGAGTCGGACAGGTACTTGCCTTCTTTACAAAGTCCTCTCTGGTCCTCCCCCCACTGCACTCTTGCAGTCAAACACCTCCCTCTGGGAAGGGCCTGGGGCTCTTCTGACACAACAGCCACTCACAGAAATGGCCAATTCCCTGTTTTCCATCTGATTTTGCCTGGGCTCATCCGGTGTTGTCTGCCTAATGAGTCAGCAGGGTTGGGTTTCCTGGCCGTCCATCTCTCCCTCTCTCTTCTCTCGATGTTCTTAGTGACAGCTACAGATCGTCTAAAAACACCCCGGCCAAAAGGAGCCATGACTGGAGCCACACCCCTGCTTTGGCCGACTTGCTAAGAACTCCTGTTCGCCAACAGGTCAGTTGGTCAACATCATCCTCTCCCTTTTGTAGCACTGACAACAACCCTCTGGGAGGTTAGACTGCAAGAGAACATTGGGCAGCCAGCATTGCCAAGCTTCTAGTCCCTGGGGCACAACAAAGAGAGAGGGCTGTTGTCATCAGGCCCTGCTTCTAGGTTTCCACAATGGCTGCTTACTGTCAAATAGCCATATTTCATTTAACCCCCTTTCTTGAACAGGGCATCTTCACAACATGTAACTGGATAGCTTTGGTCAGTAGAGCATGAGACTCTTAATTTCAGGATCATAGATTTGAGTCCCACATGGGGGCAATATTCTTGCATTGCATGGAGTTGGACTAAATGACCCTTGTAGTCTTTTCCAACTCTACAGTTCTCCGTTTAGCAAAATATTTCCCTCTTCTTTTCCCCCTGTTCAGTTTCTCTTTTTTCTGCTTCCCCTCGAAAGTTCAATATTGACTATATTTTTTAACTCAATGAAACACCTGTTCACTTTCTCCAGGGATAGAGGATCCAGTCCACTGATATTCTGGTCGGATTACGGCCCTCATGGATTACTTAGCCACTTCTGCATCAGGGATAGGGAGCCTGTGGCCTTCCAGATGTTGCAAACTCAAACTCCCATCTGCCCCAGCCATCATGGCCAATGGTCCAAGATGGTGGGACTTGGAGTTCAGGAGCATGTGGGTGGAGAGTGACATAGAACATTGTTCTAAATTGTGCTCCAGCTATTTTATTTCCTTCCCTGTCATCTGTCTCTCTTCTTTAGGGATCAGATGTGGTGCTTTTGTATCCTCCTCTCTCTGCCCCAGTTGCTGCAGGGTAGTCATGAGCAGGAGGGCATGGGATGGAGGTGAACCCTTAACACATAAACATTTGGGTCTGGGGGATAGAGGCAGTTCCGTTCTAGAAATGGATGCTATTCTACGTCGTGCCAAAAGCTCAGCAGCATCGTCTGGCTCCTGCCAAATCATGCCGGACTTGGTGGGCCTTTGGTCTGATGCAGTGGCCAAACTCTCCCATGTTCTTATGCTTCAGGGCTCAAGGGGAGCAGGCGAATGGTCCAAAACAAACAAGGCTGAAGCCTCAGAGAAGCACGGTCAAAGCCCAAGAGGGGTCAAGACCCAAGGGAACAGGACCTTAGGCAAAGTCCTCACACCAGAGACAAGTTGCTTGGGATGAGGAGCAAGCCCTGAAGCTAAGCCTTTTTATAGTGCCTGGTGGACAGGGATTGGCCCTGGAGGGTCAGCTGACCAGGTGCTTAGGCAGGGCGGTACTGCAGCCTAGATGGCACTGTTGAGGCACTGAGCTCAGTGTTGTAGCGGAACTGCCTTTTGCATTGAAATATTTGCTGAGTAATAAACACAGAGAGCAAATGCTGAGTGTTGCTTCCTTTGGTTTCTAGAAGGTGACCTCAGGCATCCCTTTGCGAAAGGTGGCCTCCAAGCTACAGACCCCTCCTTCCCGCGACTCCGGTTGCAAAAAGTCCGACGAGGACATCTCCAGCAGCTCTCTGAGCCAGGAAGCTTTGAGGGAGATTGCCGAGGGCACCAGACGGATTGCTCTGATTGCCGCCCGTCGCCGTTCCCGAGCTCAGGACAGAGACCCCAGTGGGGAGGTCTCTTCCATCCATGGTTTTGAGGAAGGGACTCTGGAGCTGCATCCCAGCTCCCCTCCGGGGCACCTCTTGAAGGATACAGAGAGCGTCCACGGCCTCAGCATGGAGCCCCAGAGAGAAAAACGGCCACAGCACAAGGCTCAGAAGGAGCAGCTCTTGGAATGGAAAGCCGGGAAGAAGAGATCGCGCTCCCTTGACCCTACCTCCCCCAGGGTATGTCTGCTTTGGGGGGAAATGGGCGTATTTGCAGGTCCATTCGGTAGAAAAATGAGGCAAAGGGGGAGAGCAGGAGCTGAATGGTGTCTGCTAGGGATCGTTCCAGTTGCTGTGTACTCTGCACCGCTACAATAGCCACCAGCTTTGTGCTTCACACAGGCCAAATTCTGCGCCATGAAAAGCGAGATTCCGCAACATGCATAAATTAGGCAATGAAGCACATGCACGTGCTTCCAATTCGTTGCACAGTTCTTTTCTTGCTCTTTTGCACCAATTCTTCTTCACACTCGTTTATGGAAGTCGAATGGAATCCGTTCCGGAAGTCCATTCGACTTCCAAAACGTTTGGAAACCAAAGCACGACTTCTGATTGGCTGCAGGAAGCTCCTGCAGCCAATCGGAAGCCCCGTCGTACGTTTGGCTCCCAAAAGTAATTCGCAAACCAGAACAGTCACTTCCGGGTTTGGGAGCCAAAATGCTCAAGAACTAAGCTGTTTGAAAACCAAGGTACGACGGTATTAACAAGGAGAAAGGACAAGGACTGTACTGTTTAAGCTGCAGAGTAGGGAACTCACAGTCTGCTGAGGCTTCAGATTCTGCAGGTGTTTTGCATTCCAACTTTTAAACGCCTGCTGAAAACATTTCTGTTCTGCCAGGCCTGTGCAGGCAATTAAGAATACATCCTTCCACAATGGGTACTTGATTTTTGCTTTTCTAGCTTTTTAACATGTTCTTGCTGTAAGGCTTTATGTATTTTTGTTGTCATCCACAGTGATTTTTTAATGCAATAGTAAAGGTTAAAGACCCCTGACAGTTAAGTCCAGTCGCAGACGACTCTGGGGTTGCGGCACTCATCTCGCTCTATAGGCCGAGGGAGCTGGCGTTTGTCCGGAAACAGTTATTCTGGGTCATGTGGCCAGCATGACTAAGCCGCTTCTGAGGATATCAGAGCAGTGCACGGAAATGCTAGTGGTCTATAAATATTTTTAATATATAAATAAATAAACATGTGGAGGGCCACAGGTTCAACAGCCCTGAGTTAACGGCTCAATGGCAGAGCAAATGTCTGACAGGCTGAAGGAGCCATATTCAGTCCTAGTGCCACCGTTTTTCATTTTTAAAAAGATAATGTTGCTGGTGTTGGAAAAGCCCCCTGCCTGAGAGACAACTTTCTCCCCACCCCACCACCTCCTTGTCCTGTCCTGCAGGCTCCCCAAGTAAAGCACCGGGTTCCTTCCAGCCATGCAGGTGATGGACCAGACGTTCAGCTGCCCAAAATCAAGTCACCCGATGTCGTCATGAGCAGCCTTCCCCACATCCTTCCAGCTGCCACAAAAATAAAATTCTCTGTTGGCCAAGAAACAGGTAAACCGTCACCCGATGGATCTCTTGGTGTTGGTCTAGGCAGCAGGCCTGCTCAGAAGTAAACCCCAATGGATTTGATGGAGTTACTCTCAAACTGGTATAGAGGATCCCCCTCTCTGTAATATAGTAATAATAAAAACATAGTAATAAATTAGTGATGGGCGCTTCTGTTTCCGCATTTACTCTCTCTCCTCTTCCCGTTCCTCTCCAGAAGAAAACCCCTTGCAGATTCTGGCTATCAGCAGCGCTGCCCCCAGCACCATCCAGCAGAGCAACGCAGGTCAAATGCGAGGGCAGATTCTCCAGAAGCGGGTCAAAGGTCAGTATGGGGGACTATGAATGGGCTGGGCATAAAACTCCAAACTGCACAAACCATCACCATCAGGATCCAAAGGTCTAGAACCTTTCCCCCTTCCACCTAATTAGTGTGTAGGATTGCCCTGCCTCCTTCAGGAGGGAGTTCCCTAAACAGGGTGCCACCACAGAGAATGCCCTGCCTTGGGTCACTGCCTTGCCTTCTAGGCAGACCATCAGCAGGAACTCTCAGGCAGAACCTAGGGCTTGGGGTGGTTGGTACTGGGGAAATAAGTAATAGCTGAGCGGCCTCTGGTTCAGGATCAGGAGATTTCTCCCAATAGCCCCCTTCTTTTGCACCCAGGACCTGCAGAGAACACCAGTGGGCAGAAAAAGCAGCAGCAAGTCCCCAACTCCAAGAACCCAGCAAAGACAAAATAAAGGCTAATGGGAAATGGGAAATGGCTCCTCTCTTGCCGCCCAGATGCAGACGGGTTCTACTCTAAGATGCATTTAAGATATTGGCATTTGTGGATGATGAGAATGAATGTTTAGATTATTGCCCACAGATCATCTTGTAGCATTGGGCTTTCACTTAAACTGTATTCATCATGGTTTATATTTCGCATCAGCTTTGGTTTTTGTAAACCACTCTGCTATATTATGTGTGGTGTCTATAAATTTTGCAAAATGATAAATAAACACAATCAGGACATGGAGCACATTTGAGCACACGTGCAAAATTGCATTTTTTAAAAAAACTTATTTTATTAGGATTTTCATAGCATAACATTAACAAAAGCAAAAATTCCCTCCATATTCACACCATAGCTGTCAACTTTCAGATCTGAAAATAAGGGATCAGCAGCCTCTCCTGTCCCGGGGACAGTCTACGGGATATCTAACAATCCGGGATAGCAGCGGGAAGCAGTGGGAAACGGTGCTGGAATAAGGGAATTTCCCGCAAAAAAGGGGAAGGTTGACAGCTATGATTCACACTGCCCGGCATATTCACACTCCTCCTCCTTCCTTCCCTAGTCTTGGCCACTTATTTTTATTTTTGCAGTCAAATATGTCTATTTACACACAGTTCGGGTGGTACATCCTGCAAACATTCCCCAAACCAGCAGGCTTTTAAAGCACTGCTCTGGTTCGCTGGTTGCAGCTGTCAGGCCTGAAACATGCACACCTCCTCCTGCAACACAAGAAGGGAATCTCCTCTGCTCTCTCGCTTGCTTGTTTTCGGGAGGCACGTCAGAGAACGGGGAGAGAGGAAGCCAGCCGTGAGGGAAAACAACCTCGATTCAGTTAGGAAGTCTCTGAAGCATGAAAGAGATGTGGAGGAATTACAGAAGACGATTTGAGCTCTCCCAGGAGGCAGGAGGGAGGTGGGTGGGGGGAGAGAGAACTTTTTGGAGCTCTGCAGGGTGAAGAGAGGACTCAGCCAACAAGGCCTAACAGAAGAGCCCTTCATCCCCCATGGCTGGAGTCCAAGCGGCTTGGACCGATGATGGGTTTACATCATGCAGCCTGCGCCCCTGTCAAAACATTTTCACAAAGGCTTAGATCATTTGGACTTCACATGGTGGTGAAGGGAGAGAAGGAACTCTGATGTGCAGGAGATAAGCTGTGGGTGCCTGGAGAAGAGGAGGGTGTTTTTGCATTGTTGCGTGATACCCCAATCTCTCTCTCTGTCTGTTATTGTTCACTCTAGCACACCAAAAAGAAAAAATATCCATAAACACAAAACAAAAAGAACATCAATACATCAACTAATAATCTCAAAACCTTCAAGTAAAAATGGTTTTTTTCTTTAGACCCAACTTCCCACCTACTCCTTACTTCAATTTCACATCAGTTGTATACTGCCACGACATAACAAGTTAAATAAAAGTTTAATCATCTTTAGTCTATCTTAAATTTTACATCATACTTAGAACTGCTACTGAAATTATTCGAATGCTGTGACGGACTTTAAACTACTATTATTATTTCTCAGATAAATTTTGAAGACTTCCCATTTTGATATAAATACCTGTATTGGTTTATTTTTTCTAACAAGCTATCTAATTTCGCATATTCAGCCAATTTTTGTATCCATTCTAATCTTGATGGGACATTGTCACTCTTCCAGTTTGCCGCGATGAGCACCCTTGCTTTTTTGGGAATGTCCAAATCTGCAATTCCCAAAAGGAAAGCTTCTGTTTTTTTATTAAAGGATGTTTTTAACATTTTTTCCAATTCTATATGGATATCCTCCCAGAACACCTTGATTTCTTTACACTGTGCCACCCCAATCTCTGAGCGGTGAGAAACGTCAGAGGTGCCTACACTTACCCAGGGTTTGGTTTCATTGGACTGAGGGTCACCGGAGACCGTGATGTCTTTTATTTACACAACCTGGGCATAGGATGGAGGAGCTCAGAGCATTAACACATCAACAGATCTTGCTTCCTCATTAGGTTTCTAGTCTTGTGCCCATTATAAAGCATCTGTATCTGAGTCTGCAGCTTCAAGTATCAGCCCAAGACTCACACGCACAACTCTCATAGACACAGCTGCTCTTCACCTCTTGTTCTCCATCCTAGGATGATGTGGCATCCAGCCAGGTGAGGTGGAGAAAGCCCTGCCCATTTTCTCTGTGAACCTCTTTGGATATGTAAATAGATGTACTTAAGGGCCAAAGCCATTCCCTTAACAGAGGAACTGGTTTGGCTGGTTCAGAAGCCTCTTCCACTAAATTACAAGCAGGATTGGAAGCGACCCCAGGTATCCTCCAGACTGACACCCCCCCCAAAAAAAACTCATTACAGTAGATTTTACCACTGGGATGAAACTAGAAGCAAAGGCAAATGAGCTGCTTCTCCTTCTGGCTGGAGATCATGACCTGAGTCAAACCAAGAGGTCCTGCCCACATGATTGGAAAGGCATTTCCACACAGGAAACCTGCCTAAAGACTATCCATAGTGCCAGAGTTTGGGGGGGAGAGCTTGTGCAAAGCAAAGCAGAGAAAGTGAGAACGATGGAATTTAGGGGAGCACGGTACCCTTTGCTGGTTTTGGAGACTCTGGGAAATGGTTTGCCATGGCACCCTCTGGAGAAACCCCACCCCGAACATTTGCAAATCATTTATAAATAAATCAGAGCAAGAGACAGTCAAACACGGTGGCCACAGGGTCACCAGAAACCCAATGTCTTATCCCCTCACTGCAAAACTTCTGCCAAAGTGTGGCATCAGTTTGGATTAGATAAGAAAATGATTTCAAAACTTTGGCACCAGTTTCGGACAACATTGGGTTTTTGGGTGACCCTGTTTGAGTGTCTATTGCTCCGTTTCTGGGGTACTATAAAATGTGGGGTTTTCGCTACAAAATGATTACTAAACTTTGGCACCAGTTTCGAAGGGATCCCAGGTTTTGGGGTTCATAGTTAATGAAGCTGCAACATTTTTTTAAACACGCGCACACTGGATTTCTCCTAGAAAGAGTAAATGTGAATTGCACGGGGGAAGGCGGTGTTACAGGCCAGTAGTTTGTAAAGGTTTTCTACAATCAAGAGGCATAAAAAAATTAAAAATACACTCGGGCATGGCTGCGCCCTTACTGCATTTTCTGCAAAAAGCGCTAATCTAGTTTAATATGGAATACGCGTTGACATCTTGATGCTGCCAGCTGCTTCATGCGGACGCTGCAAAACGACCGAGGCGACATGCACGAGCAGCACCGATCCCGCAATAAACCCTCATCTTCCGGACTCGTCCACCTCCGCCTCTTCCAAGCCCCTTCCTTCCTCTCCGACCCTCGATTTCCAGGCGGGGATCCTCCGGTGACGCGCGGGTTCGCCCCGTCCCCCGGCGCGCGCGATCCAAGGCCGGCGAGGCGCCCCCTGCTCGGCTGGGAGGGGCTGCGAGGCGCCTGCGCTCGCTCACTCGGAGGCCCCCCCGGGCCGGCCTTCTCGCGAGACGGGGCGGCGCCGGCCGAGCCGGAGGTGGAGCGGCTGCCGGGCGGGCGGGCGCGCGGTCTGGCTGGCTGGCCGGCCCAGGGAGGGAGGCAGGCAGGGAGGCGCCTCGGCGGCGGGAGGTTCCGCTGGCCCAGCGGCCCCGGGCAGGAGGTGAGATGGGCACCGGCGCTCGGGGGAGCCGGAGGCGGCGCTGGGCGCGGCGGGGCGCGCTGGTGGGGCATCCGATCCGGACGGGCGCTGCGCGTAATGCCGACTGGATGGAGGGCTTTTTTCCCCCGGGGTGGGGCGCGGGTGGGCTGAGCGGAGAGATGCTGCTGCCCCCCAACTTCCCCGGCCCCGAGCTCTCACCCACGTGGATGCGCGGGGCTGCCCGGCGACGAGGAGGAGGGCGCGCGCCTCCGTCCAGCCCGTGCGCAACGGGGCAGGAGGCGCACGGCAGCCGGCCAGGCTCCGCGGGACGGGCCCGGCTCCCCGTCCCCAGAGGGCTGCCGAAGGTCACGCCGCGCGCCAGGGGTGGCGAGGGGGTGCTGCTTCTCCCACCCACCCCTCGTCTCGCCCCCCGGGACTTGGAGAGGCTGCCCGAGTCGCGCGCCGCGATGGGGCGGGAGAGGATTTCTTCCCGCGCCGAAGCCCTTTTGCGAAAGACCCGCCTGAGTCTCCGGGATTAGGAGGAAAGACCTCCTTGTTTTAATTCGGATTTTTCAATAATCGCGGCCACTTCGTTCCCGGTTGATATCTGCGCTCAAAAAGAAGACGGGGCATCATTTCTTCCCCCGCTCAGGTCGCCTTTGCAAGTTGCCAGGTAGCCGAACAGACACCTGTGGACACACTTAGATAGCAGCCGGCGATGGGGAGGGGCAGTACCTGGCGCTGGCTTTGTGCTTTGGTTTCTGTGGACTTCGCTTCTAGTTTGCTGGTTCTAGTTTTCCTTCAGTTTTTTTAATGGGAAATGAGACTGTATTGTATTGCATGAAGTTAGGAGTGGTCTTTTATTATTATTACTTGAAGGCTCATAAACAGCGTCCCCCCCCCCAGATGTTAGATTGGGATCAAAGATATCTGGCTGTGGGCACATCATACATTTAAAGCACACAACACATCCAGTTAGTGCTGGGAATTGTAGATCTGTGAGGAGGTAAACTACAGTTCCCATGATTAGGGGGGCAGGTGTGTGGTGTGTGCAGGGCCTCTGACTGGTTCAAAGTAGATTGGCAGCATTTTATTACTTCCAGTTCTCTAACAGTGAAATTTACTCTCCATTCTCTGATTCTAAGGGTCAGGCTTTTGCACCTGGCTGTGTGTAGTGAATATTGGGGTGCTTGTAAAAAGCAAAGTAGATCCCCACAAACCCAAAGTCTGCTCACCCCTGATATAGACAACTGTTAATATTTGATTATTATTATCATTATCATTCTTATTAATTACCTGCCCTTAATCCTGAGGTCACAGGGTGGGTTACAACACCAGAACACAATAAATGATAACCCAGGTTCACTGTGACGGAGCAGCATTTCTGAGAGACGGCACAGTGGGCAGCAGAGTGGGGCGCCTCCATTCACTCCAGGGCAGCATTCCCTAATGGACAGCCTCCTGGTGGTCACATGCCAGTGGTGGGCGGGGCCAGAGGGAAACAAGAACCGGCAGGGCACAAAACCCACAGATTCCTGTGTACATGTATCTCCATTGAGACAGGCAAGTTCAAGGACCCCAGCCAACCAGGTGTGGAGCAGAGCTAGTGCAAGGTATGTACTGGGAAGAGTCCCGGGGGCCACATAGGAAGCCCTGGAGGGCCGCACCTGTCCCCAGACCTCAGATTTCCCCAACCCTGGTGTACAGTACAGTGCTCCCTCTGAAACTCTGCTTGGCTCTCGACTCATTTAATTGAACATTAAGGCCATAAGCCCAACTAGCTTAGCATGTTGTTATGCTCTGTGTAGTTGGGGGCTTTTGGAAGCTAGGGGGTGTTTCCGTAGAATGGAATGAGGGAGGCTTGGGAGTTTGTTCGGGGTCTTTCTAGAGTAAGAGTGGCTGGCTGTAGGGTTCGATCGTGATGGGTCCCACTTTGAATTGCGTTGGGATGGATACTTCCATCCTGTTTATGAAGTTCAGGCTTGGTGGCTGGCTCCTTGGTGCTGGTGGGGCTTGTTCCACTTGTCAGCAGTTGGTGTGTTATGGAGAAATATCCCCCTTCCCCTTTTTCTTTTTTGTTCTGGTAGGCCTAGAAATCCTTCTGTGGTTAGCAGTAGCCAAAGCTGACTCAGGCATCTGCCTAGCTATCTCCTCTGAGTCGGACTGAAAATCAATGAGAACTTGAAATTAGGAGTGTTAAAATGAGAACTGGTGCGTAAGCAGTAATCCCTCTTATATGCTCAGGGGGAAACACCACTGGAGGGGGAAAGGGCTTCCCCCACTGTCGATTTGCTTCCAAGTGTGGGAAACAGAATCTAGCATTCTGCAGGGCTCCTCTGTGTGTGAACTGTGTCACCTGCAAAATCGTTGCAGTTTCCCCCTCGATCTGCCATGTGGACCCTCAATAAACCTGTGCAACTCCCATTGTTGCTATCAGGGACTGCATATTCTGACTCGGTGTATCTCAGCCAGTGTTAGAAACTGAGCTATAAAATCTAGGAGCCAAATGGCACCTTAAATCTAGGTTATGGCTGCCACAAGGATACGCCCGTTTTGTGTGTGTGCAGGATTACGAAGCAAATGGTCTGTGGGGAAGTGCGGCACCCAAATACACACACGTCTTTGGGTGCTGCGCTGCCACGGGAATCAGCTGATTTGCGGGGCAGCGCAGCACCAAAAGAGGCGTATCTTTTGGTGCTGTGCTGCCCAACAGACCAGCTGAGTGGTGCAGCCACACCAGCCCGCCAGATGGAGATGTTAGGGGCCAAACCTGGCGACCAGACACCTCCGCTTCCTCGCAAAAGGCCGGTCACCTGTTGCAAAATGCGACTGGCGCCCAGCTAATTTCGAACACTGATGAGCAGAAACTCTGGGTGGGCAACGAGTCTGATGAGCGGACATAACCCTGCACTTTCTTGGAATTGGTTGTCATGCAGAGGCTGCAAAGAGATTCGCTGTAGCAAAGTGGCTCAACATGGAAGGTCGCGCCATTAGCTCCAGGCTGCTGCTTCTGATGTCTAAGAAACTGATAGATGGTGGAATGATGAACATCACTCATTTCAGATGCCAGGGGTGTTGCATGAGAGCTCCTTGCAGGACAGTGGTTTCAAGGTGGCATGTAAATTAACATGGTTGTATTGAACATTAATTATTATTATTTTTTAAAAAAGCATGTACAGTCATACCTCTTGTTACTTTCGGTTCAGGTTTAGGATACGTCCCACGGTGACCCGGAAGTAACGGAATGGGTTACTTCCGGGTTTCACTGCTCGCGCATGCGCAGACGCTCAAAATGACGTCACGTGCAGAAGCGGTGAATCACAACCTTCGCAGACGCAGGTTGTGTTCTGCTCACGTTGCGAACGGGGCTTCAGAACAGCTCCTGTTCGCAACCAGAGGTACCACTGTACAGTATTAGACACTGCTCACGTTTACACTGTGCATTTGAAGCACTATGATACCACTTCAATTAATCAGGACTTCCCCCAAAGAATTCTGGGACTTGTAGTTTGAAAATGAGATCCTTAGATGGTGTAGCTAAGATTCCTGCATTTCAAGGGCTTGGGCTAGATGGGGTCCCTTCAAACTCCAAACTTCTATGATTCATAAGTTCCCATTTGCATTTGCAAAATGACTAGAGGACCCTTGGAGGCTCTGACCAGGATCAAACAACAGACTCTGAATTTTGACTGTATTTTTACTCTACGCATTTAATCTAGAATTGTAGAATTGTTGGGCTGGAAGGGACCACAAGGGCCATTTATTGCCCAATGTGGGGCTCGAACCCACATAATCCTGAGATTAAAAGTCCATTGCTCTACCAAATGAGCTATCACTTGGATATTTAACTTGTAGCTTGACACTTTTAGTAGGGCAGGTTGTGAAACTTGGGATGGAGTGAGGTTGCTGCAGTTACTTAGGGGAAGTGAAAAGGGGGAACTTGCAGATGTGTTTCCTCCACGCTTGCATGAAAGAGTTGTGATATGGGGTGCAGAAACCAGAAAGTCAACGCTGCTTCTGCTGGGCAGGGTACATAATAGCCCCCATATCTGGGTTGCACAGACAACTTGCTTGCAGAAAAGGAAGAATGTGTTCCTATTATGACATATTCTAGAGGCAGCGATGCTTCTGAATGCCAGTTGGTTGAAACCACAGAAAGGAAGAGTTGGCCTTGGGACATCTGATTGGCCACCATGAGAACAGAATGCTGGACCTGATAAAACAACAGCAACAACACACAAGATACATAATAATCTGTAGAATTTGAAATATTGTTTTTATTGTACAGTCATACCTCATGTTACGTTTGCTTCATGTTACGTTCTTTCAGGTTACGTCCCACAGCGACCCGGAAGTACCGGAAAGGGTTACTTCCAGGTTTCGCCGCATGCACAGAAGCGCAAACTGACGTCACACGCATGTGCAGAAGCGGTGAATTGCAACCCGCGCGTGCGCAGATGCACCGCTGCAGGTTGCACTCTTTTCATGTTGCGAAACGGGCCTCCGGAACAGATCCCGTTCGCAACCAGAGGTACCACTGTGCTCTTATTACAGTATATTGGATTTCAGCCATGAGCTGCATTAGAGGTCACTGTCCGACTGAAATGTGAGATAAAGAAAGATAAATCTGTACCTATAACTGTCTTCTTTGACGATCCCTTGTAGCCAAGTAAGATTGTCTTCTATAAACACAGTTTTAACAGTGAGTCCGTAAGTGACTGTGGGGGCCAGTTCTGGATCCACATGTACTTCCGCAGTGGGGACATAGGTTTCCGGGCAGGAGTTGATCACAGTGAGGGTTTGCCAAGTGTGCCTTCCTCTTAGCACGTTTCTCCCTTTCGTCCTGAGCCCACGACACCTTTGGTAAAGGCTGTTCTCCAATTGGAGCGCTCGCAGGCCAGTGTTTCCCAGTTGTCGGTGTTTATACTACAGTGTCCAGCTGAAAGGTGAGATAAAGAAAGAAGTAGTAAATCTGTACCTATAACTGTAAAGCAGTTGGTGCCCTTGGGATATTATTGGACTGCAAGTTCCATCATCCTTGGCTATTGGTTGCTCGGGCTTCTGGGAGCTGAAGTCCTACAAAATTTGGAAGGCAAGCACATTGGCAGGCCTTGTCCGTAAACATAAATGCAGCCAATGACTACGGAGTGGAAAATTTGTATGGCTGTGGAATTTTTCTGTGGAAAAATTTCCATGCATTGTTGCCTAAAATTCATTGGTGACATAATAAATAGCAAAAATTGAAAAAGTGTTTTGCGATCCCTTAAGGACATTCATTTTACTACTACAAAGTGCTCAGGGGTAGCATATTATGGGTTGAGCTTTCGTGGAGTCAACAGTTCAGTGCATGAGTTGTTATCCTGTGTTACACTTGGCTGGTGAGGAATTGTAAGCTGCGAGATAAGAGGAGAATGAAATGCAGATTGTACCATCTGTGATAGCCACTAACAGTGGCAATTTTGCAAAGTGTTGGTGGTAGATAATTTGCAGAGCACTGGTGTCGATAGCACAAGCGTCCTTGCATCGATAAGCCAATAAGCACAGAGAGCATAATAAAAATCCAAGCTGTTGATTCAGCCCACGAGTGATAGCACCAAACCTCTTGACCAGGGGTAAGCAAACTTTTTGAGCAGAGGGCCGGTCCACTGTCCCTCAGACCTTGTGGGGGGGACACGGACTATATTATGGGGGGGTGAATGAATTCCTATGCCCCCCAAATAACCCAGGGATGCATTTTAAATAAAAGGGCACATTCTACTCATGTAAAAACACGCTGATTTCCGGACCGTCTGCTGGCCGGATTTCGAAGGCGATTGGGCCGGATCCGGCCCGTGGGCCATAGTTTGCCTACCCATGCTCTTGACAAATCTTAGGTCTGGTTTTAATCTCCCTTTGAAGTTCATTGGTTCAAGGATGACCACTTTAGCTATACAGCAGCCTAGGAGGTTGATGTATTCGGATTTATGGATATTGCTGGTGTCAGATTTGTGTACTCTCTTGCATATAGAGTCTGGCCTGTTTGTGATATGTCATATACAGAAAGGAAATTAATTTCAGACCGATAGTGGAATATACACATTAGAAGGTGGGTCTGTGAATGAAACCCTGATGCAATGTTGTTAAATCCGCAGTAGACAGAAGAATAGATTTAGCATCTGGATCGGAATGTTTTAAAGTTGTCTGCGACTTCTTTCATGTGACTTGAAAGCACGCAAAAGTATTTAGGCATGCTAAGATGCCGTCCATGTATATATTTGGGTTTCTGTGTCATAATATGTGTACAAATATCCCAGTAACTTCCAAGTGATTGCGTGAATAAGTTTCATTATAATGTTTTAAATCACATTTAAGTACATTTATCAACAGCCCCATCAATCATTTCTTCTGGCTAGGGAAAGAACTTTTTCAAGATTTCATCCAGCATGTAAAATGGGCACGCAGCACTTATTAAAAGTTTTAATCCAAAAGTCTGATTGGTGCAATGCCTTTATTGGAAGCAATTCAAATGTCACAATGTAGAGGCAGATTTTTAAGTTCAAGAGGCCCCCCTTCATCAGGCTAGAAACATGTAGAACATCTTTCTTATGTAACCACTGTGGTGTAATGGTTGGTCTAGACAGCTGGGAGACTTGGGTTCAAATCTCCACTCAGCCTTGAAGCTAACTTGGTGACCTTGAGCGAGTCATCATTTCTCAACCATGGCTACCTTTCAGGGCAGTTGTGAAGATAAAATGGGGAGGGGGAAACCGTGTATGCCTCCTTGGAAGAATGATGAGGTATAAATGGAAGAATTAAAACAGAAAAGAAAACAGAAAAGGCAAGGCAAAATTAAAAAATTCCTTCCAGTAGCACCTTAGAGACCAACTAAGTTTGTTATTGGTATGAGCTTTCTTGTGAATGCACACGTCTTCAGATACACTGAAACAGAAGTCGCAAGACCCTTATATATAGTGAGAGGGTGGGGAGGGGTATTACTCAGAAGGGTGGTGGGAATGGGTGATTGGCAACAGGTGGTGCTGTGGTCTAAACCACAGACCCTAGGGCTTGCTGATCAGAAGGTTGCGGTTTGAATCCCCGCGACGGGGTGAGCTCCTGTTACTCGGTCCCTGCTCCTGCCCACCTAGCAGTTCGAAAGCATGTCAAAGTGCAAGTAGATAAATAGGTACCGCTCCGGCGGGAAGGTAAACGGCGTTTCCGTGTGCTGCTCTGGTTCGCCAGAAGTGGCTTCGTCATTCTGGCCACATGACCCGGAAGCTGTACGCCGGCTCCCTCGGCCAGTAAAGCGAGATGAGTGCCACAACCCCAGAGTCATTCGCGACTGGACCTAAGGTCAGGGGTTCCTTTACCTTTACCTTTAAGGTGCTACTGGAAGGAATTATTTTATTTTGTTTTCACTATGGCAGACCAACACGGCTACCTACCTGTAACTAGAAAAGGCAAGGAGAGAGAAGAAGCTGAGTGTGAGGTAAAAGACAGCAATCTGTAATAGTTTTGAAATGTCAAGCAGAAAGGATAGGTGCAAAACAGATTCAGGTTCCAGTTGATTTATACGATGGGGGGGGGGGAATCCTGGTTCAAAACTTTCCAGAAAGCCTGCACCACCAAATGCAACAAGGCTCATTTGCTCACTGGTGTTTGCACAGAGTGGGGAACAGTTTATGGTCTGTTTGTCTGTTGACAGTGGCCTGCAAACCTCCTCTTTCAGCCCCTCCTCAGGTTCAATGTTTTTTGCTTGGCCTTTCCTGAGTCAGTCATCACGTTCCCCCAGTGTCTTCTGAGGCAAGTTAACCAAAGTTCTTGGCCAAGAAAAACCAGATTGACTGTGCCCACTGAGCAGATTTACTTTTAGTTAGAAATTATAGGCCGATCTCACTATTAAATAATGATTAGAAATTATTTTAAAAACAGTACTAAAAGACATAATTCACCAAGATCAAGCTGGCTTTCTTTTTTCTTTTTTCCTTTTTTTCTAATTTTTTAAAATTAATTTTCTTTTCCATCATTACAAACATCTCATATCAATAACATACATATCAAGCTGGCTTTCTACCTGGTCGACAGATGAAAGATAATATAAGGAATACAGTGGTGCCTCGCAAGACGAAATTAATTCGTTCCGCGAATTTTTTCGTCTAGCGAATTTTTCGTCTTGCGAAGCACGGTTTCCCATAGGAATGCATTGAAAATCAATTAATGCGTTCCTATGGTCAAAAAAAGTCCAAACAAAGCCAAATTTGGTACAACAAGAGTTTATTAAGTGCTCTTTAAAGTCACACATACTGTAAAGAGCATTTCAAAATTCAAACCCAGAATTTTTTTTAAAAAACAGCAGAGTTGCCCAATGGTCACAGAAAATCATAAAAATGCAGAAGAAAAAAAAACAAGCTTCCAGATTCTTGCAAACCCCTCCCCAACTGTTCCCCCAGCCACCCAGCACACAGAAATTCAAATCCAGAATTTTTTTTAAAAAACAGCAGAGTGGCCCAATGGTCACAGAAAATCATAAAAATGCAGGGAAAAAAACACAAGCTTCCAGATTCTTGCAAACCCCTCCCCAACTGTTCCCCCAGCCACCCAGCACACAGAAATTCAAATCCAGAATTTTTTTAAAAAAACAGCAGAGTGGCCCAATGGTCACAGAAAATCATAAAAATGCAGGGAAAAAACCACAAGCTTCCAGATTCTTGCAAACCCCTCCCCAACTGTTCCCCCAGCCACCCAGCACACAGAAATTCAAATCCAGAAATTTTTTAAAAAAACAGCAGAGTGGCCCAATGGTCACAGAAAATCATAAAAATGCAGAGAAAAAAACAAGCTTCCAGATTCTTGCAAACCCCTCCCCAACACCAAGTCCTTGAATTCCAAACACCCCAACCCAAAATCCAACCCACCCCCCCAAAAGTTTTAAAAGTTTAACTTACCAAATGGCTGCAAAAGAAGTTTTGGAAAAGCTTCAAAAATCACCAAAGTCTTTAAAAACCTCAAAAAAGGCTACTATGTACACTGCGTTCTATGAGTTGCTCCTCGAAGTCAAGTCACAACAGTATTAACGGTGTTAAGAAAAAGGAAACAAACTTGCAAGACATTTTCGTCTTGCGAAGCAAGCCCATAGGGAAATTCGTCTTGCGAAGCAGCTCAAAAAACGGAAAACCCTTTCGTCTAGCGAGTTTTCCGTCTTGCGAGGCATTCGTCTTGCGGGGCACCACTGTATAACAGACGTAATAGAGTATCTGGAGGCCAGGAACGAAAAGCAAGCGGCTGTGATGTTTATTGAAGCAGAGAAGGCCTTGATAATGTTTCTTGGACTTTCATGAAAAAGACAATAGAAATGATGGAGTTAGGAGAGTCATTTCTTAGAGGAATTGGCTCTATATATTCTGAGCAGAATACTGTGCGCCAGTCACGACACTTCTGGGCCCTGGGGGCTTGGGGAAAATTCTAGTTAGGCCATGAGGTTTTCTTGCTGTGATGGTGGGGATAGCTCAGTCAGTAGAGCATGAGACGCAGGGTTGTGGATTGCAGGGGGTTGGACTTGAGAACCCTGGTGGCCCCTTCCAACTCTACAATTCTGTGATACTATGGTGCAAGTGCTCACTCAAGATACAAGAAAGATTTTCTCTCCCTTACCTAACCTGACAGTGGCCTGCAAACCTCCTCTTTCAGCCCCTCCTCAGGTTCATGGTTTTTGCTTGGCCTCTCCTGAGTCAGTCATCACATTCCCCCAGTGTCTTCCGAGGCAAGTGAACCAAAGTTCTTAGCCAAGAAAAACCAGATTGACTGTGCCCACTGAGCAGACTCTTGAGGGTCCCATAGACTGCAAGAAGATCAAACCTCTCCATTCTGGAGGAAATCAGCCCTGAGTGCTCACTGGAAGGACAGATCCTGAAGCTGAGGCTCCAATACTTTGGCCACCTCATGAGAAGAGAAGACTCCCTGGAAAAGACCCTGATGTTGGGAAAGATTGAGGGCACAAGGAGAAGGGGATGACAGAGGACGAGATGGTTGAATAGTGTTCTCGAAGCTACCAGCATGAGTTTGAGCAAACTGCGGGAGGCAGTGGAAGACAGGAGTGCCTGGCGTGCTCTGGTCCAGGGGGTCAGGAAGAGGTGGACACGACTAAACGACTCAACAACAACACCTAACGCTTGGCGTCCAATGAAGTTGAATGTTGGAAGATTCAGGATGGATAAAAGAAAACACTTCATTGCTTAGTGCATGGTTAAACTGTGGAACTCACTTCCACAGGAGGGAGTGATAACCACCAACTTGGATGGCTTTCAAAGCAGATTAGACACATTCATGGAGGTGGAGTCTATCAATGGCTACTACTAGCCTTGACAGCTGCCTCCAGAGTTGGAAACTGTAAATGCTACTAACTGCAGGTTGCCTCCGGAGGAGAGTTGCTCCTGCTGTCTGGTTTCCCACAGGGATTTGGTTGGCCACTGTGAGAACTGGATGCTGGACTAGACGGGTCATTGGCCTGATCCAGAAGGTCTCTTCTGGCTTTCTTGCTCACTCATCTGCCGCTTCCAGAGGACTGGCTAAGTGCCATCACAGCACATTTTGTACTCTTGGGTATTAAGAGCAACATAGGCAGCTGCCTTCTTCCAAGTCAGATCCTTGGTCCATCTAGCACAGTATTGTCTACACTGACTGGCAGCAGTTCTTCAGGGTTTCAGATGGAGAGTCTATCCCAGATGCCAGGGGGAAAGTGGATGGTTCAGATTTGCAATGGACAATTTATGGAGAAGAACAGACCTTTTAGAGGTTTTAAGCTGTGTTTAATGCTTGGTCTGGGTGGAGTAGTTGAGTGTGGGTAAGACCTAGTCTGGGGCTCTGCAAAGGAATGTAGTCAACTCCAGGGCTCCAGTTAAAGTATATTTATTGAAGAAGTAAGGCACACACAGAGAGAAATAGAAACTGGCAATTAAAGAAAAAACTGCACTGAACAGGAAACATAAAGTCCTTGTAAGTGCCCCTGTCTCAGAAGATCTTACAGGAGGAACTTGGGTCCTGGGAGCACAGTTACTGGTTTGTTTTTATTTCATGATGTGTTTTGTCTTCTCTTTTTGTATTTATATGTTATGAATCGCCCTGTGATCTTCGGATATACAATTAATAATAATATTAATAACGATAATAATAATAGTTGCGTCAGAGGACAAGGGAGATGCTGCTCTCTTGCAGCAACACGGAGAGCAAAAAACATTAGAAAGATTACCTATGGCAATTCAAGAAGGGAGGAGTGGCGAGGAGAGAGGTAGCTGGTTAGGAAGAGAATACCCTACATGTGTCCTAGTGTAACGTAGCGGTTAGATTGTCACAGTAAGACCTGAGTTCAAATCCCCCACTCAGCCACAAAGCTCACTGGGATGACCTCGGAAGCCAGCCCCTGCCTCTCAGGCGGATTAAATGAGGAGGGGCAGAATCACATATGGCACCTTGAGCCCTTTTTTGGGTGGGGGAGGTAATAATAATAATAATTTTATCATTTGTATCCAAGCCCTAGGGCTTGCCAATCAGAAGGTTAGTGGTTTGAATCCCCACGACGGGGTGAGCTCCTGTTGCTCGGTCCCTGCTCCTGCCCACCTAGCAGTTCGAAAGCACGTCAAAATGCAAGTAGATAAATAGGTACCGCTCTGGCGGGAAGCTAAATGGCGTTTCCGTGCACTGCTCTGGTTCGCCAGAAGTGGCTTAGACATGCTGGCCACATGACCCGGAAGCTGTCTGCGGACAAATGCCGCAGTCATTCATTTATGAGGAATATTATGATTTTAAAATTACATCTTTTTTATTTTTTGTGTATAGTAATGCTTGTCGATCTATGATAATAACAATTATGAACATACTCTGAAAACAAGAATATGTATAATTGTAAGATGTAAAGTCATGATGTAAAGATACACTTGTGAGTAATAAAGGAAAAACTAATAAAAAACAAAAAATCCACCCCCAACCAAGGGTCGGGTGTGTGTGTGCGCGGAGAGGTCCTACTTGCCTCTGCCCCATCCTCCCGTTCCAGAACAGCTGTGCTACTTTAAAACGACATTTGTTTTTCGGCATTGCTCCTGGGAGTCAGCTGATGGCGCCCCTCCCTTCCCAGCAGCTGGCAGAGGCACATGTGCAGACAGGCTTGTAAAGGAGGTCTGTCAGGCAGAGGCGACGCTGGAAAAAGTTGCTGCTCTCCCCTTTTCATAAGGGCTTCGCAAGGGAGAGGCTCGGTTGCGAAGGACAACGGTCAGTGTCTATAGAGGACGGCTTCTTGTTCCAGAGGTCTCCTCACCCCCCCCACAACCTGCCACGTTTTCCAGAGACCGAAAAAGGTTACGTCAGCTGCCTCCCCCCCCCTTTTGCCTTGGGGAGCTGCACCATCGCTGTTTAAATGGGGCTCTCGCCTCGAAAACGTTGCGTGCCGAACGGACTGGCAGCGAGTGCAGGAAAGGGCAAGCAAAATGGTCCAGTGGGTGGAGGGACAATTCCCCCCCTTGGGGGATGGTTGCAGCATTTGGGGGCTTTTCTAGAGGAAAGTTGAGTCGGAGGAGTTGGAGTTTATAAAATTGTGCGTGGCACGGTATCAAAAGCTCTTCTCTTCCTCTCTCGTAACGCTTGCGGGCATCCATTGAAGCCGAAGGCTCGAAGATCCAGGGCAGGTTTTAATAAAAGTCCATCTTCGTGCCGCGCATAGCTAAACTGTGGAACTCCCTCCCACAGTTTTGACTGTGTTGACCACCAACTTGGATGGCTTTAAAAGAAGCTTTGACTTTTAGAAGATGTCTGAAGGCAGCCCTGTGTAGAGAAGTTTTCAATGCTTGGCGTTTTGCTGTGCTTAATGTTTTAACTTGTTGGAAGCCAACCCAGAGTGGTCGGAGCAACCTAGTTAGATGGGTGGCATATTAATAACAACAATAATATTGATGTATTTGTGGGCTGTCAATGGCTAGAGGCCGTGTGTCTATATATACTCTGCCTTCGTCACTGGGAGTAGCAATGCAACTGGATGCGAGTTGCTGGGAAACACAGGAGAAGAGAGCGATTCTGTGCTCCGATCCTGTTTGAAGGTTTCCCAGGGGAAATCTGAATGTCCACTGTGAGAACACGATGCTGGCCAAGGCGAGCCATTGGCCTGATCCAGCCAGCTCTTCTTATGCAGATTTATATACTTAATCAAACTCTAATCGCTCTCCCATCCTTTCTCTGGCACCGTTGCATAAAGAGCCAGCAATAGTGGTTAGTGAGCTGGATTTAGGCTGGGTTCAAACTGGCTTCTTGGTCTTGTGCCAACCACTAACTCTCAGCCCAGCCAAACCCACAGGGTTGTTGGTTAGGATGAGAAAAGTGGGATGAACTGTGAGCTCATTCTCAACTCCTTGGGAAAAATAGAGGGTTTGTTTGTTTGCTTGTTTAAGAAAAACATGAAATACTTTGGTTATCAAGCCAAAAAATATCTTCAGAATGGCATATGCAGAAATGGCGAAATTTACCGAAAGAATAAGAAATAAAGATAACAAACTTTTTAAAATAAAAGAATGGAAATGGTTTGTTGAATATTTACAGTTAAATTGTAAACAGATAAGCTCATTGGCAGGATTATTGTAATAATAACCTGCAGTTTTATAAGAGTATGTATTTAAAGTAGATGAGTAAATGAACAAATTAAGTTAATTTGCATATGCAGAGGATATTAAAAATAAATTTAAGAAACCGCAGAAAGAGGGGGAAGGAAGTCAAGTTTTGAAATGTTAAAATGTTTGTAAAATTAGTGAAAGGTATAAACTTGGAAAGTATAAATAAAATTTGAAAAACAAACAAACAAAGACTTCAGGGATACAGTTTCACACCAGCCCTTGTACGTTAGGAACCCGGAACACTGCTTTATTCACAGGGTGACCCTTGATCCATTTATCCCAATATTATCTGTTCCGCAGCTAATCTCCCGGGCAGAGAAGTCTTTCCTGGTTCCTCATCCTTTCCGGAGATGCCAGCGATTGAACCTGGGACCACCTGCATGCAGAACATAAAGCATTACAGCGGATGCTCCTGATGAATAGAAGAAGCTGCCACATACCAGGTCAGATGATGTGTCCATTTACTTCAGTATTGCCTATTCTGACTGGCAGTGGCTCTCTAGCCTATCAGGCTGCAGCTTGAGGTTCTCTTAACTGGAAGTGGAAGTCCTTACCTTCTGTAAGCTGGTCACGTGCTAAACCACTGGCCTGTGGTCCCTCCCCATTGCAGGGGTATCTGGGACATGTTCTAGGCTGGGCACTCAATACGGCCTCTGGTCTCATTTCACGTGACTCCTGAATCTGCCCTATTCTTCTGAGTTCCTTCCTTCCTGTTCATTTTCTGCAGTTTTTAAAGTGTGTCTTCCCCTCTTTCTGTTGTAGTTCCAGGACAATTATTGGACGGATGGACCATAATTTATCTGATAAAAATAAATGGGTGGTTTCTTTTAAAACCTTTCCCTGGTTGTATAGCTTATAATTGCATGGTTGACAATAATAATAATAAAAAATTCCCCTCCCACGAGCTATCTGAGAACAAATTGGTAGACTTCTGCCAGCTATGTATATATGTTTGTGTATGTAGCACACCAAAGCCAGAAAGGCGTTACTTTCACTTGCTTCTCAGACCTCTAGCTGTATTGGTCTGCTTTACTAAAATAAAACCCAGTGCACTTATTTGAAAGTAGCCTTGAAAGTTAAACTCAGTGGGGCTTACTTCTGAGTAGACCGGTATAGCATTGGGCATTCTATTCTGAACTAGCCATGGTGGAAATTATAACAGAGAGGTCTTTAGTAGCCCAGGACTCTTGTTTCTCTTGCTCCATCCATTGCTGGCCTTTGGCCTCTGAGTGCTTACCCTGAGGGAATGTGGCTTTTGACAGAATTAAAAGTTTCCATCCCCTGATGGAAAGTGCTACCAAACCCCTGGGGCCTCCGTCTTGTCTTGCGCAAGGCGAGAATTCCTCTTAAAACAGACATTAAAAAACCCAGACATATGCAGTTGTGGCTACGTGTTTGAAGGGAAATCAGTAGTAATGGCAAGTTGCTTGTCCGTCACACCTGATTGTCTGCTGGAACAGGGATGACTAACCTGTGGCCTTCCAGATGTTGCCGAACCCCAGCTCCCATCGTCCCTGACCATTGGTCATGCTTTGCTGGGGTTGATGGGAGTTGGAATCCAGCATCATCTTAGGAAGAACCATAGTATTGCAGGAAGGGACCACCAGGGTCATCTAGTCCAACCCGCTGCAATGCAGGAGTCTTTCCCCATCATAGGGCTTGAACCTATAACCCTGAGATTAAGAGTCACCGTAGGGGGCACACACTCCCTGCCCTTTGCCTTTGGGCCAATCAGCATCTAAAGCAGCGGTTCTCAACCTGTGAGTCCCCAGGTGTTGTTGGACTACAACTCCCATCATCCCTGAGCTCTGGCCTTGCTAGCTAGGGGTGATGGGAGTTATAGTCCAACAACATCTGGGGACCCACAGGTTGAGAACCGCTGCTTTAGATGCTGATTGGCCCAAAGGCAAAGGGCAGGGTGCTGAAAAGCACAGTGAACGCTCCTGGCTGATGTCAATCGGCAGGGAGTTCCAAAGTGTGAGGGCTGCCACACTAAAAGGTGATTTTCTTACAAATGCGAAAGAGGTCTTTTTTGGAGCTGTCAAGTGGGCAAATATGGGTAAGGGAATCTTCCATATACAGTGGTACCTCGGGTTAAGAACTTTGCTTCAGGATGAGAACAGAAATCAGCAGCAGCAGGAGGCCCCATTAGCTAAAGTGGTACCTCAGGTTAAGAACAGTTTCAGGTTAAGAATGGACCTCCAGAGTGAATTAAGTACGTAACCAGAGGTACCACTGTATTGTATGAATTATACTCTTTAGCTTCCTTTTTAGTGTGTGTGTGTGTGTGTGTGTGTACACACACACACACACAAGATTTCCTTGGTTTACAAAAGTACATGCCTTGTCTCTTTTTTCAGGTTGTACAGTTTTCTTACAATTTAGTTGCAATTGTTGTGAGACATTAGTGTTGAATACAGTATAAGGCGGGGGAAGAAGAGGGGGGATCTCTCTTCAGCTTCCTTGAATCACCCTCCCATATTTCCAATTTGGGTGCTTCATTTTGAATGGCCCCTCCCCACTGCAGCTGCTCGCCTTTTCCGTTCTGTCTTTCTGACCATCTTGTGTGGAGAAGGAGACTAACCTTGTATTTGACCTCCTTACAGGTTCCCCACTGTCCTCAAACCGCCATGCTGGCTCTCAGATATTTCCAGCAGAGCTGGAGGTGAGCGCGGCATGAGGTAGCCACTGCCGACGCCTCCGGCCAGGATGACCAAAGCACGCCTCTTCCGCCTCTCGGTGGTGCTGGGCTCCATCTTCATGATCCTGCTGATCATCGTCTACTGGGACAACGTGGGGACGGCCCACTTCTATTTGCACACGACCTTCTCCAGGCCTCACGGGGTCCTCCCCACCGTGGCCAAGGACGGAGGCCAAGACTCGATGTCGGACGTCGACGAGTTCTTGGAGAAGCTCCTGAGCTCTGACCTGAAACGCGATGTGGGTCTCGGTCAGAAGACAGAGCCGCCTGCCCCACACGCCTCCGCAAGGCCCGTCGCCGGCAACTTGGAGGAGAACGTGAGGGGCTACGACTGGTCCACTCGTGACGCTGGCGCGATCTTGGACCAGGAGCAGCTGCAGGCGGAGCGGCGCCGGACGCTGAGGGAGCTGTGCGCCAACTCCAGCTTTGCCTTCCCCACCAAGGAGCGCTCCTTTGACGACATCCCCAACTACGAGCTGAACCACCTCATCGTGGACGACCGCCACGGCGTCATCTACTGCTACGTCCCCAAAGTGGCCTGCACCAACTGGAAGCGGGTGATGATCGTGCTGAGTGAGAGCTTGATGGACCAGGGCGTGCCGTACGCAGACCCCTTGGACATCCCCCGCGAGCACGTCCACAACACCAGCACCCACTTCACCTTCAACAAGTTCTGGCGCCGCTACGGCAAGTTCTCTCGCCACCTCATGAAGATCAAGCTGAAGAAGTACACCAAGTTCCTCTTCGTCCGAGACCCTTTCGTGAGGCTCATCTCGGCCTTCCGCAGCAAGTTCGAGCTGGAGAACGAGGAGTTCTACCGCCGGTTTGCCATCCCGATGCTGAAACTTTACTCCAACCACACCAGCCTGCCGACCTCGGTGAGCGACGCCTTTGAGGCGGGCCTCAGGGTCTCCTTCTCGGACTTCATCCAGTACCTCCTGGACCCCCGGACCGAGAAGCTGGCCCCGTTCAACGAGCATTGGAGGCAGGTGTACCGCCTCTGCCACCCGTGCCAGATCGAGTACGACTTTGTGGGCAAGCTGGAGACTTTGGATGAGGATGCAGCCCACCTGCTGCAGCTCCTGAAGGTGGAACACCTTCTTCGCTTCCCTCCCAGCTACCGGAACAGGACAGCCAGCAGCTGGGAGGACGACTGGTTTGCCAAAATCCCCGTGGCCTGGAGGCGGCAGCTGTACAAGCTGTACGAAGCGGACTTCGTCCTTTTCGGTTACCCCAAGCCAGAAAGCTTGCTTCAGAACTGAGCGAGGCAGAACGGAGGGAAAGAGAGCATTTGAAATACCAAAATATCTCCTCTTCTTTGAGAGCCAGTGTGGTGTAGTGGTTAAGAGCGGTAGTCTCATAATCTGGGGAACCGGGTTCGCGTCTCCGCTCCTCCACATGCAGCTGCTGGGTGACCTTGGGGTAGTCACACTTCTTTGAAGTCTCTCAGCCCCACTCACCTCACAGTGTTTGTTGTGGGGGAGGAAGGGAAAGGAGAATGTTAGCCGCTTTGAGACTCCTTAAAGGGAGTGAAAGGCGGGATATCAAATCCAAACTCTTCTTCTTCTTCTTTTTCCAGAGCCCTTCCGTTGACATAACACAAGTGCAACTTTTTTCTATACTCTTTTTTTAAAAACAAAAACAAACCACCCCATTGCTCGGACGCATGGAATCTCCTATTGCAGGCAGACTTTCCCCTTCCTCTCGTTCCGATTCATTTTATGAAATGTTTTTCTGTTAGGCTATAAGTTTGTCCACTCCACCAGCTGTATTCTTTCAGGTGCTTTTTATTAATGCATTTTTTTAATTAAAAGAGAGCACGAGAAAGAGAGAATATTAATATATTAAAATATTTAATACAAATCATTGTTGTGGAGTAGGGGAATAAAGGGGCGAACCGTCTTTCATTGCAACTGTTCAGCTGTGAGTGTCCGCTGGAATTTTTCTAGCTGGGGAAGGCAGCAAAGTCAAACACTGTAAGTGTGTTCAGGGGAGCAGGCTAGCTTCTCACAATACTTTTTGAAAAGAATAGTGCAGGTATATTTTGCCTCGTATCTCAGGTTCTACAAACGCTAGAAACTTCTCTCTCCTTAAATGAATCTTTATTGCTAAAAGCTATAAGACGTCCCAATTGGTCCCAATGCGTAGGACACAAATAATTGATTTAAAACTGAACAACAGCAGCAGCAAAGCAAACATACAAAAATGCAAAAATCACTCTTGCATAAGTTAAGCACTCCACATCGCACACTCCCTCTTGTGATACTTGTCTTGGTGCCTAGCTCTCAATTTACTTGCAGCCAAGGCAAATTTTGCAACCCGTGCAGTCATAAATACATTATTCCCAGCCAGCAAAATAGAGATTTGCTCAAGGGGAGGTCGGCTGGAAAGAGAGCAAAGGATGTAACCGAGGAATTTTTGTCTAGAAGATGTATATAAAGGGCATCGTAACAAATAGTGTTGAATGTCCTCCGTGTCTCCCGACTAACAGATCCAGAGTCTTTGGTACACAGGGGTGCTATTGAATCTTCCAGTTAGATATGCAGAGAGCATACACTGAAAAATCAAAGCTGTAAATGCTTTTCTAAGTGGTGTATTCTCTCTCCTCCTTAATGAAAGCTGGGAAATGGGGGGTTATGGTTCATCTGGAGTGGGTGGGACACCTCTCCCTTCACCCCATAAGAATGTAAGAAGAGCCTGCTATATCTGGTCAGTGATCCCAGCAGTCCAGCATCCTGTTCTCACAGTGGAAGACCAAATAATGACTGTGGGAAACCAGCAAGCAGCACCTGAGCACAAGAGCCCTCTCTCCTCCCATGGCATCCAGCGACTGGTACCCGTTCCCGCAGACATCCATGATGCCCAGCTTCTTGTTGGTGGGGCACTGTAGACATACCTGAGTTTTGTAAAGATGGATAGAGCAAAAGGGCCAGTTTTCAAATTGGTGCTTGGCCAGCTGCAGCAATCTACTAAAGGGTGTAGAACAGCCTTTCTCAACCTGTGGGTCCCCAGATGTTGTTGAACTACAACTCCCATCACCCCTAACTAGCAAGGCCAGAGCTCAGGGATGATGGGAGTTGTAGTCCAACAACATCTGGGGACCCACAGGTTGAGAATTGCTGGTGCAGAACAACAACAACAATATAATTTATTACTTATACCCTGCCCATCTGGCCGGGTCTCCCCAGCCACTCTGGGCGGCTCCCAACAAAATACTAAAAACACGATAAAACATCAAACATTACAAACTTCCCTAAACAGGGCTGCCTTCAGATGTCTTCTAAAAGTCAGATAGTTGGTGGGTAGGCATACCACAGGGCGGGCGCCACCACCGAGAAGGCCCTCTGCCTGGTTCGCTGTAACTTCACTTCTCGCAGGGAGGGAGCCGCCATAAGGCCCTCGGAGCTGGGCCTCAGGGTCTGGGCAGAATGATGGGAGTGGAGACGCTCCTTCTGGTATCCTGGGCCAAGGCCGTTTACCAGGGACAAGGGAACCTGTTACTGAGCTGCAAAGAACTTTATATGTTAGTGCCAACAACTCCCTGAACTTGGCCTGGTAGGAAATCAGATGTAGAGAGGCTGGTATAATTAGGCACTCCACACATGTTTAAAACAGCTCTGTTTGTTTTCCATTTTCCATAGATGATCCCTGTGTCAATGTCACGCTGCCCTCTTAACCTGTGGCTCCCTGCCCTTCTCTCTCGCTGACCCCAAGCAGTTCATGCAGCAGTAGGACACATTTACCAGTAATTCATTTGATTTATATCCTGCTCATCCTTCTGCAGGAGCCCAGAGTGGCAATACACTTCAAGGCAGCAAAGAACTTGGAACAGGGCAGTTGCGGTGAGAGTGGTCCTTCCATTTTCCCTGCAAAAGCACCACATGGTGCAAAGCGACGTTGTGCACAGCAGCCGAGTTGCTGAAATGCTAAGGACAAGAAGTGTCCCCACTTCTAAATGCAATATCTCAGTCTGTCCCTTGTGGTGCACTCGTTACCCATGATGCAACACTGCCAGCTGAAAACCTTCTCTTCTTGTTATATAGCTTTGCTGCCAAAATCTCAGAATCACAGCCAGGGGAAACATGAGCAAAACAAGGGCCTTGGAAGATTTCAGCGCAGAAAGAAAAACAAACAAGGCTCGCTTTGTCAGAAGGGGAGTCTGAACGCATCGGAACAAATAAATGTGAAGAAAATAAGTTAAATTGGCAATTATTTTTATTTTTAAAGAGCCCTTTCCGTCAAAAAACGTATTGGGAACATCACTTAAGAGGGCCAAGTGATGTAATATGGCCGCTGGACAGAACTGGCTTCAGATTAATCTTTTGCAATATGGAGAGGTCATGTTTCCTTGAATTATGAGTTCATTGTTACTTTGTGTGCAGAAGAAAGTGTTGGAGGTGGAAGGAAGGGGTGTGGATGTTTCAGTACTTGGTTTGGCATTGCATGTTGTGTTAACTTAAAACAACATTGGGGTGCTCATCAACTTTGCAGATGGCATCTCCCCTATGTATCCTCATGACAGTCCTGTGAGGTTGGTTAGGCTGAGGGTGAGTGTCTGGTGCAAGGTCACCCAGGGAGTTTCATGGCTAAGTGGGGGGGTTTGACCCTTGGTCTCTGAGGCTGTAGTCTAACACTGCATGAGTGGCGCTGTGGTCTAAACCACTGAGCCTCTTGGGCTTGCTGATCAGAAGGTTGGCAGTTCGAATCCCTGTGACAGAGTGAGCTCCCGTTGCTCTGTCCCAGCTGCTGCCAACCTAGCAGTTCAAAAGCACACCAGTGCAAGTAGATAAATAGGTACCACTCTGGCGGGAAGGTAAACGGCGTTGCCGTGCACTCTGGTGTTCCGTTGCTCAAGAAGCAGTTTAGTCATGTTGGCCACATGACCTGGAAATCTGTCTTTGGACAAACGCCGGCTCCCTTGGCCTGAAAGCAAAATGAGCGCCGCAACCCCATAGTCGCCTTTGACTGGACTTCACTGTCCAGGAGTCCTTTACCTTTTACCTTTCTAACACTAAACAAATCAATAAATTGATAAGAGGACCATACACTGATGAAAATCTCAGCAGAGCCCATTTGGGACTCCTTTTAAAGCCACAACAGCCCTTCTGGGGCAGACGGGGTTTGTCCACCTGGGAAGGTAGCCCATGAAGGACCACTCTGACCCTAAGACAGTTGGATGGCACCTTGTACTCCTTCTTCCTGCAACTCCTGCAGCCAGTCTGGTGCCAAACATCTTGCTCTGCTTTCCTTTGGACCACATCAATGAGGCAGAGAGGAGGGTCTTGTCATCTGGGCAGCCCAGGACCTCCAGACACACCGCCCAGGCTTGTACCCTGGAGAGGTCACTTTGGTGCTGCTAGCACAGCAGTTTTACTTCACCCCCGGACGCACACTCCATTGTCTCTCAAGACAAATGCCAACAACAACAATGGGGAGAAGGAAGCTGGGCAGGTCCCATCCAACTATTAAGCTGAAGCACTGTCATTCCACTTCAAACAGTCATGGCTTCCCTCAGAGAGTCCTGGGAACTGTAGTTTGCAAAGGGTGCTGAGAGGAGTCAGGAGGCCTCACAGTTCCTGGAGTTCCCCGGAAAGAGGGATTAATGGTTGAACCCCTCTGGGAATTGTAGTTCTGCAAGAGGAATAGGGGGCTTCTAACGTTTCTCAGAGGGACATGGGTGGCGCTGTAGTCTAAACCGCAGAGCCTAGGGCTTGCCAATCGGAAGGTCGGCGGTTCGAATCCCTGCGATGGGGTGAGCTCCTGTTGCTCGGTCACTGCTCTTGCCAACCTAGCAGTTCGAAAGCACGTCAAAGTGCAAGTAGATAAATAGGTACCACTCCTGCGGGAAGGTAAACGGCGTTTCCGTGCGCTGCTCTGGTTTGCCAAAAGCGTATTAGTCATGCTGGCCACGTGACCCAGAAAAACTGTCTGCGAACAAACGCCGGCTCCCTCGGCCTGTAAAGCGAGATGAGTGCCGCAACCCGAGTCACCCACGACTGGACCTAATGGTCAGGGGTACCTTTACCTTTTTAATGTTTCGCAGCACCTTTTAAACTACCCTTCCCATAATTGTTTCTGGGGAAACCATGACTGTTGAAGTCAGGGGTCAGCAAACTAAGGCCCATAGGCTGGAAGCATCCCGTGGGGGTCGTTTGACCGGCCCACAAGCTGCCCCCATTGAGCTGCCCGCTTGCGTGCTGCGCTAAACTGATGCAGCGCGGCACGGGGATTCGCTTCCTTGGCGCCAGAAATTGTGTCTGCGCAGACGCCGAAAATTGCAGGCGCACATGCACAGACGCCAAAAATCGCGGGCTCGCACACATGCGCACACGATCCGGCCCACGGAGGGATCTCCGTGGGACAGATCCGGCCCAGGCAAGATAAACCTTGCTGACCCCTGGTTAAAGTGATAGGATTCTGCTTTAAATGAGATACGGTCATGCACAACGCCACCGGGTAAGATTTAGTTGTGGTGCCTGTTCTGAATGGCAGGTGGCGCCATAGGCCAACATAAGGAAAGTCCTGGGCTGCTGAAGAATTCTCAGAAGAGTTTCAACAAGGAAGTCATTGTGGTGTGCTTTGTGGGGTTTCCCAAAGGGCTTTGACATCTTATTGCCTCTGCTCCACCAGGCCTGAATAGGCATTATCCCTGGGGAAGTGAGGGGGAAGCTTGCAACAGTTCCAGAAGAACAGTCCTTGTAGAAACCACATTCTGGGAAAGGCTGGAACAGATCTTTAAACCCACACCATAAGAGCCTGTGGGATCAGGCCAAGGCCCACCTAGTCCAGCATCCTGTTTTCTCAGCCAACCAGATGCCTGTGGGAAACTTGCAAGCAGGATTCATTATTATTATTATTATTAAAATAATTCAGCATTAATACACACATGTTACGAATATACAAACATACATTTCATACAATCCTTAAAAATATTCATACATACCCACACTCAATCCCACAGATACTGCTTTTTCCCACCATCATCCCTTACCCCTCACCCCACCCTTGTGTTAGACTTCCAATCTACTCAACTGCAATTTCTTTCCACTTCTGTTACTTTCTTTCACAAACATTTAAACCAGTTTTCTGCTTCTTTTTCTGTTACACATTGTTATCCATCTTATTTAGTATTTCAGTATTTATAACGGAACTTGTTTATTCTAATAGGAGTTCTGATTTTTCAGTATAGTTTTGCAAGTAGCCTTTAAACACCTTCCAATCCTTGTCTATCTTCTCTTTTGAGATCCTTCCAGTTTCTCCAATGCAAGCAGGATTCAAGCACCAGAGTATTGCTAGCCCTGTGGTTTCCAGCGACAGGTATTCAGAAGCATTGCTGGCCTCCAACCAGTCATCAATAGCCGTCTCCTCCACCTCTTGAAAATTGTTATCAGTGTTTCCAGAAGTCAATTGAGAGCCAAACTGCATGCGGGCTTAGATCTGGGAACATCTGCGGCCTTCCAGATGTTGCTGCTGACCCCCACCAAGTATGATGGGATGATGAGAGTCATACAGTGGTACCTCGGGTTAAGAACTTGATTTGTTCTGGAGGTCTGTTCTTAACCTGAAACTGTTCTTAACCTGAAGCACCACTTTAGCTAAGGGGGCCTCCCGCTGCCACTGCATGATTTCTGTTCTCATCCTGAAGCAAAGTTCTTAACCCATGATACTATTTCTGGGTTAGCGGAGTCTGTAACCTGAAGCGTCTGTAACCTGAAGCGTCTGTAACCCAAGGTACCACTGTACTTGCACTTTTTTTGGCGTGCTTTTGAACGGCTAGGTTGGCAGGAGCTGGGACCGAGCAACAGGAACTCACCCTGTATGTAACCTGAAGCGTATGTAACCCGAGGTACCACTGTACTCCATTGGCATCTGAAGGGCATCAGGTTCCCCATTCCTGATTTAAATGTAGCCTAGCAAGATCAGATTGAAGGCCCATATAGCTGTGCACCCAGCACTCTCCTGCTGAATAGTTCTACCCATGAACTATTATTCTGTGGTACACTGTTCCTGGGCAAGGGGGCTCCACTTTGCAAAGCTGCATAAGAGCCATTAATGACCTTGTTCGTGAATTTGCCTAATCCTGCTTTAAGACCACTGAAGTCTGCAGGTTCTTGTATTTATTCCCCCACCCCATGCAATTCTGCGTTACAAAGATGTCTGCAAGTGTGACCTGAAGGCTGGCAACATCAACCCCACCTGTGGGAACCCCTTGCAGAGGACTGCAGAGCCTGGAGACAGGCAGTCAGGCTGTGCATCCATAGCAGTGACCAGAGGAGGACTGACCGCTGGGAGGAGTGCAGAGAGAAGAACTGCCGTGCAGCAAAATTGGACGCCTTCCTCTGCCCCAGCTGCAACAAAACATGTCTCTCCTTTATCAGTCTCTACAGCCACGGCAGGCGCTGTAACTCTCCAACAGTTTGACTTCACTCCTAATACGGCACTCCTCCATTGTCTCCCGAGACAGATGAATGCCAACAGCCCACATACACCTTCAGGTGTGAAAGCAAATTGGGATGGGGGCGGGGCTGACCCTGGCTTTCCCATGCACATAGCATTTGGTGATCCCCACTAACCTTAACCAACTAAGCCGTTGGAGACGCCGTTGCTAATCCCAGGTCCCCACAGCACGTGTGTTTGTCTAATCTTTTTATCATATTTACATTCCCCCCTCCCTTTCCTCATGGAATAAAACACTGGAAAGATAAACAGCACGAGGAAGAATCTACAGGTGGGCAAACAGAGGTGCACCTGTTAGCACAGGTCTCTGTTTGGAAATGTTTTACCACTGTGTTTGCATTGTTCTGCAGATGCGGCCAGGTCATTTGTCTCCACAAGCGTCTCAGTCCCTGGTATCTTTTCTGTAACAACAGCACCAACTAAACAAAAGGGAGGAGGGGTAGAGATGAATGAGATACAATGTAATAATAATAATAATAATAATAATAATAATAATAATAATAATAATTTATTACTTATACCCCGCCCATCTGGCTGAGTTTCCCCAGCCACTCTGGGTGGCTCCCTATCAAGTGTTAAAAACAATACAGCATTAAATATTAAATATTAAAAACTTCCCTAAACAGGGCTGCCTTCAGAAGTCTTTTAAAGATAGGATAGCTGCTTATTTCCTTCACATCTGAAGGGAGGGCGTTCCGCAGGGCAAGAGCCACCACCGAGAAGGCCCTCTGTCTGGTTCCCTGTAACCTCACTTCTCGCAGGGAGGGAACAGCCAGAAGGCCCTCAGCGCTGGATCTCAGTGTCCAGGTTGAACAATGGGGGTGGAGACGCTCCTTCAGGTATACAGGATGTTGTGTGTCAGGGATACTGATTGGGGTACAGGGGTACACATGTATCAGGCCCCATGTCAGTCTCTTAGCTTTCTTTAAAATAAAATAAAAAAGTAAATCCATTGGACATTTCTAAAATGGTTAGCTCTGGTTATCTCCCGCTTGGACTACTGCAATGCACTCTACGTGGGGCTACCTTTGAAGGTGACTCGGAAACTACAACTAATCCAGAATGCGGCAGCTAGACTGGTGACTGGGGGCGGCCGCCGAGACCATATAACACCGGTCTTGAAAGACCTACATTGGCTCCCAGTACGTTTCTGAGCACAATTCAAAGTGTTGGTGCTGACCTTTAAAGCCCTAAATGGCCTCGGTCCAGTATACCTGAAGGAGCGTCTCCACCCCCATCGTTCTGCCCGGACCCTGAGGCCCAGCTCCGAGGGCCTTCTGGCGGCTCCCTCCCTGCGAGAAGCAAAGCTACAGGGAACCAGGCAGAGGGCCTTCTCGGTAGTGGCACCCGCCCTGTGGAACGCCCTTCCAGCAGATGTCAAAGCGATAAACAACTACCTGACATTCAGAAGACATCTTAAGGCAGCCCTGTTCAGGGAAGTTTTTAACGTGTGATATTTTACTGTATTTTTGGTTTCTATGGAAACCGCCCAGAGTGGCTGGGGAGGCCCAGCCAGATGGGCGGGGTATAAATAATAAATTATTATTATTATTATTATAAAAGAAATTATGAAACAACATGTGCTGATAATGCTAAAGGTTTGTCAATCGGGCAGCGGCATTTTCTAGGGATGCTTAATCACTAAGCTGTCAGGAGGAGAATACTGGTGATGGACTCGGGTCCCCAGCTGTTGTTGGACTACAACTCTCATCATCCCTGGTCACCGGTTCTGCTAGCTAGGGATGATGGGAGTTGTAGTCCAACAACAGCTGGGGACCCGAGTTTGAGGAACACTGGAGCCCTTTCACAACTGCCCTGTGAGGTTCGCTAGGCTGTCAGTTGGCAATTCGGACACCAAATTTGTGAAACTTTGCTTGTTGTGGATCAAGGTCAGCATAGGCTTTGTGTGTTTGTTTTGATATTTTGCTGTAAAGGCCAGGGCTACGAAACGTTGCAGTTAAAGCAAGGAGGCTGCTTTTCCGGCTGCTCTTACATGATCTGTTAATGGTATAAGCCCTTGAAAAGCCAGTAAGCAGGACGGGAGCATAATAGCAATTTCCCTTCCTACAGTTTTCAAGAACTAGTATTCAGAAGCATACTACCAGGCAGAGGGCCTTCTTGGCATTGGCACCCTCCCATCGGACGTCAAGGAGATAAAGAACTACACAACTTTTAGAAGATGTATGAAGGCAGCTCTGTATTGGGAAGTTTATAATGTCTGATGCTTTACTATGTTTTTATATGTGCTGTAAGCTGCCCAGAGTGGCTGGGGAAACCCAGCCCAATGGGTGGAGTATAAATAATAAAATTGTTGCTATTATCATCATTGCCTCCAACTGTGGAGGAGAGCATAGCCACAGTTTCGAGTAGCCATTGATACTAGACTTTCTCCTCCATGGATTTGTATCATCCTCTTTAGCTCAGTCGGTAGAGCATGAGACTCTTAATTTCACGGGTTTGAGCCCCATGACGGGCAAAAAGGTTCCTGCCCCAACAGCGGGTTGGACTAGATGACCCTTGCAGCCTGTTCCAACTCTATACAGTGATACCTCGGGTTAAGTACTTAATTCATTCTGGAGGTCCGTTCTTAACCTGAAACTGTTCTTAACCTGAAGCACCACTTTAGCTAATGGGGCCTCCTGCTGCCGCCGCCGTGCCACCACCACGCAATTTCTCTTCCCATCCTGAAGCAAAGTTCTTAACCCAAGGTAATATTTCTGGGTTAGCAGAGTCTGTAACCTGAAGCGTATGTAACCTGAAGCATATGTAACCTGAGGTACCACTGTAATTGTACGATTCTTTTAAAGCCATTCAAATTGGTGGTCATCCCTGCCTCTCATCAGATTGTATTCCATAGCTGAAGTTAGCTGTGTGCCGTGTGACATATATTGCTTTTGTACCCAGGAACTCAAGCATGTGTTTGATTTCCTCTCCTCCTGCCTTCTATTATTTGCAACAGCCCTGTGAGGTAGGCTAGGCTAAGATAGTATATGTACATCAGCACCAGTTATTTCCAATAGATTGCAGCGGGTGGGCTGGACCCAGCTCAGGAAATCCTGTTTGCACCCCTGCTCAGTGTTTGCAAAGAGGATCTGTGACTTTTCAGGCCTATAGTTAACTGTAATTATTATATTCTGAAGATGATTCATCCTTTGCGGGTTTCAGATCTGTCAGTCTTTCCAGTCACTGCACTGTCATTAGAGACTGTCCCGTAATCTTGTAGATTAAGGATTCGCGTGAGAAGAAGGGAAAGAAAGCAAATCCTTAACCGCCGGGCATGCCACTTAAATATTGTGCCCCCGGAGGTAGCATTCAGGCATCCTAATGGTGGTATAAACGGGGGGGGGGGGGGGATTCGGCTTGCCCAGAAAAGCAGCTAGAAAATATCATCAAATAAACAAATACAGAGCTTTTGGGAGAATGAACCTCGCTGCAGCAACCCATCTAATTTTACTATTTTTCTCTCTGTCCGATTTTTGTCTCTTAAGACAGTGACAGCAATGCACGAGCAAATTCAGTTTTAGGGGTCCTTGCATTTAAGGACCCCATACAAATTTGCTTGAGGGTTGCAATCTGTGGCCATTGAAAAGCAGTTTTGCCTAGTGGTTAGAATGTTGGGCTAGGGCTGAAGAAACCCGGGTTTCAAATCCCTGCTGGGCTCTTGAAGCTTGCAAAGAAGGATGCAGGTCTGCACAGAATTTGCATGTCCTAATTTGTTTTATTTAGACACAAAGTTAGAAAGAGCAACTATGATTTGAATAGAAGCGCAGTGCGTCCCATCATAGTCAGGAGGACTGTGACCAGGGGCTTCCTATGGCTGCTCACTGTTGAGGGTTCTTTAGGTTGTCCTGGACCAGGCAGCACTACAAACAGAGGGCTATCTTCCATAAATCAGGGTTACATACACACCACACATTTTTTTAAATTTTTTAAATTAAGTTTTACAATTTAAATTTCTCTGGCTCTTTGTAAATATAATAGTACTGCTTAAATTACTATATCTCAACTTCGTAGTCTTTTATCTACATATATTCTCATTACTATCATTTTATATCATTACCATATAATTTACCTTTTTCTTAATTGTCTTCAGAACATTGTTCTGTATCTTATACCTTCTTTTTTGGTGATTGTAAGTGTTTAATCAAACCCTGCTAGTGAATTCATTTCTTTACAATATTTCTGCACATACAACATGTCTAGTTCCCAATCTTTTTTAAAGTCTCTATTGTCTCTGTTTCTTAGTCTTCCTGTCAGTTTTGCCATTTCTGTGTATTCCATCATTTTGGCTTGCCAGTCCTCCTTCGTTGGTATTTTATAGTCTTTCCATCTTTGGGCTAATAGAATCCTGGCCGCAGGCAAGGCATATGTAAATAAATAAGTTCTTCATCTTCTTTGGCAAAGCTTGTCCTATAATACCTAATAAAAAGGCTTCTGGTTTGTTTGTTTTTTACAAAAGTTATTTTAAACATTTTTTTCATCTCATTATAAATCATATCCCAATATTTTTTTTATAACTTTACAATTCTACCACATGTGATAAAATCCTGCACACCACACATTTAAAGCACTCTTGTGCCATTTGAACAGTCCTCCCCATAGAACTGTGGGGAATATAGTTTGATAAGGGTGCTGAAAATTCAGAGAGCACCAGTCCTCAGCACCCTGAATAAACTGCAGTTCCCCGGATTATTTGGGACTGGACTCTTAAGGTAGTATAAGAGTGCTTTAAATGTATGTGACGACAGCAGCGAGGATACTTACTGGCTCAAAGATGGAAAGAAAGTTCTGATGAAGATGATGGACTACGCCGAAATGGCAAAACTAACTGGGAAAATCAGAAACCAGGAAGAGAATAATTTTAAGAAGGAATGGGAAAAATTATTATGCGTTTAAGAGAACACGGTAAACAACTAAAAACCCTTTGGCAGGATCTGAGTAATGCTTGTAAAGTACGAAAAACTATGGAGAAATGGTTTATTATTCTTTTAACAAATTAGAAAAAATAAGATAAACAGTTGGGGGCAGGGGGAGATTGACAATGGTAACCATGGAAGGGCAGAGTGAAGTCCAAGGATTCAGAGAATCCTAAATGAAGAGGTGAATGACGTGTTTGAATTTAAATGTGTTATGTCAAACTTAATAAAAATATATTTCCAAAAAATAAAATAAATAAAAATAAATGTGTGGTGTTGGTGTAACGCAAAGCACAAGGCCACTCTAGTAAGCATAAGGCCATGCCAATACAGTTTGAAACAAATTCCTTGAGCTCCTCTGCCAGTCTCTAATTCATGCATACTCTGTTACAAAGTCTTCACCCACCCCTCCCTGCTTGCCAGGAAAAGGGGTATATACAGTACTCTAATGCTGTTTACCTACAAAGGAGCCTTCCATCCCTGGCTGTTGACACAGTGACCTCAGGGCCAACAAAACCACCTGGGAAAGTGGCTGCAGGTGAAAACCCCTCTGTCAACACCCATAGCTCCTTTTCTCCCTCCTGCCTCCCCCTCCCGGGAACAGGGATGTGCAAGTCAAAGACCAGGATATCATCGGAGGGTTTCAGGTTTTGTCTCGAAAGGTCGGTCCTCGCCTGGAGCGTAACAGCCCTAGCACCGGCTAAGATACACATCACGCTGTTGATTGTGTTGGTGGAACATGAGAACGCCAGGAGAGCCCCAAAGGTCCATCTGGTGTGAAGTCCTGCTTCTCACGGGGGCGACCGGATGCCTCTGGGAATCCTGCAAACAGGGCTTGGAGGCCTAGACCCATGTCCATGGAGGTGGCTGGATAGTAATGAGGTTTTTTTTGCGGGGAGACACACATCTGGAACAGTTCACAGAATTGGATTGAGATTTATTTCTTACAGTGGAAATGGGTTGAAGAGGGCTTCCTGCCGGGTTTAATGCACTGGAGCGTCACCTTTGGAGCTCTGGGTTCAAATCCCGACATCACTCAGGAAATGAGCTTTGAAGGATTTATGTTCAGTTCCAGGAAGTGATGGGACACACATTTAAGAAGCATCCCACATGGTGTGATTGGCAGGCAGTCTGCTTGGCCCGGTTGGAGTTCAGGGAGGGATGGAAGATGGGGTGGGGGCGAAGGAGCGAAACAGAAGGTGGGGATGCAGAAGGAGAGAAAGTTTTCTGGCTGGACGAAACAGCTGGATGGCCTACAGAACCGTGAAGGCGATTCTTCCACACATATGTCTGGGAAATTTAAAGCAGAAGAGCTCTCCAAAGACCACCCGACGCGCAAGCCGGTTTGTGCGTTTGTCGCCAACCTAAATTTTTGCCGCCGCGTTTCCAGGGATGACATGCTTCAGATGAGCACCATCACAGATCATTGTTGGCAACGGCTTTGAGGGAGAAAGCTTCTCACATGCTAGGCACATGGCTAACAGCACAATCCGAACCCTGTCTGAGCAGAAGGAAGTCCCACTGCATTCAAAGAAAGTCCTTTTGCATTCGTAAGCAGCCTTAATTGTGTTCTACTCCCTGGTATGTGGGTTTAGGGCTGCAGCTGCACATCTCCTTGTGGAACTCCCTGCCTCTTGAGCAACTGCTTGGTTAAACAGCAGGCTAAAGCACTTAAAGAAGCAGAAAAAAGGGGGAAGACCCTTGAAGTTCTTCAACAGCCTTCCTTAGTCTGGTACCTCCCAGTTGGTTTGGAGTTGTGGTCCAGAACGTCTAGAGGACACTAAGTTAGAGAAAGCAGCTCTTAGCTAAAAGATGGATCCCACACAATACTCAACCCAGTTCCAATTCTCTGCTCCCTCTAAAGAGCAGGCGGAGGCCTTTATCTCCCAACAGGACCAGGAGATAAACTGGCAGGCCACTTACAATGTCTTGTCTGGCCAGACGCAGCCTGTAGAGGGTTGTCTACCCTTGCTCTTGTGCATCCATTCAGGAGAGCCAACTTGGTCCATGCAGAGTGCCTGGCCCTGGCACCGAAATTTGTGGGTGCCCATCCCCTTCATGGGAATTTTGTGGGTGCTCAAGCACCCAGGTCCCCAGGGAGTTAGTACTTATGCGCCCATTAGATTGGCTTTTAACTTCTCTCTAATTATGGATGCGATTTCATTTTCGTTTATGTAATTTTCAGCTTCCTGGAGGGCTCCCCAGTGCCAAATCGGGGGTGAAAGACAAGCACGCTGGTGTCTCCCACCTGTGTCCTTGCATTGAGCATCACCCCCATGAATGCGTTTTCTGTATGCCAAAAGTTCAGGAACATCCTTGGATGCTAGTAAGGACACTCTGTTCTTCTCAGTCATGCCAGGAAACTTTTAATTCGTTGCTGGGTCACTCCCAAAGATGTCTGAAAGGAACGGTCAACAAGTGGCTTCCTTGGGAGCTGGCTGGCATGTTCACCACCACACTGGGATTCTCAAATAGAGGCTGTCCATATTCCAGTGAAGATCTGGAAATTCTTCTTCTTTTTTAAAGACAGTGTAGGGGGAGGGAAAAGAGAAATCAATAATAATAATAATAATAATAATAATAATAATAATAATAATAATAAATGCATTGCTCATTATGCGTTTGAGTTTCAGATGCGCTAGTTTTCCCCTAGCCTCACAACAAGGCCACAAAGAACTGGCTTTGCAAATATTGAACTCTGCAAATATTAATGCATTTAGCATGCCTGGTGTCCTGACTCTTTTTATTTTTGCAGGGAGGGCTGTTGCTTAGATTTCTATTTTACAGGAAGCTTTCCATGTCCTCGTTCAACCTTCCCAGCATCGGCCACAAGAATGTGGGTTCAGAAGCAGGCACAAGGAATGAGGGGTGGGGGTGGGGTGGGATATCTCCCCAGTGTGAGAGATGGCCTCTTCCTCTCAAAGCTATCATTATATGTGATAGTGAAATTCCTCTGTTGGTATTGAATACCATTCGTTGGTTGTCATGTTCCTTTGCTCAAAAAGGGCTAATGCTCAGTTCCCTTTTTTGTAATTAATTTTTTATTGGGATTTTTAACATAACAGGATTAAAATCAGCAAACTGTTAAAAAGAAGAAAACACAGCAAACCATAGCATTGTAGTTGCACTGAGTAATGCAGAACATGCTAAGTGCCTGGGAACAATCCTGAAAGCATTCTATAAAGGAACCATCAATTAAGCTGCATTAAAAGAATGAACTGAAGTCAAGCTGGTGGTAAAATGGATGCATCATTCAGATTTATATCAGAAACAAACTGGAATGGCACTGCTTAATTTTTTCTCTCCCCTGGCTGGCATCCCTGAGTCAATTCATCCTTCATAGCTGGTTGCCCAATCTGAGTAAACCAAAATTTAACCAAAAGACACTTCAGAAGTTTCCAATGACACCCAATTTCTAGATGGGCTCCAAGCAATCATGTAATGATCAGATCTCGGTGGGTCAAAGAATATCTGTTGAAACAGAGAAGAGATAACAAGGGGTCTGGTTGCTGTGTGATTTGACTAACATGGGTAAATACAGTGGTACCTCGGTTTAAGAACAGCCCTGTTTATGAACAATTCGGTTTATGAACTTCGCAAAACTAGAAGCAGTGTCCCGGTTTGCGAACTTTACTTTGGTCTAAGAATGGAATCCAAACGGTAGAAGGGCATCAATGGCGGGAGGCCTCATTAGGGAAAGCACACCTTGGTTTAAGAACGGTTTCGGTTTAAGAACAGACTTCTGGAACGGATTAAGTTCATAAACCGAGGTACCACTGTACCGTCTTCCCAAAAATCTGGTACAGGCCCACCACAAGTGGAAATGGGTTCCCTTAATCTGCCAACGATATGATAAGAGACTCCAATTAATATAATCAGGAGGAGGCTAATGCCAATCTCCTTTTGGGACTGGAGGCCAAGATTTTGGCCCAGAAACCCAAGGATGTAGATTAACTTGCCTGGGATTTTTCTTCTTCCCTTCCTTCGTGCTTGGCTGCCAGCCAGATTTGTCTGGGAGCCCAATATATCTAACTATCTATCTATAGACACATCCTGGATCCTGTTGACAGGTAACCCGTTGCCAGCAGTTCAAAGCATGTTTGGTTTCCAAAGGTTTAGGCCAAGCTAAATATCTGACCATGTTTCCCCTTCCAAGGATTTTTGGCCTCACTGTTGCCACACCCTCCCAGCTCCCTTAGCTGTGCTGGGAGTCTGGGCACCTTGTGAATGCATGATGTCATGGGAGCCAGGGTGGTTTTGTGGTTAGTCAGGCTAGATCCTGGGAGACCAGGGTTCAAATCCCCACTCAGCCATGAAGATCACTGGGTGTCCTTGGAGTCAGTCACAGCCTAACCTACCTCACAGGGTTGTTGTGTAGATTAAATGAGAGGAGAATCGTGCACACCACCTCAGGCTCTTTGGAGGAAAAAGTGGATATAATAGGACTTGAATGGGGTAACTTTTCCCCTGAAGGACCAGGTGCGCAGCCTGGGAGTCATTTTGGACTCACAGCTGTCCATGGAGGCGCAGGTCAATTCTGTGTCCAGAGCAGCTGTCTACCAGCTCCATCTGGTATGCAGGCTGAGACTCTACCTGCCTGCGGACTGTCTTGCCAGAGTGGTGCATGCTCTGGTTATCTCCCACTTGGACTACTCCAACGCGCTCTACGTGGGGCTACCTTTGAAGGTGACCCGGAAACTGCAATTAATCCAGAATGCGGCAACTAGACTGGTGACTGGGAGTGGCTGCCGGGACCACATAACACCGGTTCTGAGAGATCTGCATTGGCTCCCAGTACATTTCCGAGCACAATTCAATGTGTTGGTGCTGACCTTTAAAGCCCTAAACGGCCTCAGTCCTGTATACCTGAAAGAGCGTCTCCACCCCCATCATTCAGCCCGGACACTGAGGTCCAGCTCCGAGGGCCTTCTGGCGGTTCCCTCGCTGCGAGAAGTGAGGTTACAGGGAACCAGACAGAGGGCCTTCTCGGTAGTGGCTCCGGCCCTGTGGAACGCCCTCCCATCAGATGTCAAGGAAATAAGCAGCTATCTTATCTTTAAAAGACATCTGAAGGCAGCCCTGTTTAGGGAAGTTTTTAAAATTTAATGCTATATTGTTTTTAACACTCAATTGGGAGCTGCCCAGAGTGGCTGGGGAAACTCAGCCAGATGGGCAGAGTATAAATAAATTATTATTATTATTATTATTATTATTATTATTATTATTATTAGGATAGGTCAGTCACTAGAGTGTGAGACTCTTAATCTCAGGGGTTGTGGGTTCGAGTCCCACATTTGGTGAAAGATTCCATCATTGCAGAGGGTTGGACTAGATGATCCTTGTGGTCCCTTCCAACTCTATCATTCTATGAAATGTGATCAGTAAATCAATAAATGAATGACTTTCCGTTTGTTTTTTTTTTTAATAATTTTTTATTAAGTTTTTAAACAAACAAAAAAGAAAAACAACACACACAAAAAACAATACAAAACTTAACAATATAAACACAAAACAATTAATAACGAACTCTCTTTTCCATTACCAATTTTAAATTACTTATTTTCTGGACTTCCTCATACCTCCCTCTTTTGTATTCCAATCCACATTTATTTATCCAGCAGTTTCTTTTCCACTTTTTTAATCCCAATCTTTAATTTAATAAAATGTTAAAATATATAACTTCAACTCTTTTAAACCTAATCCTTGATCTTAATATCCTGTAACTTTAAAGTTTTCCCTTTTAAAATCAAATTTCCATTTCTTTAAACTTCTTTAATCTTAATCTTTAATCTTAATCTATCCTTAACTTTAACCTATGCAGCTGGAAACCACTTATTTTCAGTCCAACATCACTCTAACATTCCTTAATTTTGCAGTGTTTCTGAAGATAGTCTTTGAATTTCTTCCAGTCTTCCTCCATCGACTCTTCTCCCTGGTCACGGATTCTGCCAGTCATTTCCGCCAATTCCATATAGTCCATAAGTTTCATCTGCCATTCCTCCAGCGTGGGAAGTTCTTGAATGACTTTCCGGAAGCATATAACTAGATCTCTCAGGCTTTCATAATGGTGACTTCGTCCTGGAAGCAATTTGACAGATAAAATGACTGACATTATCTAAGGGGTGGAAAGGTATAATAATAATAATAATAATAATAATAATAATAATAATAATAATAATATTTCCTGCCATGCTGGGCCAATACATCAACATTACAGAGAGACATTTTGAACCAATGCAGCCCTGGGTCTCACATTCCCCCGCCCCACTCTTTTCTCATGTGAATGCTATTGATTCCCAGAGGTTTTTTGAGCTAGTCTCCTAGGTTACCATTTAATCTGCCTCACTGTGGGGGCCGAGCCGCCTGTCAGCGAGAGATGTCATGTGTCATCCAGCTGCAGCTGTCTAGGTCTGGCTTGTACACCCCTCTCCTGAGTCCCCTCTCTGGGGGAGCTTTGGCCAGCTAAAAAGGCGTGACCATCTTCAGGGCGGACGTGAGACAAGCGAATCTTGACATACCACCATCCTTGACATTCTGCAAGGTGGGCGCTTAGGGTTAATTGCGATCAGCATTTTTGGAGGGGCAAGAGGGGAGCCAAAAAATCCAGGGTTAGCTGCTCTCTTGTACCATAAAGAAGGCTGATCGCAGAAGAATTGATGCTTTTGAATTCTGGTGCTGGAGGAGACTCTTGAGAATCCCACGGACTGCAAGAAGATCAGACCTCTCCATTCTGAAGGAAATCAGCCCTGAGTGCTCACTGGAAGGACAGATCGTGAAGCTGAGGCTCCAAGACTTTGGCCACCTCATGAGAAGAGAAGACTCCCTGGAAAAGACCCTGATGTTGGGAAAGATGGAGGGCACAAGAAGAAGGGGACGACAGAGGACGAGATGGTTGGACAGTGTTCTCGAAGCTACCAGCATGAGTTTGACCAAACCGCGGGAGGCAGTGGAAGACAGGAGTGCCTGACATGCACTGGTCCATGGGGTCACGAAGAGTTGGACATGACTAAATGACTAAACAACAACAACAAAGCTGCTCTCTTCTCCATCTTCAACAGACCCATTTCAGATTGACAACCTATTTTGAAGCTGGATATTCACAAAGTGTTCTCCAAATAGTTGTATAGACATCCAGTTATATTGTTAAGTGCAACCAGTTATATTGTTAAGTGCAACCCCAGACTCTGAACAAAAAGAGACTCTGCAGTTGCACACAGTTTGGTTTCCTTGGAAGGCAGGCCAATGGAGATGATGGCTTATTTGGGATATATGGTTTTATTTATACACAGATAAAACCGTAACCTGGTGAAGTGGATTATTTTAGAAATGGTGTGTTGTTGTTTTTTTAGGATAAACATAAACATAGAAAGCTCACAGTGGTACTCTTCTTACACCACAAGACGGGGCTCCCTGACTGACCTTCCTGCTGATTTATCTGCAGGCATCCCTGGATTTATGAAGAGCAGCCAGCGTGACTTTGAAAGTAATGAGTTTTGCAGATGGCGGAGCTTCTCTCAGGTTGCAGTCCTGTGGGAGCAGGCGGCACAGAGAGTCCCTGCTCTGTTTATAAACAGAGGCAGGGTGATTAAGATAAGAAAAGGGCTGGTAATTAAATTAAAGCCAAGGAAGTTGTCAGAGATGGGCTTAAAGGCTTCTCCAGGCATCCCAGCCTTTAAAGCCATCAAACAGGAGAATTCCAGTATTGCTACTGGGCCTGGGGAGAGAGGTAGCGGGGTTTGAATTTCATGGCGATGACTTAATTTGCTCTTCTGGTTTCATCTGGGCAAACAGAGATCAATTACAATAGACTGGGTCAAGAAGAAAGGGGCTGAAGAGGCCAGATCCTATAACGGGGTATCTAGGTAAAAAAAGGTAAAGGACCCCTGGACGGTTAAGTCCAGTCAAAGGCGACTCATCTCGGTTTCAGGCCAAGGGAGCCAGTGTTTGTCCAAAGACAGCTTTCCGGGTCATGTGGCCAGCAGGACTAAACCGCTTCTGGCGCAACGAGACACCGTGATGGAAACCAGAGTGCACGGAAATGCTGTTTACCTTCCCGCCGCAGTGGTACCTATTTATCTACAGTGGTACCTCGGGTTAAGAACTTAATTCATTCTGGAGGTCTGTTCTTAACCTGAAACTGTTCTTAACCTGAAGCACCACTTTAGCTAATGGGGCCTCCCGCTGCCGCTGCACGATTTCTGTTCTCATACTGAAGCAAAGTTCTTAACCTGAGGTACTATTTCTGGGTTAGCGGAGTCTGTAACCTGAAGTGTCTGTAACCTGAGGCATCTGTAACCTGAGGTACCACTGTACTTGCACTTTTTTGGCCTGCTTTTGAACTGCTAGGTTGGCAGGAGCTGGGACAGAGCAACAGGAGCTCACCCCGTCGTGCAGATTTGAACCGCCAATCTTCTGATTGGCAAGCCCAAGGGGCTCACTGGTTTAGACTGCAGCGCCACCCGCATCCCGCAATGGGGCATCTAGAGTCTACCTATGAAACACCTAGGCTGGTCCCTGTGTTGGTCTGGGAGAGTTTGTGAGAATGGAACACACCAAGGATGTGTGTGGAATGTTTGCAGTTCATAAGCACACCCCCTAAAACAGGAAATGTTCGAAGTTACAGGCTACTTACAGGTCAAGTTAGAGCACTAGCAGAGACTGGAACATCCCTCGCCCCTCTAGAGCATTAGGCAGCATGGATGGGCAAATCTTCCCATGTAGACTCAGCATGGCATAGCGGCTAGAGTGTCAGACTAGGACATGGGAAACCAGGGTTCAAATCCCCACTTAGCCATGAAGCTCATTGGGTGACCTTGGACCAGTCACAGTCTTTCAGCCTCACTTGCCTCACAGGGTTGTTGTGGGGGTTAAATGAGGGGGGGCCCGAGGGCAGAGAACCACCTCCAGCACCTTGAGTTCTTTGGAGGAAAAGGTGGGATATAAATGCAACAAACAAACAAAAATAGAGTGCTGGAGGTAAAGGTAAAGGGACCCCTGACCATTAGGTCCAGTCGTGGCCGACTCTGGGGTTGTGGCGCTCATCTCGCTTTATTGGCCGAGGGAGCCAGCATACAGCTTCCGGGTCATGTGGCCAGCATGACTAAGCCGCTTCTGGAGAACCAGAGCAGCGCACGGAAACGCCGTTTACCTTCCTGCTGGAGTGGTACCTATTTATCTACTTGCACTTTGATGTGCTTTCGAACTGCTAGGTTGGCAGGAGCAGGGACCGAGCAACGGGAGCTCACCCCGTCGCGGGGATTCGAACCGCCAACCTTCTGATCAGCAAGTCCTAGGCTCTGTGGTTTAACCCACAGCGCCACCTGCATCCCAGAGTGCTGGGGACTAGGGTCTAAATCTGGAGACTTAATCTCCATTTTGCAGTGAACCTTGCTGGGTGACCTTGGGGGTCAGTCACTGTCTTCTCTCAGCCTGACCTCCCTCACAGGGTTGCTATGAGAATTAAATGAGGAGAGGGAGAACCATGTCCACCACCTTTAGCATTTGGGAGAAGAATGAGTAATAAAAGTCTTGCTTCTCTCCGTTTCTGCTTCCCCCTTCTTAAACCCAGTTCTCCACCTTGCCACATCAGTCTGTGAAGTCCCAAAACGTGCAAATTTATTCCACTGTGCACATTCTGTCTGTGGCTGTCCCTAATGCACACATTTTCACGAGCAACCTTTCCTAATATAAGGCATTTCGCACATTGTTTTTGCCCATTACTTGCATTTCACACCCATCTCCCCAAATCTATGCTGCTTTGCATACGTTTTTGCTGCATTAGAAAAATGCTTCGTGATGTCCAGAAACACAGAGAATTTTGCATTTTGGTCTGTGCACTGTTTTGGAAAGCCCTAATCAGGTTAGCTCACTTTAACAGGAAAACGGAACCAAATTTCTTCCCTGTCCTTTTATTAGCCAGGCAAGTGACTGAAGACAAGAGCTTCTGTTTCTTGGCCAGAGGATGAGGGAGGATTATATGCACTCTGCTCCCCCCTTCCCTTCATGCATAACTCTCCAATTAGCGTCCCCTCTCCTTTTTCTCTTCTTCAAAGCTTCCAGAGCCATTAATCTGCTTTGGGGCATTAGTGCTGGGCCTGAGCATCATAAGATCATTTCTCCTTTCACCTTCCCACCGGGTCCCACACGCTCTAATAGTTTTTCAGTCTTTTGTCATGCATGCAAAATGCTCAACAGGCCTTTGGGTGCTGCTGACCCCCATCCACTTGGGCTCTGGTCCTTTGAGGTTTAGTGGGATGGGGTGGGGAGTGAGAAGATTGCAAAGGCAGGATTCCTTGCTAGG